CCTGACCCAATACCTCAATGAATAATAATTCAGCCATTTAAAAAGAGGAATCCAACGTAGAAACAAACTCAGACCTTCTCAAAAGTCTAAACTGTTTTTCTTTTTCATGCACCTGCAGCGGCCAAGTTGCAATACTTGCTATTAGAATGACTTTGACTACTGCTGGATCCCATGGGAAAATATGACACGATGATAAAAAAGCAATACATGCAGGAAGTAACAAAGTACAGTGGGGCAAAAAAAAGTATTTAGTCAGCAACCGATTGTGATAGTTCCCCCACCTAAAATGATGACAGAGGTCAGTAATTTGCACCAGAGGTACACTTCAACTGTGAGAGACAGAATGTGCAAAAAAAAAAATCCATGAATCCACATGGTAGTATTTGTAAAGAATTTATTCGTAAATCAGGGTGGAAAATAAGTATTTGGTCAATAACAAAAATACAACTCAATACTTTGTAACATAACCTTTGTTGGCAATAACAGAGGTCAAACGTTTACTATAGGTCTTTACCAGGTTTGCACACACAGTAGCTGGTATTTTGGCCCATTCCTCCATGCAGATCTTCTCGAGAGCAGTGATGTTTTGGGGCTGTCGCCGAGCAACACGGACTTTCAACTGCCGCCACAGATTTTCTATGGGGTTGAGGTCTGGAGACTGGCTAGGCCACTCCAGGACTTTCAAATGCTTCTAACGGAGCCACTCCTTTGTTGCCCGGGCGGTGTGTTTTGGATCATTGTCATGTTGGAAGACCCAGCCTCGTTTCATCTTCAAAGTTCTCACTGATGGAAGGAGGTTTTGGCTCAAAATCTCACGATACATGGCCCCATTCATTCTGTCCTTAACACGGATCAGTCGTCCTGTCCCCTTGGCAGAAAAACAGCCCCATAGCATGATGTTTCCACCCCCATGCTTCACAGTAGGTATGGTGTTCTTGGGATGCAACTCAGTATTCTTCTTCCTCCAAACATGACGAGTTGAGTTTATACCAAAAAGTTCCACTTTGGTTTCATCTGACCACATGACATTCTCCCAATCCTCTGCTGTATCATCCATGTGCTCTCTGGCAAACTTCAGACGGGCCTGGACATGCACTGGCTTCAGCAGCGGAACACGTCTGGCACTGCGGGATTTGATTCCCTGCCGTTGTAGTGTGTTACTGATGGTGACCTTTGTTACTTTGGTCCCAGCTCTCTGCAGGTCATTCACCAGGTCCCCCCGTGTGGTTCTGGGATCTTTGCTCACCGTTCTCATGATCATTTTGACCCCACAGGATGAGATCTTGCGTGGAGCCACAGATCGTGGGAGATTATCAGTGGTCTTGTATGTCTTCCATTTTCTGATGATTGCTCCCACAGTTTATTTTTTCACACCAAGCTGCTTGCCTATTGTAGATTCACTCTTCCCAGTCTGGTGCAGGTCTACAATACTTTTCCTGGTGTCCTTCGAAAGCTCTTTGGTCTTGGCCATGGCGGAGTTTGGAGTCTGACTGTTTGAGGCTGTGGACAGGTGTCTTTTATACAGATGATGAGTTCAAACAGGTGCCATTCATACAGGTAATGAGTGGGGGACAGAAAAGCGTCTTACAGAAGACGTTACAGGTCTGTGAGAGCCAGAGATTTTCCTAGTTTGAGGTGACCAAATACTTATTTTCCACCCTGATTTACGAATAAATTCTTTACAAATCCTACCATGTGAATTCATGGATTTTTTTTTCACATTCTGTCTCTCACAGTTGAAGTGTACCTCTGGTGCAAATTACTGACCTCTGTCATCATTTTAAGTGGGGGAACTTGCACAATCGGTGGCTGACTAAATACTTTTTTGCCCCACTGTAGTTATTCTTTGACAGTGCAGTTGGTAAACCCTTAAGCAGAGGGGAGGAGTCAGGAGGAGGGGGACATAAGAACAAGAGAAGTAAGAAGTTCCTGGTTTGCAAGTAAAAAAGAAAAGAAGCAACATTAACCCATCAGTGACTCAAGATGAAAGTCTATCACATTTTGATCTGCTTCATCCTCCTAAGTGAGTAAATTCTCATCTCTAATATTCAGTGTTACTTGTCTTTTCTTTTCTCATGAATTAATCCTTAAACTTTGTTAATTTTTAAACACTAACTGCTTAAGTCTTTTTTCATTTTATTTGTTCAAATTTGAAAATAGGTCAACAGTGAACCACAGCATACACCACTTCCAATGAGCATGCAGTACATTAAAAGTACAAGACAACATAATATAAATTAATATAAACCTGTCAGAAATGAGTTTCACAACTGCTATGTGCTACTTATGGTGTGTTCTTTCATCCCTGTTTCATCCCCAGAAATTATTTTTCAGTTCGCTGGTGTTTTTCCTCCAGTATAAAAAGAAAAACTCAGAACAATTTCCACTGCTCAAAAAACTTTTAATTCGAGTATAGCATCAAGTTAATTAAAGCTCTGGCTTATTAATCTGGTTAGTTAAGTAGCAGTGGGGTATATTAATCAGTTTAAGCTGCTTTGACTTCTTCTATCTGCTGGTGCTACATACCATGCAGGGGTCTGTCCTTTCATGATGGTTCTTCTCCTTGTGCCTCTTCGTTCTTGTGTTTCTGCTGCCTCAGGTAGGAAGCAGAAACACAAGGTCTTTTTGAGCAATGTACCTGTTTATCTTAGCCACTATGATGCCTGAACAGAGCTTCCATGTGGTTCTGAGGCAGGTTCTGGCGGACCCTTGGGGATCAAGACTGTCAGGCCTTCAGTTAGCCATTCCAGACACTCATGAAGTGCAGTCAGATTCTTCAGCCAGTAGGTGTGAATCATGTTGTGGCCTAGTGATGTCCAGTTCTTTATGCTGCAGAACCTTTCTTGGATGTCTGCCAATGTGATGGTTACTGGACCATGCTCGGGTCCAGTAATGGCAGTGCTCATGAGCTTTGCAGTTATGTGTTGTGCGCTTATCACATATGCACCTCCAGTATTGCTATGTCTCTAGCCTTGGTGGCGGTTTTTCTCATATTACATGGTGAAATAAAGTACACCTTAGATGTTCTGTGGAGAACAACTGGTTTATTCTCCTGCCTTCTGTTTTTCTGGTATACCTCTTTGTTTCACAGCGTGCTGTACTTGTTAGGCACCTTCTTCATTCTACCTTTCTGCAGTCTAGTCTCCTTCTCCATGGAGGGTACTGCTCCTTGTGGCTGATCACTCACTGATCACTGCTGCTTTGGTCAACTGGTTAGTCTTGGTAATCATCGCAGTGCTGCATTCACATCATCTAGTAGATCCTCAGAGGGCACTTTACATAATCTTATTAATTGGCTACAGAGGTTGCAGGTTTTAAGCTTCTCCATGATGACATCTTGCAGGTCAGTTATTCTCTCACTCAACGCTCCATCTTCCATTGCACTTGGGCGTTTTCTACCCAATCTTGGTTGATGATGATATCACCTCTCTGACCTGCCATCCTGGCGCCCCCTTGCTGTAGCATTTGTGTTGTACCTCATTAATCTCTAGCCGTGACAGCAATTCCTTCTTCCGAATTTGGAACACTGAGCTACTAGTTGTTTCACCGTCAATCTTGATACTGGATATCGAAGATTCCAATAGGCTCCTTATCCTATTCATGTAACTCCTTCCCCAGGGGTGATCAGGTGTCAGGCCTAGGGACGCTTACAGGATACAGTAACCCACGACTCCCATTCCAAAACTCAACACACACACACACACACACACACACACACACACACACACACACACACACACACACACACAGAATTTTTTTTCCAAGTTCACATGCTGAAACAATTGTAAAAGCCTGATTAAACAAAAGTACAAAAAGCTGAAGATGTCATCACAAACAAACTCAAATCCTAATTTCTTCTTCACAACCTTTTAACATAATCATTATCAGTAGATGGTTTGTGTAGGGAAGGATCACAAAGTTTTGATTTTTGCAAATTCAAATAATTAAGTGAAAATATAGCAAGTTTAACAACTAATTTTAAAACTTTATCACAATAAAATAAAGTAAATATTCAATTAAAGTATAAATATTATATTTTAATGTGTATTTAACAGGACAGTAACTACTGATTGCTTATCTTTTTAACAGATCTTCAGGATGGAATCACTTGTCTTGCCAATCCAGAAACTCCCAACCATACAGAAATGGATGGACGAAACACCACAGGTGGATATTGGGCTGTAGCACAGAACTCAGGGCCCAATATACAAGCATTCCCTGAGTGCCCATTCCTTTCTTTATTGATATCTTTTATGGATCTTCTGCTTTTGGGGGAATGGGTAAAATTCACTTCCTCTTGTTTGTGTTCATTATTATTATTATTATTATTATTATTATTATTATTATTATTATGATATTTGGCTGAATTTTAGCAATTTTCTGGTACTTTACTTTTACAGATTTCTACTTGAGATTTTATAAAATGATCTGCGGTCAGTTCAACACCTTGGAAAATTTAAATTGTTCATCTTACGATTTTTAATTAATTTATTTATTTTTTGCCAGAAAACCTTGGAATCTATGTTGTTAAATCTGTCCCAGGCTTCACACACTCTTGTACTCCAAATTGCCACCAATGCACCATCATAATGTGAAAGTGCGTGATAGTCAGAAATGTGCTTAAAGCAAAGAATAAAAGTGAGATGTATAAACTCAAACAGGTGTGGATCCTATGGTCCAGTATTTTGCAAAATGTGCAGTCCTTGGAAAGGCAATTGCTGCAATTGCTATTTTGGTGATATTCGGTGCGTAATTTGATAATTCATACAACCAATATCATGCTTGCAAGAGGCAAAGCATGACATAAACGCTATGGACCAGAGTGTCTATTACTGGTCAAAATAAAATAAACTGTTTATAAAAAATATGGTTCAAGCATCATTGCTGAAATACTATTATTTATTTGTATTTCTTTTTTAATGTCAAACAGAAGTGAACTCAACAGATCTGGGCTTTGGTTTATCCACAACTACTTCAAGAACACAGACCTCTCCATCTGTTCCGGTTAATGTCACTGGTTCAACAGCAGTGGACAACAGCACAGGAGTTGAGGGGGAGGTCCGCCTGGTAAATAGCATTCATGGCTCCTGTATACAGTGCCTTATCACAAAAATTATTATTGAGTCCCGGATTTTATATTTTGTATGTATTTCTTTTTAACACAGAAATTCAAGAAAATGTTCGCTTGGTTAATGGAGGAAACGGCTCCTGCTCTGGCAGGGTGGAGATCTTCCACAGTGGGCAATGGGGGACAGTGTGTGATGATTCTTGGGGCCTGGAGGATGCTCAGGTGGTATGTAGGCAGCTGGGTTGTGGTAGGGTCCTCTCTGCACCAACTAATACACAATTTGGACAAGGCACAGGGCCTATCTGGATGGATGAGGTTGGATGCACAGGAGGGGAAATCAACCTATTCGAGTGTCATCACTCAGGGTTAGGATCTCATGACTGCAGCCACAAAGAAGACGCTGGTGTCATCTGTCAAGGTAAATTTGAGAAGGTGGCATCACGGAGGTTACATTTTTTTTACTCTGTGTCTATGCTGTAAAGTTTATTATACAATAATAGAAATATTATGTTTTATTTACTTCAAACTGTGCTACCCACAGGTTTTGTTATATTAAATATTTTGTCATTAAATATCAATATTTATTAATCGTTCGAGCGCCACCTAATTGTAAGAGAACATATCATGTTATATACTTTAGCATACTCCTCAGAAGCTGACTACATCCATCTCAAATGTTGTCAGAAAAATGATCTTAAGCTTTTTTCTGAATGCAAAAATTATGGGTGTTCATATAATGATGTCCTCTAGTGGCAGACAATTCACCACAAAACATGAAGTTATTGTTAAGAGAGAAGGAAAACCTGAATATTCATAAAACTTGGTTGAAGCGTCCATGATTCTGTTGGTTCTCCTGAAATATTTCAGTGAAACAACCCAATCACTGCAATTTAGTTATAGTCATGAAATTCAGAGGCCTCGTTGATTATTGAAAAAGAAAAAAAAAAAATTTTTGTACAATAACGTAGACCCAAGAGGATGTACGCCATTATTAATTTAAGTTGATATTATACTGGTGGTTCCATCACTGCCTCTTTCATTAACAAATTCCCGCTGAATATTTAAAAAGATTAAGATAATCTTTAAATCGTTTCATCTACAGACTTTTTATTTGAGTTATTGTTGTGGGGGTTTCTCTGTGAAAGTACAACAAACACAAATCCTTGTGTTTTACCATAGCACATAAAACTGTTGAAACTCAAATGTGTAATCTTAATGTTTTCTTCAAATTGATTCATTTTAAATTTTAATACACACTAACAAATTAATTTTTAAAAATATTGTCCTTAAACTGTTTTTAACAACATTCCTTCAGCACAGCTGCACTATTATTACTTATTTGTATTTTTTAATTGCAAACAGACCCTGGATTTCCTTATTCCACACCTGCGTCAAGAACACAGACCTCTCCAGCTTTTCGGGTTAATGTCACTGGTTCAACAGCAGTGGACAACAACACAGGAGTTGAGGGGGCGGTCCGCCTGGTAAATAGCATTCATGGCTCCTGCTCTGGCAGGGTGGAGATCTTCCACAGAGGCCAGTGGGGGACAGTGTGTGATGATTCTTGGGGCCAGGAGGATGCTCAGGTGGTATGTAGGCAGCTGGGCTGTGGTAGGGTCATCTCTGCATCAACTAATGCACGATTTGGTGCAGGCACAGGGCGCATATGGATGGATGATGTGCATTGCACAGGCAGGGAATCCAACCTATTTGAGTGTCGACACTCAGGGTTAGGATCTCACAACTGTGGCCACAATGAAGACGCCGGTGTCATCTGTGAAGGTAAATTTGAGAAGTAGGATTCACTTAGGTGTCCACCTGTTGGACCTTTGGTCCCCCATAAAATTTTAACTGAGAGGTTTTAAGCCACAAACAATTACTGTAAAAAAAAAATAGTGTTTTGTTGACACTAAATTTTGTTACCTACAGGCTCTTTGACATTAAATACTTCCATTCTATTAAACATTTAAAAATGAAGGAAAGTGTTAGTTAAACTGGGTGAATTGCAATGTTGATCTGCAGTTTACAGTGAATCATCCCAAAATAATTATTGAGTCCTTGCATTTCTTTATTTTTTGTATGTAATCCCTTTTATCGCAGAAACTCAAGGGAATGTTCGCTTGGTTAATGGCAATTATGGCTCCTGCTCTGGCAGGGTGGAGATCCTCCACAGAGGCCAGTGGGGGACAGTGTGTGATGATTCTTGGGGCCTGGAGGATGCTCAGGTGGTATGTAGGCAGCTGGGCTGTGGTAGGGTCCTCTCAGCACCAACTAAAGCACGATTTGGACAAGGCACAGGGCCCATCTGGATGGATGAGGTTGGATGCACAGGCTGGGAATCCAACCTATTCGGGTGTCGCCACTCAGGGTTAGGATCTCACAACTGTGGCCACAATGAAGACGCTGGTGTCATCTGTCAAGGTAAATTTGAGAAGGTGGCATCACTGAGGTTACATTTTTTTACTCTGTGTCTATGCTGTAAAGTTTATTATACAATAATAGAAATACTATGTTTTGTTTACTTCAAACTGTGCTACCCACAGGTTTTGTTATATTAAATATTTTGTCATTAAACATCAATATTTGTCAATCATTAGAGCGCCACCTAGATGTAAGAGAACATATCATGTTATATACTTTAGCATACTCCTCAGAAGCTGACTACATCCATCTCAAATGTGGTCAGAAAAAGACCTTGATTTTCCCTGAATGCAAAAATTATGGGTATTTATATAATGATGTCCTCCTGTGGCAGACAATTCACCACAAAATATGAAGCTATTTTTATGGGAGAAGAAAAACTTGAATGTTCATAAAACTTGGTTGAAGCGTCCATGATTCTGTTGGTTCTCCTGAAATATTTCAGTGAAACAACCCAATCACTGCATTTTAGTTATAGTCATGAAATTCAGAGGCCTCGTTGATTATTGAAAAAGAAAAAAAAAATTTGTACAATAACGTAGACCCAAGAGGATGTACGCCATTATTAATTTAAGTTGATATTATACTGGTGGTTCCATTACTGCCTCTTTCATTAACAAATTCCCGCTGAATATTTAAAAAGATTAAGATAATCTTTAAATCGTTTCATCTACAGACTTTTTATTTGAGTTATTGTTGTGGGGGTTTCTCTGTGAAAGTACAGCAAATGTCCTTGTGTTTTACCATAGCACATAAAACTGTTGAAACTCAAATGTGTAATCTTAATGTTTTCTTCAAATTGATTCATTTTAAATTTTAATACACACTAACAAATTAATTTTAAAAAATATTGTTCTTAAACTGTTTTTGACAAAATTCCTTCAGCACAGCTGCACTATTATTACTTATTTGTATTTTTTAATTGCAAACAGACCCTGGATTTCCTTATTCCACACCTGCATCAAGAACACAGACCTCTCCAGCTTTTCGGGTTAATGTCACTGGTTCAACAGCAGTGGATAACAACACAGGAGTAAAGGGGGCGGTCCGTCTGGTAAATAGCATTCATGGCTCCTGCTCTGGCAGGGTGGAGATCTTCCACAGAGGCCAGTGGGGGACAGTGTGTGATGATTCTTGGGGCCTGGAGGATGCTCAGGTGGTATGTAGGCAGCTGGGCTGTGGTAGGGTCCTCTCTGCATCAGCTAATGCACGATTTGGTGCAGGCACAGGGCCCATCTGGATGGATGATGTGCATTGCACAGGCAGGGAATCCAACCTGTTTGAGTGTCGACACTCAGGGTTAGGATCTCACAACTGTGGCCACAATGAAGACGCCGGTGTCATCTGTCAAGGTAAATTTGAGAAGTAGGATTCACTTAGGTGTCCACCTGTTGGACCTTTTGTCCCCGATAAAATTTTAACTGAGAGGTTTTAAGCCACAAACAATTACTGTAAAAAAAATAGTGTTTTGTTGACACTAAATTTTGTTACCTACAGGCTCTTTGACATTAAATACTTCCATTCTATTAAACATTTAAAAATGAAGGAAAGTGTTAGTTAAACTGGGTGAATTGCAATGTTGATCTGCAGTTTACAGTGAATCATCCCAAAATAATTATTGAGTCCTTGCATTTCTTTATTTTTTGTAAGTATTTCTTTTTAACACAGAAATTCAGGTAAATGTTCGCTTGGTTAATGGAGGACATGGCTCCTGCTCTGGCAGGGTGGAGATCTTCCACAGAGGCCAGTGGGGGACAGTGTGTGATGATTCTTGGGGCCTGGAGGATGCTCAGGTTGTATGTAGGCAGCTGGGCTGTGGTAGGGTCCTCTCTGCATCAGCTAATGCACGATTTGGTGCAGGCACAGGGCCCATCTGGATGGATGAGGTTGGATGCACAGGCAGGGAATCCAACCTGTTTGAGTGTCGACACTCAGGGTTAGGATCTCACGACTGCAGCCACAGTGAAGACGCTGGTGTCATCTGTCAAGGTAAATTTGAGAAGGTGGCATCACTGAGGTTACATTTTTTTACTCTGTGTCTATGCTGTAAAGTTTATTATACAATAATAGAAATATTATGTTTTGTTTACTTCAAACTGTGCTACCCACAGGTTTTGTTATATTAAATATTTTGTCATTAAATATCAATATTTATTAATCGTTAGAGCGCCACCTAATTGTAAGAGAACATATCATGTTATATACTTTAGCATACTCCTCCTCAGAAGCTGACTACATCCATCTCAAATGTGGTCAGAAAAAGACCTTGATTTTCCCTGAATGCAAAAATTATGGGTATTCATATAATCATGTCCTCTGGTGACAGACAATTCACCATGAAACATGAAGCTATTTTTAAGGGAGAAGGAAAACTTGAATATTCATAAAACTTGTTTGTAAACTTGCATGATTCTGTTGGTTCTCCTGAAATATTTCATTGAAACAACCCAATCACTGCAATTTAGTTACAGTCATGAAATTTGGAGCATCAGTTATTATTGAAAACCAAAAAAAGGCTTCTTTGGGCAATAACCTAGACCCAGGAGGACGTCCACCATTATTAATTTAAGTTTATATTATACTGATGTTTCCATTATTGCCTCTTCCATTAACAAATTCATGGTGAATATTTAATAAGATCAAGATAATCTTTCATTCGTTTCATCTAAAGACTTTATATTTGCGTTTTTACTGGGAGGGTTTCTCTGTGGCAGTACGACAAATGTCTTTAATTCACAATAGAACATAAAACTGTTAAAATTCAAATGTGTAATCTCAAATTTGTCTCTGAATTGATACATTTTAAATATGAGTACACGCTAACAAATTAATTAAAAACCAATCTAGTTTTCAAACTGTTTTTAACGAAATTGGTTCAGCACAGCTGCACTGTTATTATTATTTATGTGTATTTCTTTTTTAATTGCAAACAGACCCTGGATTTCCTTATTCCACACCTGCGTCAAGAACACAGACCTCTCCAGCTTTTCGGGTTAATGTCACTGGTTCAACAGCAGTGGACAACAGCACAGGAGTTGAGGGGGAGGTCCGCCTGGTAAATAGGATTTATGGCTCCTGCTCTGGCAGGGTGGAGATCTTCCACAGTGGCCAGTGGGGGACAGTGTGTGATGATTCTTGGGGCCTGGAGGATGCTCAGGTTGTATGTAGGCAGCTGGGCTGTGGTAGGGTCCTCTCAGCACCAACTAAAGCACGATTTGGACAAGGCACAGGGCCCATCTGGATGGATGAGGTGTCATGCACAGGCAGGGAATCCAACCTATTCGAGTGTCGCCAGTTAAGGTTTGGATCTCACAACTGCGGCCACAATGAAGACGCCGGTGTCATCTGTGAAGGTAAATTTGAGAAGGCAGATGGACTCAAGTTTGTACGTGTTTGACTGTTTGTCCCTGATAAAATTTTAACTGAGAGGTTTTCAGTGACCAACTATTACACATTTATATTCACTTTATACTAAAATATTTTACCTACAGGCTCTTTGACATTGAATGCTTCAATTTTGTTAAACATTTAAAGTTGAAGGAAAGTGGAGTTTAAACTGGGTAATTTGCAATGTTAATCTGCAGTTCATAGGGGCTCATTCTAAAATTATCATTGTATTCTTGCATTTCTTTATTTTTTGTATGTAATCCCTTTTATCGCAGAAACTCAAAGGAATGTTCGCTTGGTTAATGGCAATTATGGCTCCTGCTCTGGCAGGGTGGAGATCCTCCACAGAGGGCAGTGGGGGACAGTGTGTGATGATTCTTGGGGCCTGGAGGATGCTCAGGTGGTATGTAGGCAGCTGGGCTGTGGTAGGGTCCTCTCTGCACCAACTAATGCGCAATTTGGGCAAGGCACAGGGCCCATCTGGATGGATGAGGTTGGATGCACAGGCAGGGAATCCAACCTGTTTGAGTGTCAACACTCAGGGTTAGGATCTCACAACTGTGGCCACAATGAAGACGCTGGTGTCATCTGTCAAGGTAAATTTGAGAAGGTGGCATCACGGAGGTTACATTTTTTTACTCTGTGTCTATGCTGTAAAGTTTATTATACAATAATAGAAATGCTATGTTTTGTTTACTTCAAACTGTGCTACCCACAGGTTTTGTTATATTAAATATTTTGTCATTAAACATCAATATTTGTAAATTGTTAGAGCGCCACCTAGATGTAAGAGAACATATCATGTTATATACTTTAGCATACTCCTCCTCAGAAGCTGACTACATCCATCTCAAATGTGGTCAGAAAAATTACCTTGATTTCATTTGAATGCAAAAAATAAGGGTTTTCATATAATCATGTCCTCTTGTGGCAGACAATTCACCATGAAACATGAAGCTATTTTTAAGGGAGAAGGAATATTCATAAAACTCTGTTGAAACTTCCATGATTCTGTTGGTTCTCCTGAAATATTTCAGTGAAACAACCCAATCACTGCAATTTAGTTACAGTCATGAAATTTGGAGCATCAGTTATTATTGAAAACCAAAAAAAATACTTCTTTGGCAGGACGTCCACCTATTAATTTAAGTTGATATTATACTGATGTTTCCATTATTGTCTCTTCAATTAAGAAAATCCTGCAGAACATTTAATGAAATCAAGATAATCTTTCATTCGTTTCATCTAAAGACTTTTTATTTGAGACTTTTTATTTGAGCAGTACAGCAAATGTCTTTACTTTGAAACACCACATAAAACTGTTAAAATTCAAATGTGTAATCTCAAATTTGTCTCTGAATTGATACATTTTAAATATGAATACACGCTAACAAATTTTTAAATCTTGTTCTCAAACTGTTTCACAGCTCTACAATTATTATTTACTTGTATTTCTTCTTCAATTATAAACAGACCCTGGATCTCCTTATTCCACACCTGCTTCACTACCACAGACCTCTCCATCCACCCCGGTAGATGTCACTGGTTCAACAGCAGTGGATAACAACACAGGAGTTGAGGGGGCGGTCCGCCTGGTAAATAGGGGTTACGACTCCTGCTCTGGCAGGGTGGAGATCTTCCACAGTGGGCAGTGGGGGACAGTGTGTGATGATTCTTGGGGCCTGGAGGATGCTCAGGTGGTATGTAGGCAGCTGGGCTGTGGTAGGGTCCTCTCCATGCCAACTAATACACAATTTGGTGCTGGCACAGGGCCCATCTGGATGGATGAGGTGTCATGCACGGGAAGAGAAGCCAACTTGCCTGAGTGCCACCACTCAGGGTTTGGATCTCACGACTGCAGCCACAAAGAAGACGCCGGTGTCATATGTGAAGGTAAATTTTAGCAGCTGGAGAGTTTATTTTACCAATATGGAAATATTATGTTTGATCTACATTAACCTCCTAAGACCCGAACTCTTCCACGGCATGCATTTTTAATTTCTCTTTGATATTTAGGCATATCGGGGCCCGATGAATGCAAAAATAAAGAATTAGCAGATTTTTATTATTTTTTTTACCTTATTTTTGTTTTTAAGAAAAGTAAGAGCCATATCTGAGGATATTCGTTTGAAATGTTGATAGAATACTAGCAGTATAATGTCCTTGTTCGTGGATATGTAAATGGCCCTTGCAGAGCAAAATTTAGTATTTTGGTCTAAATAACCCAAAAAGTGATGTTCGCATATGTGGACGCCAGGTCCTAGGAGGTTAAAGGTTTATCTACAAGTGTTATTGCATTAAATAGTTTTTCTTTCACAGCCCTTCTGTACCTGCTGCTTTTACTGTTGCTATTTACATAAATTAATCTTGAGATGAAGTTTACATCTCAGCTGAGATTTACTCATTTCAGGTTACTTCCTGCTCACTTTTCATTGAATCGTATTAGTTCCCCATCCACATCATCAGTTTTAACGAGACTACTGAATTTAAGGTTATGGCTCTCTTCTCATTAATTGAGTTTAGTCTGCAGAGTAGATTTCTTAAAAACAGTAATTAATTAAAATGCTACATTTTAATATGTAGTTGCTCTTTATAAGAAAACATCTCATATTCAAAATCTTTCTGCCATTTTCAAAATTTATATTGATGTTTTTTCTATGTAATTTTAACCAATAACTTTTATAAGTGACGTTATTTAATTGTCCCATTTTTTTCAGTCTCTCATACAGGTTTCTCTCGAATTTTGGTTATTGTATCTGTGGTAGTGGCAGTTCTTCTGTTACTTCTTGTTCTTTTGCTCATCTACAAAAAGACGGCAACGGGCTATCGTGGTGAGTTCTGATCCAGCCTTATATGCTTTTTTAAAGAATTATTAATCAAAAGGATTTTATGTGGCTCCACAGTGTAGTGGTTTACACCATTGTTCAGCAAGGGAAAGGTTACTACTTCAACTCCAGCCGGAGTCACAAATCATTCTTGGGATTGTGTTGGGAATGGCATCTAGTGTAAAAACTGACAAATTAAACATGTGCAGCTTCCTGTTGTTGTGGCCCCTTCTGAACAAGAGGTCAGACAAAAGTAGTATTTCTTTTTTTAATTAAGTATTCTCGTGGAATTGTTTGACTGCTAACCTGCCCCACTTCTTTTCCAACAGGATAAGATCCGACCTAACACCACAAAAATGAGCAAAGCTATAACATAACACGTCTTTGTCTCTTTTCTATAGGTTTCTCTAGGTATAGAAGAAACTCAACCCAAAGCCAAACTGAGGTGATTCATTTATATTTGTTTAATTTCACTGTCATTTGTAGGCTCTTTATGCTGCACTGTGAAGAAATTAACACATTTCACTGGTTCATAAAAGGTTCAGAATTCTGAATTTTGTTGTTTTTTGCTTGTTTGTTTTTTCCCCAGATTGCTCTTACTGAAAAATATTCTACAGTCCTCCACACGTAAAGTCTCGACCAACTAGAGCGTTGATCCAGCCAGCAGGAACCAGGACCAAACCTACTGGACTCTACTGTCACACACACTAAATAGCAAATTATCATACATTCCTTCCGATGAATAGAAATGTGTTTGGGGGTTTGATGTCTTATCTAGAACCATGGTCAATTGTTCTGTAAGAACTAACCATGTCACTTCCCTTGCCCTTACTAGGCCAGACCAGTAACACTGACACTGGCCAGTCAGGCACATAAAACATACATAAAAGCAAGGATGAGTTGACTCAGAATCCATTTGTTAGGCTTGTCATTGTTATCCTCTCCACAGCATTAATAATGGCCATCAACAGTGGCCTGCGCAGAAACGAACATGGATGGTTGGCTACAATAAGAGATACGAATAAACTTTATTATCCCACATGTGAAATTTAATTTGTACAAATAGTGCTGTGCATAGAAGTATTCACACAATAAAGCCAGCACCAAAATTCAATTAATAAATATGTTAATAATTCATTCATTCATCACTGATAGTTTCCCATAATTAAACTCCAGGAAACATTTAAGTACAGGATGATGTGGCTCCAGAGCTTTCAAAGTGCACTGAGTCCTTATGTGCAAAAGATGCTGGGATTGATGAGAGCTTTTAGCAGTTTGTTTTACAGTCCCTGAGGGTAAAAACTCAAGCTCTGAAAAAACTGGATAAGGGATGAATCATTAAAACTTTTAGGAGCCTGATAAACAACAATTTTGTAATATTTTGTTTGGTGAGACTAGTGCTCTTTGTTTCCTATCATTGTCATAGCACTTTTGACTTTACTGTAAGTAAGCCACACCAACTGCTATCCCATATCTAATCAAACTTTCAAGCATTGTATTATAAAAAAAATCCTTAGATCTCACTTCAAACATTTTGAGCCGTTGAAGAAAATTGAATCCGAGCTTATTTGTCAGTAAAAAAATAAATCTACATGTACTTCCCATATTCCCTTAGGGTGAAATGTTATTTCTTTAGTTTTATCAGTGTTCAAAATAAAACGATGATGATGACACCACTGCTGATGCACAGTCATTTGCGTGCAGAAGACTTAAAATAGTTTTATCATCAGAGAATTTGACAGCCAACTATTAGTGCAGTTATCACTATAGTGATTAGCATGCATGGTGAAAAGGAGAGGGGGAAGTCATAAAAATTGAATCATTTAACTTGTTGTCACCTGCTAGTCAAGAGGGATAAAAAACATTTGATAATTAAGGCACATTTAAGAGTTTTGGGCCTGCAGGTATGGACGAACAATCAAATGCAGAACTAAAATCAACAAATAGAATCTGATCATAGGCTTTTGGATCTTCTGAATGCTTCCTTTATTAAATGAATGATATTTATCATAGCATCCTTCACTGTTTACAAACTGATGCGGGTCTAGACTTGAAGATATCTTTGGTTTGATCATATTCAAAATAATTTTCTTAAAACACTTCATCACTACACATGTTAGTGGCAACATCCCTGAAGTCCTTGTTCTCAATAGGATGTGTTACAGACATGTTACCTCTGGTGTAAGAATGATTTTAGATATTCACCATAACTTGCAAACTGTGTGACGTTTGGGAAAAAAGGGCACCGTGCATCGGTTAATTCACCGAGCAGCGTTTCAATAAAGAAGCAGACATCAGTCACAAACATTTCTGAGAACCAACTGAAATGGCTTCAAATTAATTTTCACACTATCAGAATCACCAAGTAAGTCTCTACTTTTTATTGATGCAATCTCTAACTTTTTTAGTGACGTGGTTTAATATTTGGGAAATTAATAGCCTCTTTTTTCAGGATTATATTGTTCTTACAACAATTTATATAGTCTATTGTTGGATCTGTAGCCTCATCTAACACCATACTATAGAATAAACTCCAGTATGTGCATATGAAACAACCCATCAAAGTCCCTGCACTGTCCTGAGTCCATACAACACTGCAACACAGTTGTATTTTAGTACAGATTTATACAGTATATGGCATACCTGCTCCTCAACACACAACATAAGAAAGGTCAGTGGTAGACTCTCTCTATCACCCTTCATTCTTATTGAGAGTATAATTCATTTGCCAAAAAAAGACAAAATACAGAGCTTACTGATTATACTTTATTCTTGTAAATGCTTAATGCTAATCATACAATAATATCATTAAAGAAAATTAACCTGTCGTGGTGAAAGTAATGATAACTTAAAGACTATACTAAAAAGAGAAAGGTTCTTCACCCTCAATACACATGAAGATTTCTTCAGCACAGCCTCTTAAGCAGGCTTTCTCTTTAAGTAGGCTTAATCTCCACCTCTACTGTTTTACAGATAGCTGTAGGCACTCACTGTTGTACCTCTTTCCTGACCTCCTCCATACATACAACATTTTTTGTTGTTTTTTGTGTAAACTGTCTTTTCAAGCCTTTTCAAGTAGTTTCCCTTCCTTAGGAATGGCTTCTCGACAGCCACCCTTCCACCCTGCCTCCTCTTGTTTGTTGATTTTGCATAGTTTTTTTTAAGACACTTGGCATATTTCAGCTAATAGGTCTTTAGGAATCACCTCGTTGGCACAAAATTACTATTTACGTCTGCCAGACTGTGCTATTAGGAGCATTTTTATGCTTGACTAATACATAGATGAGTGCTAAGTGGCTTAACTAACAAAAAAATACCGGAGTACTTTAAAAGCAGTCAGATATTGAAACTGTGGACTGAACTGTGGCATCAAGACAGACACAACACTATCCAAGCGATTCTGTAAGAAATTTGATGGGAATAAAAACAGGGAATCTAATGGAGCTGTATGTTATCCATGTGATATCCTTTGAGTCTGTTTTTCTTTATCATGCTGACAGTATTTTGATTGTGTATACCGTCTAAATGCACATGTGTTTTTGAATGTGACTGGCACATACGTATGTGACTTTACTGCATTTTCTTATCTTCATCAATAAATCAAACAAAATATGAAAATAAAATGAAAAAGAAAAACAGGTAAGACTGTTTGATGCTCAGGATGTATGTTTATTTGTGTTTATTTCCAATAAAATCATATTTGTTAACACGTTCCAGCAGTAATGTCATTGAGGCTTGAGATCCTGGTGGAAGTGACATCAACAGAGGGGATGTGACATTCAGATGTTACACGATGTGTTGATGATATAATCTTTTCCTAGAAAAGAAACAAAAGATTTAAAGTTGCTTTTGAATTTTTTTTTTTTTATTAAGCTTCAGTTCTTTATATCTTCTTTTACATTTTGCTTCTTGTTTTGATTGACATGCAATGGATGAGTATTTTTTTTTTTTTAACTTTGAAGCCTTAGCTTAAACCTTAACTCATTTATTTTACTTATGTTTAGTTCTTCTAGCCCCCTGAATGTTCCTTCTGTCTCATCCAAGTGTTTGGGCCTCATTGTCAGTTGTATTTTGTATATCTCCTGCTCTACTTTAAAGTAGAGATGGCACAATACCACTTTTTTAAGTCTGATACCGATATTATAAATTTGGATATCTGCCGATACCGATATGAATCTGATATCGTGTGTTTTAATCAATAAAACTGTTTTTTTAATATATTGCTGCATTTTGTATAAGTTCATACTCAAGTTTAAATAAACAACAACACTAAAGCTATTCTGTTATACCTGTATGTAAAAAATACACTGCACCCAAAATATTTCATAGTTCAGCAATACTGATCAATCTAATAAACTTAAACCTGCTCCATCCTCCCTATTCTGGTATTTTAAAGAGTACTTAGCAGAAATATTAAGCAACCTAACTAATAGGGTTGCAAACTCCCAGCAAAAAAAATAGGGAACCACCCCCCACCCTCCACCTCATGATACTTAATTGACGTAATCAACTTTAATTTGATGCAGTGTGGGGGAAAATGCACAGAAATAAATTATTTTTCAAGAATAATTAAATAGATTCAACATCTTTCTTCAACAGAATTGCAGACTGCACAGATGGTATCTTCCCAAAGGAAAAAGTACTATAGCTTACCTAGGGTATATTAGACTTAACAGTTACTATATACAGTAATGGACTTCTATACATTTTACATAAGATTAAAACTTTGGGTGTAAGATTCAGATAATTATTTATTAAAAGCTAGACATTTTAAATGAGAATAAGAAAGAAAAGTATGTCTTTGTGCCCCCTTTTCCCTGTTCATGCCCTATCGGCCCCCCTGGCTAAACTTTGCTAGATCCGCCCCTGCACAGTTACCAGCCGTCAGCTGCGTAGAAAAAGATCCTGGTGTAGAAAGTAATATTAAATAAATTCTAACAACAGCTTATCAAGGTTAAACGTGCTGCGGTTGTTCAGCTGCTGGTTTCCTCTTTCTGGTGCAAAGTGGGCCAAAAACAAACAAGAGAGACGGACTCGCGACAGAAAAGCCGATCAGCTGATCATTAAGCAGTTTCATGATTGAAGTAGCAGCAGAAGAGGAAGTCGCTCCATATATCGGTTGTTAAGCTTAACGTGGGAATGATTTAAAAACATTCAGAGATGAACTTACAAAACAAACTCGGGATCTCGCAAAACTTTTGCGAGATCTCGAAAAACAAACTCGGGATCTCGAGTTTGTTTTGCGGGGAAAGCGGTGTTCCTTCCGGCTGTAGTAGGTCTCGACCTCCCGTTAGCTCGAAGCTAAAGGGAGGTCTCGACCTCCCGGTCGGCTTCGAGCGGGCGTCCGAAGAATGCGGCTAAAACTTTTGCGAGATCCCGAGTTTGTTTTGCGAGATCTTGCAAAACGTTTGCGAGATCCCGAGATAGTTTTGCGAGATCTCGCAAAAGTCCGTCTTAATTTTTTTTTCTCCCATGTCCCCTGCAGGGCTCCGTAATCTTTAAACTTTTAAAGTTCAAATAAAGTTTCGTTTGATTTTGCAGCACTACCTTGGTATACAAAGGGTAACTAAGCCCGAAGTTCAACTTCAGCTTGTCAACACAATACTGATATTTTGAACAAGATGTATTAGCTGCAAATTCTCCAAAATCTCTTTGTAGAAAAGTAAAACAGTATAAGAAAGAATCTGTCCTATTGGTTATCATGATGTGAATGTCCATTATAAAGCCTCAGACACAGAGGTTTGACCCCACTCAGTGAAATCAACGAGGATGGTCCCTGAGACTGCTTTGGACGCTAGCAGAATTATTTTGGAGTTGTATGTGCATTACTGTTTAAGGCACTTACACTGGGTGTGTTGACCCTGGGTGATGTCCAAAACCTGCAGGACACCGGCCCTTGAGGTTTGGAGCTAGACACCCCTGGTTTAAGGTACTTACACTGACAAGTATAATCCACCTCCAGGTACTTGTAGGTGCCAACACAGGGGTCTCCAAATACAGAGTTGCTCGCTGAGATAGTACAGCTGTTTTTCCCATTACACCTTTGATTGCAGATAGAAAGTAAGTCAGCAAAGGGTTTTACACACTGCACATTGTGTAGCCTGGTAAAAGAAAAAAACGTAAAACTAATCAAAGACAGTCAATCTGTACCTTTCAGCTACAACTTTGGTGCTCGTCTGACTTGAGCACTGGACAACTTGGAGCTGAGAGGCCGGACGTCCAGCAGAGCATGTGGTTTTGTCACGGCGTCCATAATTAGCTCCGTGGATGACTAAAACCTGTCCTTTTTCTGAGGAAGAGATCATAGCATTAAACAATAACCATGTTTACATTTCAATAAATGAAATTCAACAAAGTTACAAAAAAGAAAACCTCACCACACTGAAGGTTTGCCTGAGATCCTTCACATGTTGCACTCTGGACTGAGAGAAAAACACAAAATACATTAGAAAGATATTTTGGATTAAGTCCTAGCTGCGAATGCTCCACATTATATTGATGTTTGTTCATTTTTTAAAGAAAACGAGAATAAAAAGAGGATGTTCTGTAAAATGTCATGATTCAGTGGCTAAATGTCCATTATTAAGCCTCAGTCACAGAGGTTTGACTGGCGACAGAAAAGGCGATCAGCTGATCATTAATCAGTTTCACGATTGAAGTAGCAGCAGGAGAGGGAGGGAGAGAGAAGAGGCACTCGCTCCTTATATCGGTTGTTAAGCTTAACGCGCGAATGCTTTACAAACATTCAGAGATGAACTTACACACTTGCTTTACTTCTCTCTGGGATCACTTCCTCGGAGATGAAATGCTGGTTTGGTAGCGAGGCTACAAATACACACAGCCGCTCTATCAGTGAGCACACTGCTCCAACGTGCTCGACGTTATGAGCCGAGTTATGCCGTGTCGCAAGTTTTGTGAGGTGCTTTTCTGATATTTAATGGATCGGATTACATTTTTATTTCTCTCTGATATCCAGTAATTTACGTCAGCATTGGACCGATACCGATACGTAATATCGATACCGATACGTAATATCGGATCGGTCCATCTCTACTTTAAAGTAAACTTTTCTTTAATATCTTGAAGTTCAAGTTTTGCTGCCTTCCTCTCTGCTTTTTGTCCACACTCTTATAACCTTCCCTTACTCTGTTCTCCATTAATTTCTCCATTCAAGTCCATTTTCAGTATTTATTTTCATGTTTCAATGTCTCCTTGATTTAGTACTGGTTGCTCATTGCCTTTTTTAGTTCTGTCTTTATTTGGGTTTTGATATGCTACTGTTTGGTTGTCCTCAGCTGTGTTAATTACATGCACCCATGTCTTGTTGCTCAGGGGTGTCTAATTCCCACTTAACCCTCTGTTTGCAAATTAAAACAACTAATTAAAAAAAAAACCTTGTGCCGGTTTAGCTCAGTGGGTGAGCAGGCAACCGTATTCCGTATGGCTGGAGAGCAATAGGCCCAGGTTTGCATCTCTTCTCCTTTCTCATCCTGCTTTCACATCTATCAACACCGTCTCTATCCACTAAAGGAAAAAAAAAAACCTGACTTTTTTGTGAATCTTCAAATCAGCTATTGAAGTTCATCTTTTTTAAAATTGTTTCATGTCCTGTAATCTGTATTTGAGTCTTTGAATCCATGTTTAAAATCTATTTTTCTGTCCAATGCCATATTTTTATTGCCTTTTTTTTTTTTGCATTTCCACATTTTTTGTTTCTTGTTTGTTCATCTTTAAACTTTTAAAGTTCAAATAAAGTTTCGTTTGATTTTGCAGCACTGCCTTGGCATACAAAGGGTAACTTAGCCCAAAGTTCAACTTCAGCTTGTCAACACAATACACTGATATTTTGAACAAGAAGTACTAGCTGCGAATTCTCCAAAATCTCTTTGTACAAAAGTAAAAAAGTATAAGAAAGAATCTGTCCTATTGGTTATCGTGATGTGAATGTCCATTATAAAGCCTCAGACACAGAGGTTTGACCCCACTCAGTGAAATCAACGAGGATGGTCCCTGAGACTGCTTTGGACACTAGCAGAATTATTTTGGAGTTGTATGTGCATTACTGTTTAAGGCACTTACACTGGGTGTGTTGACCCTGGGTGATGTCCAAAACCTGCAGGACACCGGCCCTTGAGGTTTGGAGCTGGACAGCCCTGGTTTAAGGTACTTACACTGACAAGTATAATCCACCTCCAGGTACTTGTAGGTGCCAACACAGGGGTCTCCAAATACAGAGTTGCTCGCTGAGATAGTACAGCTGTTTTTCCCATTACAACTTTGAATGCAGATAGAAAGTGAGTCAGCAAAGGGTTTAACACACTGCACGTTGTGTAGCCTGGTAAAAGAAAAAACGTAAAACTAAACAAAGACAGTCAATCTGTACCTTTTAGCTACAACACTGGTGCTCGTCTGACTTGAGCACTGGACAACTTGGAGCTGAGAGGCCGGACGTCCATCAGAGCATGTGGTTTTGTCACGGCGTCCATAATTAGCTCCGTGGATGACTAAAACCTGTCCTTTTTCTGAGGAAGAGATCATAGCATTAAACAATAACCATGTTTACATTTCAATAAATGAAATTCAACAAAGTTACAAAAAAGAAAACCTCACCACACTGAAGGTTTGCCTCAGATCCTTCACATGTTGCACTCGGGACTGAGAGAAAAACACAAAACACATTAGAAAGTGTAATAATTCATGTGCAGACTGATTATTAGTTCATGATTTAATTCGTAACTTGAACTCTTTTGCAACCTTTTCCTTCTGTTTCATCTTTTCTGCATCCTCCAATCTGTCTTTGAATAATATATATGAAACGTAGTATGATTTTATTATTTTTGTTTTCCTCTGTCCATTTGAATTTTTACTGTCATTTTATGTTTTGCATCTCACATGTTCCCCAGTTTCCTTTTGGTTCATTTTTTACCTTTTTAAAATTAATTTCAGTTTTATTTAAATATTGCCAAATCAGCAGTCACGTCAAGGCATTTCATACCCTTAAAGACCCTACAGAAATAAAGAGAAAACTAGTTTATTTTGGAGAACCTCCTTAAAAACAAAGGTGTATTTAAGCCAACACAATAAACAGATGTTTCGGATTAAGTCCTAGCTGCGAATGCTCCACATTATATTGATGTTTGTTTTTTTTTTTAAAGAAAACGAGAATAAAAAGAGGATGTTCTGTAAAATGTCATGATTCAGTGGCTAAATGTCCATTATTAAGCCTCAGTCACAGAGGTTTGACTCGCGACAGAAAAGGCGATCAGTTGATCATTGATCAGTTTCACGTTTGAAGTAGCAGCAGGAGAGGGAGGGAGAGAGAAGAGGCACTCGCTCCTTATATCGGTTGTTAAGCTTAACGCGGGAATGCTTTACAAACATTCAGAGATGAACTTACACACTTGCTTTACTTCTCTCTGGGATCACTTCCTCGGAGATGAAATGCTGGTTTGGTAGCGAGGCTACAAATACACACAGCCGCTCTATCAGGTGAGCACACTGCTCCAACGTGCTCCGACGTTATGAGCCGAGTTACGCCGTGTCGCAAGTTTTGTGAGGTGCTTTTCTGATATTTAATGGATCGGATTACATTTTTATTTCTCTCCGATATCCAGTAATTTACGTCAGCATCGGACCGATACCGATACGTAATATCAGATACCGATACGTAATATCAGATACGTAATATCAGATACCGATACGTAATATCGATACCGATACGTAATATCGGATCGGTCCATCTCTACTTTAAAGTAAACTTTTCTTTAATATCTTGAAGTTCAAGTTTTGCTGCCTTCCTCTCTGCTTTTTGTCCACACTCTTATAACCTTCCCTTACTCTGTTCTCCATTAATTTCTCCATTCAAGTCCATTTTCAGTATTTATTTTCATGTTTCAATGTCTCCTTGATTTAGTACTGGTTGCTCATTGCCTTTTTTAGTTCTGTCTTTATTTGGGTTTTGATATGCTACTGTTTGGTTGTCCTCAGCTGTGTTAATTACATGCACCCATGTCTTGTTGCTCAGGGGTGTCTAATTCCCACTTAACCCTCTGTTTGCAAATTAAAACAACTAATTAAAAAAAAAACCTTGTGCCGGTTTAGCTCAGTGGGTGAGCAGGCAACCGTATTCCGTATGGCTGGAGAGCAGTAGGCCCAGGTTTGCATCTCTTCTCCTTTCTCATCCTGCTTTCACGTCTATCAACACCGTCTCTATCCACTAAAGGAAAAAAAAAAACCTGACTTTTTTGTGAATCTTCAAATCAGCTATTGAAGTTCATCTTTTTTAAAATTGTTTCATGTCCTGTAATCTGTATTTGAGTCTTTGAATCCATGTTTAAAATCTATTTTTCTGTCCAATGCCATATTTTTATTGCCTTTTTTTTTTTTTGCATTTCCACATTTTTTGTTTCTTGTTTGTTCATCTTTAAACTTTTAAAGTTCAAATAAAGTTTCGTTTGATTTTGCAGCACTGCCTTGGCATACAAAGGGTAACTTAGCCCAAAGTTCAACTTCAGCTTGTCAACACAATACACTGATATTTTGAACAAGAAGTACTAGCTGCGAATTCTCCAAAATCTCTTTGTACAAAAGTAAAAAAGTATAAGAAAGAATCTGTCCTATTGGTTATCGTGATGTGAATGTCCATTATAAAGCCTCAGACACAGAGGTTTGACCCCACTCAGTGAAATCAACGAGGATGGTCCCTGAGACTGCTTTGGACACTAGCAGAATTATTTTGGAGCTGTATGTGCATTACTGTTTAAGGCACTTACACTGGGTGTGTTGACCCTGGGTGATGTCCAAAACCTGCAGGACACCGGCCCTTGAGGTTTGGAGCTGGACAGCCCTGGTTTAAGGTACTTACACTGACAAGTATAATCCACCTCCAGGTACTTGTAGGTGCCAACACAGGGGTCTCCAAATACAGAGTTGCTCGCTGAGATAGTACAGCTGTTTTTCCCATTACAACTTTGAATGCAGATAGAAAGTGAGTCAGCAAAGGGTTTAACACACTGCACGTTGTGTAGCCTGGTAAAAGAAAAAACGTAAAACTAAACAAAGACAGTCAATCTGTACCTTTTAGCTACAACACTGGTGCTCGTCTGACTTGAGCACTGGACAACTTGGAGCTGAGAGGCCGGACGTCCAGCAGAGCATGTGGTTTTGTCATGGCGTCCATAATTAGCTCCGTGGATGACTAAAACCTGTCCTTTTTCTGAGGAAGAGATCATAGCATTAAACAATAACCATGTTTACATTTCAATAAATGAAATTCAACAAAGTTACAAAAAAGAAAACCTCACCACACTGAAGGTTTGCCTCAGATCCTTCACATGTTGCACTCGGGACTGAGAGAAAAACACAAAACACATTAGAAAGTGTAATAATTCATGTGCAGACTGATTATTAGTTCATGATTTAATTCGTAACTTGAACTCTTTTGCAACCTTTTCCTTCTGTTTCATCTTTTCTGCATCCTCCAATCTGTCTTTGAATAATATATATGAAACGTAGTATGATTTTATTATTTTTGTTTTCCTCTGTCCATTTGAATTTTTACTGTCATTTTATGTTTTGCATCTCACATGTTCCCCAGTTTCCTTTTGGTTCATTTTTTACCTTTTTAAAATTAATTTCAGTTTTATTTAAATATTGCCAAATCAGCAGTCACGTCAAGGCATTTCATACCCTTAAAGACCCTACAGAAATAAAGAGAAAACTAGTTTATTTTGGAGAACCTCCTTAAAAACAAAGGTGTATTTAAGCCAACACAATAAACAGATGTTTCGGATTAAGTCCTAGCTGCGAATGCTCCACATTATATTGATGTTTGTTTGTTTTTTAAAGAAAACGAGAATAAAAAGAGGATGTTCTGTAAAATGTCATGATTCAGTGGCTAAATGTCCATTATTAAGCCTCAGTCACAGAGGTTTGACTCGCGACAGAAAAGGCGATCAGTTGATCATTGATCAGTTTCACGTTTGAAGTAGCAGCAGGAGAGGGAGGGAGAGAGAAGAGGCACTCGCTCCTTATATCGGTTGTTAAGCTTAACGCGGGAATGCTTTACAAACATTCAGAGATGAACTTACACACTTGCTTTACTTCTCTCTGGGATCACTTCCTCGGAGATGAAATGCTGGTTTGGTAGCGAGGCTCCAAATACACACAGCCGCTCTATCAGGTGAGCACACTGCTCCAACGTGCTCCGACGTTATGAGCCGAGTTATGCCGTGTCGCAAGTTTTGTGAGGTGCTTTTTTGATATTTAATGGATCGGATTACATTTTTATTTCTCTCCGATATCCAGTAATTTACGTCAGCATCGGACCGATACCGATACGTAATATCAGATACCGATACGTAATATCAGATACGTAATATCAGATACCGATACGTAATATCAGATACGTAATATCAGATACCGATACGTAATATCGATACCGATACGTAATATCGGATCGGTCCATCTCTACTTTAAAGTAAACTTTTCTTTAATATCTTGAAGTTCAAGTTTTGCTGCCTTCCTCTCTGCTTTTTGTCCACACTCTTATAACCTTCCCTTACTCTGTTCTCCATTAATTTCTCCATTCAAGTCCATTTTCAGTATTTATTTTCATGTTTCAATGTCTCCTTGATTTAGTACTGGTTGCTCATTGCCTTTTTTAGTTCTGTCTTTATTTGGGTTTTGATATGCTACTGTTTGGTTGTCCTCAGCTGTGTTAATTACATGCACCCATGTCTTGTTGCTCAGGGGTGTCTAATTCCCACTTAACCCTCTGTTTGCAAATTAAAACAACTAATTAAAAAAAAAACCTTGTGCCGGTTTAGCTCAGTGGGTGAGCAGGCAACCGTATTCCGTATGGCTGGAGAGCAGTAGGCCCAGGTTTGCATCTCTTCTCCTTTCTCATCCTGCTTTCACGTCTATCAACACCGTCTCTATCCACTAAAGGAAAAAAAAAAACCTGACTTTTTTGTGAATCTTCAAATCAGCTATTGAAGTTCATCTTTTTTAAAATTGTTTCATGTCCTGTAATCTGTATTTGAGTCTTTGAATCCATGTTTAAAATCTATTTTTCTGTCCAATGCCATATTTTTATTGCCTTTTTTTTTTTTTGCATTTCCACATTTTTTGTTTCTTGTTTGTTCATCTTTAAACTTTTAAAGTTCAAATAAAGTTTCGTTTGATTTTGCAGCACTGCCTTGGCATACAAAGGGTAACTTAGCCCAAAGTTCAACTTCAGCTTGTCAACACAATACACTGATATTTTGAACAAGAAGTACTAGCTGCGAATTCTCCAAAATCTCTTTGTACAAAAGTAAAAAAGTATAAGAAAGAATCTGTCCTATTGGTTATCGTGATGTGAATGTCCATTATAAAGCCTCAGACACAGAGGTTTGACCCCACTCAGTGAAATCAACGAGGATGGTCCCTGAGACTGCTTTGGACACTAGCAGAATTATTTTGGAGTTGTATGTGCATTACTGTTTAAGGCACTTACACTGGGTGTGTTGACCCTGGGTGATGTCCAAAACCTGCAGGACACCGGCCCTTGAGGTTTGGAGCTGGACAGCCCTGGTTTAAGGTACTTACACTGACAAGTATAATCCACCTCCAGGTACTTGTAGGTGCCAACACAGGGGTCTCCAAATACAGAGTTGCTCGCTGAGATAGTACAGCTGTTTTTCCCATTACAACTTTGAATGCAGATAGAAAGTGAGTCAGCAAAGGGTTTAACACACTGCACGTTGTGTAGCCTGGTAAAAGAAAAAACGTAAAACTAAACAAAGACAGTCAATCTGTACCTTTTAGCTACAACACTGGTGCTCGTCTGACTTGAGCACTGGACAACTTGGAGCTGAGAGGCCGGACGTCCATCAGAGCATGTGGTTTTGTCACGGCGTCCATAATCAGCTCCGTGGATGACTAAAACCTGTCCTTTTTCTGAGGAAGAGATCATAGCATTAAACAATAACCATGTTTACATTTCAATAAATGAAATTCAACAAAGTTACAAAAAAGAAAACCTCACCACACTGAAGGTTTGCCTCAGATCCTTCACATGTTGCACTCGGGACTGAGAGAAAAACACAAAACACATTAGAAAGTGTAATAATTCATGTGCAGACTGATTATTAGTTCATGATTTAATTCGTAACTTGAACTCTTTTGCAACCTTTTCCTTCTGTTTCATCTTTTCTGCATCCTCCAATCTGTCTTTGAATAATATATATGAAACGTAGTATGATTTTATTATTTTTGTTTTCCTCTGTCCATTTGAATTTTTACTGTCATTTTATGTTTTGCATCTCACATGTTCCCCAGTTTCCTTTTGGTTCATTTTTTACCTTTTTAAAATTAATTTCAGTTTTATTTAAATATTGCCAAATCAGCAGTCACGTCAAGGCATTTCATACCCTTAAAGACCCTACAGAAATAAAGAGAAAACTAGTTTATTTTGGAGAACCTCCTTAAAAACAAAGGTGTATTTAAGCCAACACAATAAACAGATGTTTCGGATTAAGTCCTAGCTGCGAATGCTCCACATTATATTGATGTTTGTTTGTTTTTTAAAGAAAACGAGAATAAAAAGAGGATGTTCTGTAAAATGTCATGATTCAGTGGCTAAATGTCCATTATTAAGCCTCAGTCACAGAGGTTTGACTCGCGACAGAAAAGGCGATCAGTTGATCATTGATCAGTTTCACGTTTGAAGTAGCAGCAGGAGAGGGAGGGAGAGAGAAGAGGCACTCGCTCCTTATATCGGTTGTTAAGCTTAACGCGGGAATGCTTTACAAACATTCAGAGATGAACTTACACACTTGCTTTACTTCTCTCTGGGATCACTTCCTCGGAGATGAAATGCTGGTTTGGTAGCGAGGCTCCAAATACACACAGCCGCTCTATCAGGTGAGCACACTGCTCCAACGTGCTCCGACGTTATGAGCCGAGTTATGCCGTGTCGCAAGTTTTGTGAGGTGCTTTTTTGATATTTAATGGATCGGATTACATTTTTATTTCTCTCCGATATCCAGTAATTTACGTCAGCATCGGACCGATACCGATACGTAATATCAGATACCGATACGTAATATCAGATACGTAATATCAGATACCGATACGTAATATCGATACCGATACGTAATATCGGATCGGTCCATCTCTACTTTAAAGTAAACTTTTCTTTAATATCTTGAAGTTCAAGTTTTGCTGCCTTCCTCTCTGCTTTTTGTCCACACTCTTATAACCTTCCCTTACTCTGTTCTCCATTAATTTCTCCATTCAAGTCCATTTTCAGTATTTATTTTCATGTTTCAATGTCTCCTTGATTTAGTACTGGTTGCTCATTGCCTTTTTTAGTTCTGTCTTTATTTGGGTTTTGATATGCTACTGTTTGGTTGTCCTCAGCTGTGTTAATTACATGCACCCATGTCTTGTTGCTCAGGGGTGTCTAATTCCCACTTAACCCTCTGTTTGCAAATTAAAACAACTAATTAAAAAAAAAACCTTGTGCCGGTTTAGCTCAGTGGGTGAGCAGGCAACCGTATTCCGTATGGCTGGAGAGCAATAGGCCCAGGTTTGCATCTCTTCTCCTTTCTCATCCTGCTTTCACGTCTATCAACACCGTCTCTATCCACTAAAGGAAAAAAAAAAACCTGACTTTTTTGTGAATCTTCAAATCAGCTATTGAAGTTCATCTTTTTTAAAATTGTTTCATGTCCTGTAATCTGTATTTGAGTCTTTGAATCCATGTTTAAAATCTATTTTTCTGTCCAATGCCATATTTTTATTGCCTTTTTTTTTTTTTGCATTTCCACATTTTTTGTTTCTTGTTTGTTCATCTTTAAACTTTTAAAGTTCAAATAAAGTTTCGTTTGATTTTGCAGCACTGCCTTGGCATACAAAGGGTAACTTAGCCCAAAGTTCAACTTCAGCTTGTCAACACAATACACTGATATTTTGAACAAGAAGTACTAGCTGCGAATTCTCCAAAATCTCTTTGTACAAAAGTAAAAAAGTATAAGAAAGAATCTGTCCTATTGGTTATCGTGATGTGAATGTCCATTATAAAGCCTCAGACACAGAGGTTTGACCCCACTCAGTGAAATCAACGAGGATGGTCCCTGAGACTGCTTTGGACACTAGCAGAATTATTTTGGAGCTGTATGTGCATTACTGTTTAAGGCACTTACACTGGGTGTGTTGACCCTGGGTGATGTCCAAAACCTGCAGGACACCGGCCCTTGAGGTTTGGAGCTGGACAGCCCTGGTTTAAGGTACTTACACTGACAAGTATAATCCACCTCCAGGTACTTGTAGGTGCCAACACAGGGGTCTCCAAATACAGAGTTGCTCGCTGAGATAGTACAGCTGTTTTTCCCATTACAACTTTGAATGCAGATAGAAAGTGAGTCAGCAAAGGGTTTAACACACTGCACGTTGTGTAGCCTGGTAAAAGAAAAAACGTAAAACTAAACAAAGACAGTCAATCTGTACCTTTTAGCTACAACACTGGTGCTCGTCTGACTTGAGCACTGGACAACTTGGAGCTGAGAGGCCGGACGTCCAGCAGAGCATGTGGTTTTGTCACGGCGTCCATAATTAGCTCCGTGGATGACTAAAACCTGTCCTTTTTCTGAGGAAGAGATCATAGCATTAAACAATAACCATGTTTACATTTCAATAAATGAAATTCAACAAAGTTACAAAAAAGAAAACCTCACCACACTGAAGGTTTGCCTCAGATCCTTCACATGTTGCACTCGGGACTGAGAGAAAAACACAAAACACATTAGAAAGTGTAATAATTCATGTGCAGACTGATTATTAGTTCATGATTTAATTCGTAACTTGAACTCTTTTGCAACCTTTTCCTTCTGTTTCATCTTTTCTGCATCCTCCAATCTGTCTTTGAATAATATATATGAAACGTAGTATGATTTTATTGTTTTTGTTTTCCTCTGTCCATTTGAATTTTTACTGTCATTTTATGTTTTGCATCTCACATGTTCCCCAGTTTCCTTTTGGTTCATTTTTTACCTTTTTAAAATTAATTTCAGTTTTATTTAAATATTGCCAAATCAGCAGTCACGTCAAGGCATTTCATACCCTTAAAGACCCTACAAAAATAAAGAGAAAACTAGTTTATTTTGGAGAACCTCCTTAAAAACAAAGGTGTATTTAAGCCAACACAATAAACAGATGTTTCGGATTAAGTCCTAGCTGCGAATGCTCCACATTATATTGATGTTTGTTTGTTTTTTAAAGAAAACGAGAATAAAAAGATGATGTTCTGTAAAATGTCATGATTCAGTGGCTAAATGTCCATTATTAAGCCTCAGTCACAGAGGTTTGACTCGCGACAGAAAAGGCGATCAGTTGATCATTGATCAGTTTCACGTTTGAAGTAGCAGCAGGAGAGGGAGGGAGAGAGAAGAGGCACTCGCTCCTTATATCGGTTGTTAAGCTTAACGCGGGAATGCTTTACAAACATTCAGAGATGAACTTACACACTTGCTTTACTTCTCTCTGGGATCACTTCCTCGGAGATGAAATGCTGGTTTGGTAGCGAGGCTCCAAATACACACAGCCGCTCTATCAGGTGAGCACACTGCTCCAACGTGCTCCGTCGTTATGAGCCGAGTTATGCCGTGTCGCAAGTTTTGTGAGGTGCTTTTTTGATATTTAATGGATCGGATTACATTTTTATTTCTCTCTGATATCCAGTAATTTACGTCAGCATCGGACCGATACCGATACGTAATATCAGATACCGATACATAATATCAGATACGTAATATCAGATACCGATACGTAATATCAGATACGTAATATCAGATACCGATACATAATATCGATACCGATACGTAATATCGGATCCGTCCATCTCTACTTTAAAGTAAACTTTTCTTTAATATCTTGAAGTTCAAGTTTTGCTGCCTTCCTCTCTGCTTTTTGTCCACACTCTTATAACCTTCCCTTACTCTGTTCTCCATTAATTTCTCCATTCAAGTCCATTTTCAGTATTTATTTTCATGTTTCAATGTCTCCTTGATTTAGTACTGGTTGCTCATTGCCTTTTTTAGTTCTGTCTTTATTTGGGTTTTGATATGCTACTGTTTGGTTGTCCTCAGCTGTGTTAATTACATGCACCCATGTCTTGTTGCTCAGGGGTGTCTAATTCCCACTTAACCCTCTGTTTGCAAATTAAAACAACTAATTAAAAAAAAAACCTTGTGCCGGTTTAGCTCAGTGGGTGAGCAGGCAACCGTATTCCGTATGGCTGGAGAGCAATAGGCCCAGGTTTGCATCTCTTCTCCTTTCTCATCCTGCTTTCACGTCTATCAACACCGTCTCTATCCACTAAAGGAAAAAAAAAAACCCGACTTTTTTGTGAATCTTCAAATCAGCTATTGAAGTTCATCTTTTTTAAAATTGTTTCATGTCCTGTAATCTGTATTTGAGTCTTTGAATCCATGTTTAAAATCTATTTTTCTGTCCAATGCCATATTTTTATTGCCTTTTTTTTTTTTTGCATTTCCACATTTTTTGTTTCTTGTTTGTTCATCTTTAAACTTTTAAAGTTCAAATAAAGTTTCGTTTGATTTTGCAGCACTGCCTTGGCATACAAAGGGTAACTTAGCCCAAAGTTCAACTTCAGCTTGTCAACACAATACACTGATATTTTGAACAAGAAGTACTAGCTGCGAATTCTCCAAAATCTCTTTGTACAAAAGTAAAAAAGTATAAGAAAGAATCTGTCCTATTGGTTATCGTGATGTGAATGTCCATTATAAAGCCTCAGACACAGAGGTTTGACCCCACTCAGTGAAATCAACGAGGATGGTCCCTGAGACTGCGTTGGACGCTAGCAGAATTATTTTGGAGTTGTATGTGCATTACTGTTTAAGGCACTTACACTGGGTGTGTTGACCCTGGGTGATGTCCAAAACCTGCAGGACACCGGCCCTTGAGGTTTGGAGCTGGACAGCCCTGGTTTAAGGTACTTACACTGACAAGTATAAACCACCTCCAGGTACTTGTAGGTGCCAACACAGGGGTCTCCAAATACAGAGTTGCTCGACGAGATAGTACAGCTGTTTTTCCCATTACAGCTTTGAATGCAGATAGAAAGTGAGTCAGCAAAGGGTTTAACACACTGCACGTTGTGTAGCCTGGTAAAAGAAAAAACGTAAAACTAAACAAAGACAGTCAATCTGTACCTTTCAGCTACAACACTGGTGCTCGTCTGACTTGAGCACTGGACAACTTGGAGCTGAGAGGCCGGACGTCCAGCAGAGCATGTGGTTTTGTCATGGCGTCCATAATCAGCTCCGTGGATAACTAAAACCTGTCCTTTTTCTGAGGAAGAGATCATAGCATTAAACAATAACCATGTTTACATTTCAATAAATGAAATTCAACAAAGTTACAAAAAAGAAAACCTCACCACACTGAAGGTTTGCCTGAGATCCTTCACATGTTGCACTCTGGACTGAGAGAAAAACACAAAACACATTAGAAAGTGTAATAATTCATGTGCAGACTGATTATTAGTTCATGATTTAATTCGTAAGTTGAACTCTTTTGCATCCTTTTCCTCCTGTTTCATCGTTTCTGCATCCTGCAATCTGTCTTTGAATAAAATAAAAACGTAGTATGATTTTTTATACTTGTTTTCCTCTGTAATAAGGTACTTACACTGACAAGTATAATCCACCTCCAGGTACTTGTAGGTGCCAAAACAAGGGTTTCCAAACACAGAGTTGCTCGCTGAGATATTACAGCTGTTTTTCCCATTACAGCTTTGAATGGAGATAAAAAGTGAGTCAGCAGAAGTTTGACATACTGCATATCTGGGAGAAAATTAAAAGTTGAAAAAAGACAGTAACCATCTGTACCTTGCAGCTATTACTTCAATGCTCTCTGGACTTGAGCACTGGACATCTCTGAGCCTACAGTGAGGTTGTAAGTTAGAGCACGTGGTTTGGTCATGGCGTCCATAATCAGCTCTGTGAATGACTAAAATCTGCCCTTTCCCTGAGGACGAGATCACAGCGTTAAACTATAAACAAGTTTGCATTTCAATGAAATGTTTTCAATAAGTTACAAAAAAGAAAACCTCACCACACTGAAGGTTTGCCTCAGATTCTTCACATGTTACAGTCTGGACTGAGAGAAAAGCGTAAATCACATTCATTAAATCACAAACTTTAAAAATTAATGTGGAGAAAAATAGCTAAAATAGACAGAGACATTTCTCTTTCTAATCATTCTTCCATACATGGTAATTAAACTCATTCTCCGAATACTCCCCGGGGGATTTACACTTTCTTGACTCTTCTTCTGTCACTTGTTACTAGGCAAGCTCAAATGCAGTTAGAAGCTAAATGAATTCCTGGCCTTCGGCCTGGCCTATGTTTAAATCATATATGTCTGTAAGCGTGAATGCTGTTTTAACCTTCCATTGGTCCAAGTCACTTACATAATAGATCGGCTGGGACATCGCGCCCACCGAAGCTTAAGACCTTAAATAAACCGAACATCAACTCTTTTAATGAGCGCAACATAAAATGTGTGTATACAATGATTATAGCTGCACCTGTAATAAAAAGGTTAATATGATGCCAGTAGCTTTAATAAACATTTTAATGCAATATTAATGATGAAAGCTACATTGTAGCAGTAAAATAATTTCTTTATTCTCACACTAAATATTATTTCATGATCACAGATTTAATTTGTAAGTTTTGCAACGTTTTCCTTCTTGGTTTGGATTTGATTTTGTGTTTTCCACCTCACATTTTTAAATTTTTGATTGTTCACCTTCTAGCTTTTAAAAGTGGAATAAAGTTGAGTTTGATTCTGGAGCACAATCTTGAAATCCAAAAATTAAATCGAAATGTGTATTTATGCACTAAGTGAAATCAAAAAGAATGGTCCTTTGGTCGCTAGCATGTGTACGTTACTGTTTAAGGTACAGAGGTTTGACTCCGCTGGATGAAATTAAAGTTGATGGTTCTTGTGAATATATTGTTTGCTAGCATTTTTTTGGAGTTGTATGTGCACTACTGTTTGAGGTACTTACACTGACAAGTATAATCCACCTCCAGGTACTTGTAGGTGCCCACACAGGGGTCTCCAAACACAGAGTTGCTCGCTGAGATAGTACAGCTGTTCTTCCCATTACAGCTTTGAATGCAGATAAAAAGTGAGTCAGCAGATGTTTAACATACTGCACATTGTGTAATCTGGAAAAAAAAGTAAAACTAAACAAAGACAACCAATCTGTACCTTTCAGCTACAACATTGGTGCTTGTCTGACTTGAGCACTGGACAACTTGGAGCTGAGAGGCCGGACGTCCAGCAGAGCATGTGGTTTTGTCACGGCGTCCATAATTAGCTCCGTGGATGACTAAAACCTGCCCTTCACCTGAGGGAGACATTAAACTATAACCATGTTTTCATTTCAAACAAATTATTTCAAAAATAAAAAGACAAACCAACAAAAAATAACCCTCACCACACTGCAGGTTTGCCTGAAATCCTTCGCATGTTACACTCTGGACTAAAAGAAGAGACATAAATTGTTTAATTTTCAGCAATTTTTTGAATTTCTCTGACAAAAAAGAAGTGACATAACACTTACAAATGTGATTTTAAGAGTTCAGTGCTAACAGTGGAGCTCAATGGCACAGACTAACATCTGTCTTTGATATCGAATCAGTATTTATTAGTAGATTAAATTTATTATTTTTTGTTATTTGGACAGAGGTGATGAACAAAACAAAACAAAACAAAAAAAGAAAGTTTAACCTTAAAAGTTGAAGCCAGTGCTAAAATCCTAAAACCTGCAGTTCCCTGAACATCCACCGGAGTCTCCCGCAGTGAGTCACTGCCATAATAAAAGGTCCACCTTTACATGGCAGCAGAAGTAAAACTGTTTTGGTCTCTATTACTGTTTATTTAAATAACAATTTTTTAAAACAATTATATGTGTGAGGTTAATTTTTTTTTAACAGACCAGTTTAAACGCTTAATGAAAGCATAAATTTTCCATTATTATGGGCGTTGGCTTTTTGGCTGATTGGTTCAATGGGACAGGTGACCCCTAGTAGGAGGAGTTTAAGTAACTCTGGGTCTTGTTTCCAAGTGAGGGAAAAGGGGAGAAGTAGTTGACACAGGGATTAATGCAGTGTCTACAGTTGTGTGAACTCTGCTGGTATGGGCTCAAATTTTGGTCAGTAATATTTTGTACTTGTAAATCAAATGTGTACTTGTGAACTGGGTTTTGTAACCTTGTGAACCAAAATATGTGAAAATTTTTATGTTTGTGTATCTATAGATGAGAATTTGTGTGTGTGTAAAAAGATTTGTGTTTGTAAAACTCTGCACTCAACTTCCCTGGCTGTGTGTGTGTTTGAACTTACGAGCACAAATTTGGACCCAACGTCTGAGCATCTCTGCTTAGACTCAAGCAACATGGACTTCTTTTGCTGGCTTAAGGCACTTCCATATTAGCTCCACTTTTCTAACCCAGGAGGTCTGTACATCTTTCATATACAGAGTATGCTTTTCTTACCGTGGCTCAAGCGGCAGATCTGGCTGTCACAGGGGGGCTTTCTTTGTGGGGACACGGTGGTCTCAGCTCTGGTATAGCCTGAAATTTAAAATAATGAGTCTTTGCTGTATTAATAAGTGCTGTATTGCTAATTTTATAGTCACAATTTAATAGTTTAGTTGTTCCTGCCTTTTTTAAGCAAATAAATATCCAAATAAACAATCCACCTATTTACTTACACAATAGTAAATAAATGTTATATATAGTAACTGAAAACCCAAAGTGCTTTACAGTAGAAAAGCGCTTTTGGTTTCTAGTATGTTTTTGCAACACTGCAATACATCTGCCGTTTTCAGTTCATCCTTTCGTGTCTGCGAGTCCTGCATTTGGGTCCTACATCCTGCCACACAGCGTATGACATGAGCATAATAACCATCTTGTGTTAACTGTCATTTACTGTCAGTTATTTGTATGGCACATTTCACAGAATACAAGTTGACACCCAATCACATCATTTGGTTGTAATTAAAAAACATTAAAGACGTGAATCTGATGACAGATTCACGTCTTAAATCAGGACAGGATCCATCAGCTGCAAATCGTTATCAGTATTAGTACTTGGTATCAGAATCCAGAATCCAGCGACAAAGGAGGTAAGGCCTGCTGTTGATTCAGGAAACACGTTCACGTTTATTGGTGATAGTCACAGTTAACACAGGCAGCTTCCTGCGCAATTTCACGTAACAGCTTGATGCTTGTGTTTACACTCAGGGTTTCTTACATGGTTTAGAATTAACAGACAGGATGTAAATAAAAGGTCCCATGTAATCAGAGTGAAAGCACAAGTTCAGCAAATCTATTAGATCGGATCAAGGTGGCAATATAAATGTAGCCGGGTGGAAGTTCGATATTATGGGACATGCCACTGGATGGCACTGTTTTTCTTTTGGGGTACCTCTGAGAGCGGAAGGGATCATGGGGATCTACGGAGACATGCACGAGTGCTAGCTTGCATTGGTGTTATGTGGGTGTGCAATGCCTTTTTTCGCTGCGTGATCTGTTTTGAACGCAAAGTGTGCAACAGTTAAGGCACCAGGAGTAGCTGCCACCAACTTCGCCGTTCGTCTCAGAGGGATCCATATTCCGTTTTCTGCTGGATTAATGCACTGTATGTATTTGAGTTCACACTTGTATTATACTATCTCTGTGGGTAAGAGGGAAATGTACCGTGTTAACTGTTTAATCTTGGCTCTGTATCTATGCAGGAGAAGCCACTACAGTTATTTTTGCACTGCTAAGTTTTGTTTTATTTATGTTTGGGTTTATATCAGACACGAAATGACGCTAGATGTCCTTGAGTTCCAGATGCTGATAAAGTTGGGGAAATAACCTGCAGTAGCAGTGGGTTACCAGAGCACAAAGCTGTTACTGGATAGGAGCTGTCTGTAACAATTTTATTTCTTTATTTTTACAACCTTGTTATTTTCTTCTGAGCACTTACTTTATCATTCAGATTAAAAGAACCCCAAAGATAATCTGTGTTCTGGGCTGGTTAATTTAGCCAGGCTACATAAAGTTAAAAACTGGCACATTAGGACAAAAGTGACTGAAACGTGTATTTACCTGAACTCATGAGTAAACATGTTACTCCCAGAACTGAAAATCAGAAAAGAAAAAAATACTATTATTGAGTTTGAATGATTTAAAATCCAACCTAAAAGTTGTTACAAGTAACTTGTAAATAATTAATAACCCATTTAATTAGATTTGAAAAGTTTGAAGTCTTTTATAAAGGAAGATTAGAAAGCACCTCATCTCAAGTACCTCTTAAAGATAAAAAGCTTAAGAAGAGTGACACTTAATCTTTCCCTCTGACTTTATGAAAAACTCTATATTTAAATAATCAGTCTGTTGTACTCACAGAACATCCTGCTGAGTCCAGAGAGCATGATGTTAGTGAAGAGCTGAGCAGATAAAACAGAGAACCTGTGTATTTCTACTGCTTGGCTAAGAAATATTATGTGCATGCAAGACAAACACACAATGCAAAAATGAAAATATTTGCTTTATCAGACGTCACAAATATTTTTTTAAAAAGTAATAATTGAAAGATTACATGTAACCATACTAAAATATGAACCATAAAAAACAAAAACTATAAAAACGTGAAGGAAAAGGAATAATCTAAGGCGCTTGGAAAGAAAAGCGACTGGATTTGTTTGAGTCGAGAAGAAACTCAAGAAACTCAAACAAGTCGAGTCGTTTTTCTTTCCAAGCTCCTTAGATTTCTGTGGCTTAGCTGACTGAAAACTTACACTGGCAAAAATGTATAGGTTGCTGTTAGTACTCTCATTGTGGTATTTTGGATGAACTTGAAAGCACTTCGGGTAGGTTTTCCAAAAACAATTTCATGCTTTTAACAGATGTATCAACTTGTTTTTCAACATCACTCCAAGACGCAAAGTTTTTTATTTTAGCAGTAATGTGTATACGAAAGAAGTCAGCTCTACATATTTCTCACTGGAAGCCGAAGTTAGGGCATCCATAGTCACTTTCATGTGTTTAACCCATGCCTGTAGTTGAACTAATCTTATAATCTAAAATAATTGTTTTATCAGACCATTAATATGATTTTTTTTTTTACTGTTTTCTACAGATATTACCAAAGGGAAGCGACATATAAATAATGTAGCTGCTGTTTCTGATGAACACTAAATCCTGACACAAACTTTACAAATAAACCTCATATGCTAATAATCACATAGCTAATTTACAACAGTAACAGTTTTGAGAATTTTTAAGTAAAATTAGATTAATAGTTTTAAATGTAAATATTATTAAGGAATATGATTCAATGTTCAGTTTTATGACACACAAAATGCAGTTTCAACTATATTTTTAAATTCACGCACTATAATTATTGCATTTATACACAACATCTACTATTATACACAAATTATAGTAGAAAATTATTTATTCTGTTTATGCTGTGATACGAACAAAGAAGTTAAGCGTTACCTTGTTAGAACGATCCAGCAAAGATGCACAGCCAGTATCTGGGACACGCAGCGTTTATGAGTACCTTTTTGGGATGATGACATATCCGGATGACATACCCGGATGCAACTAAGTAAATATTAGTTAAGAAAACAAGGGTGTTAACTAGTAAATAGTTTAACTGTAGCATGCATTAATGTATTAACGTGGTTAGCCTACTCAATGTAAATTACACACGAACAACATTGAGCTACTCACGCAGAGAAGAAAAGCTGCTGCTGCCATCATCATCCGTCATCGATTGTGCTACACTGGCAGGGCTAGGGGCCAGGACTCTCCTCTTCGGGTTCTTGGGGGATGTTGCTAACTCCGGTACCGATAACAAGCACCACACCTGTAGTAGGTTTGGTGCATTTCTTGCCTTTAAATTATACCCGCTATGGTAAATGGTAAATGGCCTGTATTTATATAGCGCTTTACTAGTCCCTAAGGACCCCAAAGCGCTTTACATATCCAGTCATCCACCCATTCACACACACACACATTCACACACTGGTGATGGCAAGCTACATTGTAGCCACAGCCACCCTGGGGCGCACTGACAGAGGCGAGGCTGCTGGACACTGGTGCCACCGGGCCCTCTGATCACCACCAGTAGGCAACGGGTGAAGTGTCTTGCCCAAGGACACAACGACCGAGACTGTCCAAGCCGGGGCTCGAACCGGCAACCTTCCGATTACAAGGCAAACTCCCAACTCTTGAGCCACGATCGCGACGCTATGCGTCGCCAGGTGTTTTATCAGATTCGAGATGTTACCTCCTTTGCACAGTATCACATTAAAGCACTTGTTGCAGGCTGCTGAGTTTGCATCTGTGAAGTACATGCAGTACATGCAGCTGTGAAGTACAGCCAGACTTTTGACCGCTTGGACTTGGGCATTTTTAATCTGTAGCTCTGCTCTAAAAGAACATACGCACCTGGGCCCGCCTACTATCCTTGGAAACGTAAAATGATTAGCTAGAATCTGAAGTGTATGACATCTCAGGAAAAAAAAAGGACCGAAATAAAGCACCGAAATGTGCGCTGCTTTTCGGTCTGGTTACTACTGTTTATGTCAGAACCGGTGCCATTATGGCATTATGGATAAGATCTTGGAGAAGAAGAACGGGAATTGACACCTGGTGACCAGTGACGGACATTAGACAAAACTGTAAAACTGGATGCAGTTTGTTCGCACTAACCAAAACAACTACCATGATCACTAATGCAGCTATCCCATTGGCGTCAGCTAAAGGCCTGACAAGGTCGAAGCTGACTGGAACAACAAAAATTCTCCTATGAAAACAGGACTGTTGTCAGATCTCTTTGTCCCTCCTTCAAGGCCTCCTGGGTCCACTGAAGACTGTGAACCTTTGCTTAACTGGGCGTGGTGACGCTTTCTCTCAGCTGAATACGGGATAAACACACACACGCACGCACACATGTCACCTGGGTAGGCTGGAAGACTGTTTACTTAGCCTGGCAGGGCGAAGGACACTCTACACACCCACATACACATACACTGATACACACTCATCCCCCCTCCCTTTCCAAACGCCTTCGATGCCTTCCATTTTTACATTGTCAGTTACAAACCTGTTAGCATCCAATTTAGAACCGAATACATTACAATAGCACAGGGAGCCCATTTTGAGTACCAATGTAGCAGACGTATACAAAGCAAATAGTTCAATTGCAGAGAAAATGACACAAACCCTAATCAACAATCACAGTTTGTCATGTTAAAAGAGACAATGCGGAGGTGGAGGTGACAGACATAAATAAGCGACTTGAGTGGCTAATAACTACATTAGAGAGGCAGTACAGGTTTAGCTAATGGATCGAGTAAAAGGGGAGAGGTTGAGAGAGTCTGGACATGCAGAGAAGAGCGATGAGGGTTAGACTGGGGGTAGGATATTGTGGCAAGAGGAAAGACACAGAGGCCCTGGGAGGTTTATGGATGTAGTGAGAAAGGACATGCAGGAGTCACAATGAAAGATACAGAAAACAGACAGATGGAAAAGACGATCAGTTGATGATCCCTGGAGGACAAAACCACCAGCTTCTTGTGGGAGGCAGGCCACCCTACGGAACAGATCCCTGTCTAGCAGTAGTGCATCCTGACAGTAGTTTTTCATCCTGACATGCACACTCTATTCAAATGTCCAGAACCACATGGTTGGTGAAATAGTGGTGAAGTGTGACGCTTGCACAGAATTTTACAAGCAAAAGGCCCGTCTGCATTTTTCTGTTGAGCAAAACAAAAGCTGTTTTGCTCAAAAGAAAACAACTGTCCCTTTCTTTAACAGAATCAAGCACTTTCGGGTGTATTTGGGTATCGTCCACTTCTGAATGTTCAGTTTCAGACAAACACCTGGTTACTTGTTCCAGGGGGTTTCTCACACTCCTCACATGTTTATTGATTTGTTGCAGGTAGTTTTCAAATAGGAAACAGGAAATGCCATTTAAGGAACAGTTCAAGTGGCTGGCATCCTCATGGAGATGAATTACTCCATGTACACTGTTTATAGGAAAGGTCTTGTCAGGTCACCACAGCACATAACAAAAAGTTTGACGATAAGCATTTCAAATCCACTCATCTGACTCTAGCATTATCGACATGGATACAGTCAAGGACAAGAAATGTTTGCATCTTTTAGGGGACAACAGTTTTCAATACCACAGGACCTGTGTATAGCAAAAAACGACATAGTTCAGTGGCTTTCCACTTATATCGTGTAAAACCCTCATTTGTTGAGCAAATTCATTTGGCATCTTCCCTCTTCCTGCAATTACTTAATGAGAAATTAAATTTTTTTGCCTCATAGTTAAAAAACAACGACTTTTGGGCCACGAGTTAAGTAAATAAACAGGTGCCTAACTATTCCCAAGATGAAACTTTATTAATCCCTTGAGTGGGTTCCTCTGGGAAATTCAGTTTCCAGTAGCACAGCACCGACAGAAGTTGCATGTTACAGATACAATAAGGGGAATGAGAGTAAGCATAAATATACCATATATACACATATATAAATACAGAACATATAATATGGATAAATAGGATTGAACATTTGAGTGAGTATATTGCACAGTGATTATTGCACAATTGAATTTAAGAAAAAAATATTGAGTGTAAATAAGCACTACAGCTCAGTTGTTTACGCCCTCCCTTGACCCTGTTTCCCCTCCCTGTCCCCTCCAGTGAGGAGTTAAACAGTCTGATGGCGAGTGGGACAAAGGAATTTTTAAGTCTGTTGGTTTTTGACTTTGGGAGAAGCGACCTGTCGCTTAATAGGCTCGTCTGATTGTTTATGATTGTGTGCAGAGGATGCCCAGCATTGTCCATAATGTCCAGCAGTTTCTTTAATGTCCTTTTCTCTGCCACTGTCACCAGAGTGTCCAGCTTAATGCCGACCACAGAGCCTGTGGTTATTATGTGCATATAATCTAAGACAAATGAGCTAACACAAAGAATTCCAGGGGCTGACACCAGTGTCTTGGTTACTGTACTCCACTATGAAAAACCTTCATCTGTTTGAGAAGTGCATCCCTGTTCCCTTAAAACTATTCTTCCATCAACACGATCACCTCTGATTGATTATCTTTCACAACTCTTATATGGAGTATGTGTCATGGTTGGCTGTGTGGCAGGCAAGCAAGCAGGAGAGGTGGACCCAAAATGCAGAACTCAGACACGGAAGTGAAACTTAAAGCACAGCTTTATTGCTGGGAAAAACCTCGTACTAACTAAACTCACCAAAAGCCAAACAAACTGAACAGAGGAACCGAGGACTGAAACACTGGAAAAGAAATACTAAACTGGAGCAGGAGACGCAACACTCGCAACACTCGCAACAGAACACACAGCTAGTGTGGTGGTTGTTGGCAACCTTTGGCTGTCCTAGCTATCGTGACAACAGTGAGTTTAAAGGGCAAAGTACTGAATCACTCTTTTTTTAAACCCCCGTGCTGCCACAATAGTATTTATATTTTTATGTTGTTGTTTAACTGCAACAAAAAATAATTCCTTGTACACTGAATGACAAAGATTGTCTAGGAAACAATATTGTCCTGTGTGCAAAAGAAAAAATCATCATCATGTTGTGTAAATGTTAGGTAAGCACAACAAAGGTGCACACAAAATATAAACTGTAGCTTTGATCCATGTAAAACTTAGCTGAGCCACCCTAGTGTTAAACAGCAATTAGCTAAAACCAAAGCATAATTGCTCTGAACACATCTGGGATACACTACTGTCTTGATCCTGCCTCACTCCTAGAGATGGGAATTGATAAGATTTTCACGATTCCGATTCCATTTTCGATTCTGTTTAACAATTCGATTCTTTATCGATTCTCTTATCGATTCTTATTTTTAAAAAAGGAGAACACTAAGGTTGATTAGCTTAGAACTTTGTTTTATATCTTCTCTTTGAACAAGATAGAAATTTAGAAGTAACATGGCCTTACAAACCCAACAGTAAGATCTTAAGAGATCCACAGCCTACGGCTCTTCAGTGGGGTGTCACAGGGTCCCCAGAAAAAAAAAATTGTAAATGTAAAATATTAATAAAATAATTATTCTTCTGTAGCAATAACAAAGTATAACATAAATTATTCTGTAGCAATTACACAAGAATATCCAGTAATGTCCCTGCCTACAATTAAACACTTACTGAAAATCGGGGCATCTGCTGTGGCAAATGGGTGCAAGCCTTTGACCACAAACTTAGTCACTGCTCGGTGACATTCGTCTATCCTGGACTAAAAGGAGACGCTACCGGTAGACTGCAGCGAGAACTGCCAGCATCTGAGCCAGCCAGACTCTGTCTGTCTCTCTCATCTTGGTCACCTAAATGCACAGTAATGGCAGGTTTTCTAATAAGGCAGATCGCGCTAACGTAATATGAAATGTTAGTTGATTCTTTACCTGCCGCATTAACGGGAGAAGACGTGCAAACGTTACCGCTGCTGCTGGGTTGAGATTCACGAGTCAGGAGCGGAATTAAAAACACGACATTCATTTAAGGTCATCGTGTGTTTTGTGAGCAAATGCTTTTGCATATTCGTAGTGTTTCCTCCCTTAAATGAAATATCTACTTTGCAAGTTGCCCTGTTGTCATCTGTTCTCGTAAAGTGTAACCAAACTTTTGAGCGTTTGAGCCGCTTATGCGCAATGTTTCCAGCCAGGTAAATGAGGCTCTGCAACGTGGCAACGTCGAGGTGACTGGAATCGATAAGGGAATCGTTTGCAAAAATGATAAACAATTCCAATTAATTGAAACAGTGGGAACCGGTTCTCAACAAGAACCGGTTTTCGATTCCCATCCGTACTCACTCCTTTGTTTAGATCTATCTGGTCTTAGATAGTAATCTGTATTGTATTTGGGCTATTGGAATTTTTTTTTGCAAGCTATGTTTGTTAGTATGACGTTTTCAGAATTACTAAGTAAAAATAGTGGTGTACAAACATTTGTCAACTTTCTTCTTTTCTACAGGTTTGAACATGGCTGCTTCCACAAAGCAGATGGTATTTTTCATATTCATGTTCAGATTTGACTGTCTATGTGTGTAAATGGACTGGTTTTTGGGCAGCACGGTGGCACGGTGGTTAGCACTGTTGCCGCACAGCAAGAAGGTCCTGAGTTCAATTCCAACATTAGGCCGGGGTCTTTCTGTGTGGAGTTTGCATGTTCTCCCCGTGTTTGCGTGGGTTCCCTCCGGGTACTCCGGCTTCCTCCCACCGTCCAAAGACATGCAACTTGTGGGGATAGGTTAATTGGATAATCCAAATTGCCACTAGGTCTGAATGTGCGAATGAAAGTGAGTGCGAATGGTTGTCTGTCCCTGTGTGTTAACCCTGCGACAGACTGGCGACCTGTCCAGGGTGTACCCCGCCTCTCGCCATATGACAGCTGGGATAGGCTCCTGCGACCCTGAAAAGGATAAGCGGAAGCGGATGGATGGACTTTCTTTCTTTACTTGAGCATTCAAGCGCTCTGTGTAAGAAGCCTCATTCAGCCATTCATACATGCACCTTTTCCTACAAATAAATGCTTTCTATCTAAAATTTGCACACTCTAATGAATGCACCTTGGGTTTAAGTATGTTGCTCGAGGATACTTAGGCATGCAGATTGGAGCCCGGAGCTCTATCTCCTGGGCTACCTTGTGTACACACACACATGCACACGCACAGACAGCTGACCTCAACTCTTTGGTAATGGCTTCTCTCTCCTCTTTGCTCCTCGTCATTTATGTGTAGACAGAAACCAGCTCCATTTTAAACTATGACAACTGCATCTTTCTTCTTCTTCATTGATCTTTTTTTCACTCTTTGTTTTTATGCACCACTCTGTATTTATTCATTTGTTATTATTAATTTTTGGCTCTTTTCCACATTGTGTCTCTTGTCCTGTCTTCCTCCCCTCACTCCCAATGGGCCATGGCTGATGGCTGCCCTTGCTTGAGCCTGGTTCTGTTTGTGGAGGTTTCTACCTGGTAAAACGGAAATTTTCCCTTCCCACTATTGCCAAGTGGTTCCTCATAGGTGCGTCGTCTGGTTGTAGGGGTTTTCTCTGTGTTATGGTAGGGTCTTGATGGAATGATTCAAAATAAATATACGATGATGGAAAATTTCTGTTTCAACTCTCCCGACCTCTGCCTTATTGTTATGTAGTTGTACCTTAAACTGTGTTCAAGGCCATGACGCCTTCATTATTCATCTGGTACTTTTGTGATGTTGAGAGTTTAACTGACAATTTTCAAATAGGAAAGGCAAGTAAAAATGCACATAGAACTACTTGGTTTGAAGTCTACTGTCATATGAATTGTTCTTTAAACATCAACACTCAACCTACCAGAGCCAGTTACTTGGAGTTCACACAGTTGTAATTCCATTGGGTCTATGACTCTGTAAATAAGCAGCTGTTCACTAACAACTTTACCAAAAGTGTATGTGTGTGTGCGTGTGTGTGTATGCATGTGTGTGAGTGAGGTTTGTTTGAAGAAGGGACCACATCATAAAAGAGAAGTGAAAACGTCCTCATTTGAAAGTGAAAACAGAAGAGAAGCCACCTGAATATCAGTATGCCTCAGAACCTCAGTATGAAAGTCTTCCGTGCTTTGGTCTGTTTCATCTTTCTTGGTGGGTCAATTTATTTATATTTCTTTAATTTTGTTATTCTCAGTATTATTTGTCTTTGTTTCCTTTTTATTTCTAGTTGATCAGTAAGTTTAAGCTTCTTGTTGAGCAGTTGTAGCGATAAGCTGTTTCAGCATTTTTTCATTTTCTTCTGCCTCTTACATGTTATTGGTTTCTGTGGTTAAATGCAGAGTTGGAAAGAGTCAGTCAAACATGCAGTTCACTGGAAGTACAACTAAACCTGTGAAGAACTAAAAACTGCTTTAGCAAAGACAAGAAACCCTTGAAATGATAGGTAAAGCAGTTAAATGTTACCATCATTTTCGAAAGGTACTCAGAGTTGGTTCCTTGTTTGCTATACCATTCTCATCTTTTGTGAAGCAAAACATTAGAGAACAAGTGTTGACAACCTGAAAGCTTTGGATGTTAAGCAACAAAAAAGACAATTTTAACCTGTAAACATCCAAAAAGCAGATTAAGATGTCGTCATAAATAAATGAAATTCACAGTCATTTGTCTATATTTGTTGCAAGTTTGTAAATTTGCATATTCGTAGTGCTTCCTCCCTTAAATGAAATATCTACTTTGCAAGTTGCCCTGTTGTCATCTGTTCTCGTAAAGTGTAACCAAACTTTTGAGCGTTTGAGCCGCTTAGGCGCCATGTTTCCTGCCAGGTAAATGAGGCTCTCAACAAGAACCGGTTCCCACTGTTTCGATTAATTAGAATTGTTTATCATTAAATTTGTGACTCTGAGTCTTCCTCAGCAAAAGGTTTGTGTAGATGCCAACAAAAACCAGGAAGTCCATGGTTTGCAAATTCAAATAACTAAAACATAAGTTAAACATACTGAAAACGCTGACTTAACTTGAAAAGTTGTGTTAAAGTGAAGATTTGTCTTCTTTCATTTTAATATATCTTCTTAGGCTGCAAAATTTTACGAGAAGAAAGTAACTAGTGATTTATTGTATTTTCAGCAGGACTGCAGGATGCAGGATACTCTGGTTTTGTTAATGCAGAAACTCCCATCTATACAGAAATGGAGGGTGGAAGCATCACAGTTAAATGCACATTTTCTTTAACTGGAAGAAGGAGACTCTTCTGTACGGGAAAATGTGAAGAAGGAAACATTCTCATTGACACAACTGATGACTCAGCGCAGAATGGCAGATACAGCATTAAATATAAAGAAGGATTTTATCCATTACATAAGACAGTTCTGAATGTGAGCATCACACAGCTGAGAAGATCTGACTCTGGAATGTACAGATGCTCTTTGGACAGAATTTTGCCATTTGATTCAAATGAAGAATTTGAGATTGTTGTCACAGACGGTGAGTTGACTAAATATCATGTTTGTGAAGACATGAAGAATTATTTTCTTTCAAGTGACTCATAATATTTAGACAAAATTGGTTTTATAAATTCTTCTGTAAAACACAGAACAACCCCAAACTGTTTCTCGCATGAACACATACAAACTTCTTTGAGTAGTATTGTTGTGATTGTGGATGTTTCATCTTCACAGCTTCAGTGACCTCAAAACCAAAGTCTACTGTGCAACCTTCGCCAGTTTCAACATTTCTCTCATCAGCCCCCATGACAACAGCAACAGTGACAACATCACCAAAGACCCCAACATCACAGAGTTTAAATTCCATTTCAGGAGGCACCACACCTTCACCAGCCTCCTCTTCAACCTCCAAACAGACACAGACACCTCTTCCAAATTTAGGTACATTATATATATATATATATATATATATATATATATATATATATATATATATATATATATATATATATATGTGTGTGTGTGTGTGGACTAGGATGTCCTCCGGGCCTGTTAAATTTCAAGTGTGTTTATAACTGAGCCACCTGCACGTCCTTTAAACGAGTAAATGGTTGGAATAGTATACACGCATCTGTTCTTTTAAGTAAAAAGTTCAATAAGTGTAAATAAAACATGTAAAATCAGGCAAATATTACACTAAACTGCTCTGAGCAGCTGTAAAAGTTTCAGTCATGCTTGATAAGCAGTTTGTCTGGTGAATGTTTCAATATTTGTGGTAAGTATGCCAGTCCATATGACACTGGGTGTATGCAGTTTTTTCTGAAAAGTGAGTAAAGCCTTTAGGCCATATATTTACACTGTTTGACTAAAACAAATATCTTGTGGTAAGTTACTGCAGGTACGCTGCCTGTGGTGGCTCTTATTCTGATCACTGTCTTACCAGTGGCTTTGCTGATTTTCTGCAAGAAGAGGAGGGCCAGTAAACCTAAAGGTGAGCCTAAAGTAAACATGAACATAAGACAGTGTCTTCATCACTTCAGCAAACACGGTATTGATGTCTATCGCCAACCTTAAACAAGCTGCCTTGCAAAAATGTATTAATATATGTAGCTGGTAATTCTTAAAAGTGCTTCTGCATCATGAACCCTGATTCCTCCCCAGCTCCCTAATCGAAGCTTGAGGCTTATGAGGGCGACTTATGGCAACTTTCTCACTTTAAAAAAAGGGTCGCAAGTTGCATAACAGTATCATCGCTCTGCCATATTTACCATAAAGTTTCTGTTTAACACCTTATATTCTTAGACTCCTAATGATGATACTGTTATACACTATGTTGTTGAACAAACATTTAGAGATCTAAGATTGAGTCAAAGTAAAAATATATATATAGCTTTGAATGACCAAAGAAACCACAAAGTTTTATCATCACTTCATTATTACAGTAAAAGGGGATCAAAAAACTGGATATTTGATGAGTGTTTAAAGTTAAAGTCATAAACACAACATCTGAGGTGCAGCCAGATGTGGCAGCTTCATGGCTTGTGATTTTGCTGTGGCAGTGAATGCAACTCTAACACCCATCTATGCCTCTCTATTTTTAACCACACGACCAGATGTTCATTTAGGATTCAGAACCGTGACTAGTCACAGCAAGTTATTGAACTCCTGACAGTTGTGAAGTCAGTAATCTTTGCAGTTTCTTATTAGAATAATGAGTGAAAAATTTTAATCAGGATAATAATCTTTGAACTCCTTTGGTGTTAATGAATTGATGACAACAATGAGGCAACCCCCCCAAACAGGAATCGTTTTACAACTGGAGACCACTGACAATTTTACCTTCCCCATCTTTTGTCTTCTGTATTTTTGACTAATGTCACTACTGGTAGAATGAGGTGATACCTGGACCTTACACAGGTTGCATAGATAGTCCAACTCAGCAACATCAGCAGGGCTGGTATTTGCTACTTTGTGCAAAATGACCTCCAAAAGGTGTACTAGTGTGAAGGTCTCTGACTAAATAATCAGAAAAAGACTTCATGAGGGTGGCCTGAGTTGCCAATGTACTTTAGTGGGCCCTCTGTTCATTACCTGGCACCGTGGAGCCTGACTGACATTTGCCAAATGAGATTAATTGACATCTGATGTGTTTTTAAAGTGTTCCCTTAGGTTTTTTTAAACAGCGTTGGAGCAGCATATTAAAGACAGATGTTTACTGTTTGCATGTTCTTCAGGGCCTCCTGTGGAAACAGAGCCCCCTGACATTACAACGGTGAGTTTTAGGAATTACAAGACACCTGAACTTGATTTTAGCTTCATTTGATTTCAATTAACTTTTTTTTGTCCTCCAGGCCAGTCAGTTGTATGAAGAGATCAGAGAGGAGGACAGATTGAGCAATTTACCTCCTGAAGGAGTATTTTCAATTTACACCACTGCCAAATGCCCCCAAGGAAACAGAGTTGAAAGCACAGATGACTACAGCCTTGTCATCTGTCCTCAGAACAAAGTAAGTACTTGATTTTTCAGGTTTCATGCCAGAGTATTTTTGGATTTTATCAGGTAGTGGGAACTGTGGAATCATCCATATAAAGATCATGGTCCTCTTACAGTCAAGGATTCAGGATGATTTCATAAGAAGCACTTTGTGTTGCTGCAATTTGTTTTTGCATCATTATAGTATCTATTTCTGTGATTTCTACCTATTTTCTTTTTCTTTTCTTCTTTTCCTTTTTCTTTTTTTTTCCCTTTTTTTTTTTAACTAACAAGGCACAGCTGGGTGTAACCCCCTTTTTTAAATGATGTAAACTGTGAAAAAAAGAAATGTGAATTTGTACTATATAAATTTGAATCTTTGTGCATCTGTACAATTTAATTTGTTTAGAAAATAGTTTCTAAAGACTGATTTGTATCTTCCAGAGTGAAGAGAACTTGAGTAAGCTTGCTGCCACCAACAGCGCCCCCTGTGGCCATGCAGATGTTTTGTACTCCACGCCTCATGTACATTTCAGCACAGCCAACCACACCAAAGACGCCTCACCTCCTCTGTATTCTACTGTTGGAAACCATCAGTAGTAATGTTATTACAGGCTTATTGCTATGATAGTTGTAGTTTGTTCAGACCAACTGGTAACACAAACTTTCTTCCATTAATCATGCCATTGTGATTTTTATTAGTCAGGGAAACAAGCAACTGCTGAAATAATGGATTTCATAGTGGATCAACAGGCATAACTGATTTGTAGCAACCTGATCATAGTCCATTGGATAGTCCACCTTTGTATTTAGCTGAGGAGTTTATAGAAAGTTAGCCTGTAGTTGATAACTACTTAAAAGTAGTTGGTACTAACTTCACACAACTTTGCACATGAAGAAAAGTTCTGTTTTAGTGCAAAGGAAAAAAAATACACGAACAATAATCAATGATCAAAGGTAATAAAGTAGTTCACACAATGATGATTGACTGATGATTCAATGACTAATGATTATCAAATAATAAGAAAAACAGTAAAATTATAAATAACATTTCCAGTGAAGTTTATATTAAAGCCCGTTTTTTACATAATCTTTGAGAATTTCTGTATTTTGTTCACCATTTTTTTTTCTTGGGCTATTACTTAAAATTGAGATGAATTGAATTGAATTTGCATACAAGCAGCAATGTCATCTCCTACACATTTTATGTAAGCTGTTTTTACAAAGCAAAACAGCCGATTTCAGTTCGCAAAATGTAAATATGCAGATTGGGGCACAATTTAAGCTGTATGTTTATGATGGAACTGCAGTCCTTACAGGCAATAAATAAATAATAGGCGGGATTAGTTGATCTCTAGTGACAGTTTCAGCAGATGCTGAATGGAGTGCTGAAAACAGAACATTAGAAATAAATTGATACTTAATCTTTTACTTTTTCTTCACACATTTGTGGTGTTACATTCTCTAACATGCATCTTATATGATTTGCTCTGGGTAAACTGCACAGAATGTACTGAAGAATGCCAAAGACCACCCAAAAAATTGGACATAACTTTCAACTATGGCTGCAACGACTCATCAATTAAATAACTTCATTTAAAAAAATTCTTGACAAAATGTATTTTCTTCAATGCATTGTGTGATGCGGGGCTCTGTGGTGCACCGATGTGTTAAACTATGTAAATGCAAGTGTTTCACCCACATTTGCTATGAAACACAGACCTGCAATACAAATGTATTTAGGAGCAGCGTATGAATAAACAGTCTGACAACATTAAGCAGACGCAGCCTCAGTTTTAAACATAAAAACCATTGGCAGCAGAAATGATGACGCTGGCACATTTTATTGTGAAGCTGGATTCTGTTTACACACCAGGGGCCCGTTCTTCGTACCTCGCTAAGTAGGTTAGCCGGATTAGATTGTTGACGATTTCGCGTGATCCTGGATCAGTCGGTTCCCCGAAGCTCATCCGGGACTTGCTGTCATAGCAACAGAGCCGTAAGCGTAAACCTGCTCGGGAGCAGGTTTACTTTATGTAAACAGGATTAGATCGCGGCCACGCAGGTATGTCCGCGTCATTCATACGAAAGCAACAGCGATATTCCACCACTGTTTCACCATAAATAAATAACATCAATGTAACTAAAGACAATGCAGCACCTGATCCATTTATTGATTTCACACAGGTCATTTCCTAAAAAAGGGAAATGTACTATTAACATTCTATTACATGTATGTGATTATTACAGATTTAATTCATATTTCAGAGTAGTAATTGTAAATTACTTCGTGTAATCAAGATGAGAGACCACGGCTATAAAAGCGAAGGTGGATTTGGGAAGTCTGTCGCAGCCATGTCCTGTCCGTATACGCGAGCCACCCATTGCGGAAGGTGCAAGATTGATAAGGAGAGTCCTCAGAATTCAGCGTATATTGCGGGACAGACAGGATCCTTTAGCTCAGCGCGACAGTGTGCTCATAGAGAGATATCGATTTTCCCGTGAGGGTATTATTTACTTAACCAACTTGTTGACGAGGGGGTGCAGGACCACCACCTGTCTTTTGTTGCTCTGCCCTTTTCTTGGTTGCTGTTATAAACAAACAGATTATTCCAGGGTCTCTTTCCAAGAGACTAAAAGCAATATAAGTGATAAATATTACCATTCTGTAGAATATTCTTATATTTCACTTTTACTTGTTCCCATGTTCTAGTGGGTCCTGTTGTGGCTCTAATGTGACAGAGGATAAAATATAACATATTATAATATAATGTAATATAATATTGGATAATATAGTGTAATATAATAAATCTACCCTACCGCCTACTGGTGTTGGCCAGAGGGGCCGATGGCGCGATATGGCAGCCTGGCTTCTGTCAGTCTGCCCCAGGGCAGCTGTGGCTACAACTGTAGCTGCCTCCCCCAGTGTGTGAATGTGAGAGTGACTGAATAGTGGCATTGTACAGCGCTTTGGGTGCCTTGAAAAGCGCTATATCAATCCACTCCATTATTATTGTTATTATTAAATTACTTACGAGTTTAATTTGTCAGCAACTTCCTGCCAGCCCTCGCTCCTTGCTTTTGCAGCCTTTGCAGTGTTCCCTTGCGTTCTGATTAAACTCTGAAACTCCTGAAATCCCTCACTCAAGAGTTCTTGCTCTGCTGCCGAAAAATACCGAGCCGAGCGCGCTCCGTCGACATTTTCGCCGACCAATCAGAGGGTTGCCGATCAATGTTTCTACTATCGATGCGTAGCCCCTTTTACGACACCCAGTGATGTCACATTACTGCGTCCAGCTGTAGTAATCGTCAACAGCAGGTGTGTTCGGGGAACCGGATTAGCGAGCTCACGGTTAGCGCGATGATTTGATCTTGGATGTGTCATTTGATCTTGGATGTAGTAAGCGACGTACGAAGAACGGGCCCCAGGAAGAGCAAAGAGGCTGAGCTGTTACCAAGATGGTGAGCTCAGTGTAGAGTGAAAGAAAATGTGTTCGTTATCATATCGAGACTAGCTCTCTAGAGAGAGATCAAATTGGTGATTGTTTGATCTCCACTTGGTTGCATGCATGTACTTTGTGTGGCACACTGTGTGGTTTAGGAGGCAGGGTGTGTCTGTTTACCTTTGTGGTTGGGAGCCTGTCTCTGTTATAAAAAAAAAATATTAGATTGTTAAAAGCTTATAAGCTACAGTGAGACTAGTTGCTGGCACCTTGTCTCACGGTCTTGAGGGTTGCACAGTAGCACTGTTGCACGCCTAGGGTCCTACAGCCGGTCGTATCCCCTGGCGTATTGCCCACGGTTTTGCGGGTTTACATAGCCAGCAGGACCTGGCTGTGGCTAGCGCGTTAGCTCAGCAAGCAAAAGCTTCTCTGGCCTGCTAGAGGCCTGCTAGAGGAACCCAGCTTGTTCTCGCAAGTTTCAGTCTCAGGCTTCCCAGTTCATAACATGTAACATCAAGCATTTCATTCACACCATAAGATAAACAATAAGAGCAGTGGTGTGGCGATGCTTCGTGTCTTACCCGTTGAGACATGGGAAACCCAGTGAGTGTGTTTGTGTGTTGTCTTCTGGTTTCTATGTTATGGCTGTCTTTGCCCTGTGTGAGTACGGCAGCCCGAATGTCTCATAAACGTATGACATCCCTCTCTATGCCTCTAGGAGACGGGCATGAAAGATGGTTGACATAGATGGGGTGCCCAGCAACTTACAATTCACATACCTGTGCCCTGGCTACCCCTTGGTACCTGGACCTTGTCCTCAGTGCCATCTTTCAAACAGCTTGAGGACACTGACCTGAAATGTCTGTCCCTGAAATTGCCTTCTTGCTGGGTATAATATCTACCAAAAAGATTAGTGAACTCCATGCTCCGTAGGTCCACAGGCGTTGCTGCAGGTGGTTGCCGGACAGGAAAGGGGTGATCCTCCAGCCCAACCATGCGTTCATGCCAAAGGCTACGAATAACTCCCACTGAGGGCTTGAAGCAGGGATCAGCGCCAGGCTGCCCTGTGCACTGTTCGTGTTCGTGTATGTCAGGCATATCCAGCCAATTAGGAGGACACACTAGCTCTTTGTGAGCTCCCACTTTAGGATCCCGGGCAGACATCTGTCTAAGTAAAATAAGAAATATTGTATTAATTGCATTAATATTCGAAAATGTAAAAAAGCCAAAATCAATGTACATGGTCCAATTAGCCATACAGGTTGGACACTGAATTATTATTATTATTAGTAATTAATAATAATAATTCAGTGCTGCTGAAAACATCTGTTTTGTAACATTTAATGTAACATGTTACCAACCCAATTCAGTCATTACATTAGAGTTACAATCATGGCATTATTTGTCTTATACTTTCTGTTAAATTATTGTTTTTTTCCCCCAGTTGTATCCATAAAGGTTGAGTCGAAAGAAAACAAATCAAACAGGCTTTTTGTTATCCTGTGAACTCCTCCTCAGCTGATTTCTGTTCCTGAGGGAGAGGAAGATAGTGGAGCAGTCTACAGCGGAGATATGGTCATTGTAACTATATATCAACTATATATTTTTAGTAAACTACCTGTCACAAACCTCACGGTAACTCACAGTTTTGTGTCACTTTTTGATGCAGCAATAGGGCTGTGCTCTTCATGCAAACTGATCCCAGGTGATTACGATATGATGGCAATCTGTCTGTGTTTATAAATTAGATTGTGATTAACTGCAAACCTGCACCACCAGGATCGGTTGCCTCATCCCAGGTGATTTGTGGACTTGCATTGCAACCATAGTGGTCGCCCAGAGGTTGAGTACGCTGCATGCTCAAAGCTACAACACAGAGCAAACACCATCCCCAATGACACAGCGGCCAGGGATGCAGAAGAACAGCACATCAAGAAGGCCCTAAGTAAATGTGGTTATCCCACCTGGACTTTTGTCAAAGCTGGAAAGACACCTAAAGAAAGCTCCAGCCGATCCAGGAGAGAAGGACAACCGCTGCCCAAGCGAAAACCTGCAGTGATCCCATATGTGTCAGGAGTATCGGAACAGTTGAGACATTTTTTCTAAACACCGGGTCTCTGTGGCTTTTAAACCCCAAAACACACTGCGCCAAAAATTGGTCCACCCCAAGGATAGAGTCCCCCGACCAGTGTTGGGTGCAATGTGTTACTAAGTAACGCGTTACTGTAATTAAATTACTTTTCCACTGAAAAATTAGAGTAACTAATTACTGTTCATTTTTAGGTATTTTAATTACAATTACTTACAATGTACTTGCGTTACATTGTAAAATAATTAAACTTGCTGAATATCATTATTTAATTTCAACAATTTATCTTCTAAACGTAGAAGTAAACTCTGCCGCTTTAACATCGTTGCAGTGCAGGTGCACGTCATTTCGCGCCAGTTTGCTGCATAGTCGTATTCTAAAGCGGAAGATGTCGGACTCGGCTGAAGCGAGTGGCTGTTTTTTGAAATGGACATATACCCGTCTCTTCACTTTTCTGAAACAAGCAGACAAGAATATTACAGTAATATGTAAGCTATGTCTGTTAGATATTTTATTATTATGGGAGCATGTACTGGGTACCTTTTTTGATGATATTAGACAATGTTAGGGAAAATATTATAAAACACTTCTTCAGTAAAGACTCAGAGAAGAGAAACACAGAACTTCTTGCTAGCAAGGGCAGTCTCTCAGACTCGCGCTGAGCACTGCCCCTGGTCTTTATTTTGTGCTCCATTGAGCGTGTGTATGTGTGGGTGTGTTCAGAGTGTGACCCCATGGGCGACTTCCCTTGGCCTGCTGGTCTGGAAAATCCAACAGTTCATCTATATGTAAAGAAGGCACTTAAACTGGAACAGGCATAGCTGCGTTGATCCTGCCGTGGAACAATAGGACAAGGTGCATTCCTGGAGTGCACACCAAGCTTGCATCCTGCTAAAGATCACACACAATTGATTATATGCCTCTAGGTATACATGGTTAAACATTTCCTAATGCAAATAACTACATGCAGTATTCTACCATGTGCAAACTTATATCACTAAAGGATTCTAACTGTCTAGTGTTTAACGGACCTGTCAAAGGTATCTTGAGATTATAGAAGGCCCCTTTCAGAGCTAGGGGGAACTTCCTTATATGGTTGTAACTTGAAACTTGTTGACACACGAACCCTTCCGCCTACAAAAACCCTGCACAAAAGAATAAATCTTTGAGTTGATTTTGGGAATGCAACCTGAACAGTCTCTGTATCATTTTGTTCTCCTAACTGCTCCCGACGTCGTAACTAACCCGCTGACGGCATATCTAAGTGCTACTTGAGAATATTGCTGAGTGTTACTTAAGAATAATTTTGAATCTTATAGAGTAAAGACAAAACCACGCCTCGGAGAAACCCGATCCACGGACCAAACCCGGGACGGAGTTTCTTTCAATGTCCTGGGGAGACATTGAATATATGTGGGCTGGTTTCAGTCATTATGCAAATGTACTGTTTATAAGATTGAAACCTGCAGTCAGCTGAGACTGAAGAAGTCACTTGGATGAGTGACGAAACATTTCTCCCACAAAACGCTACGTCCAGATGAACAGATTCAACTTTTGGAGAGACAAAGGGAAGCAAAAGTAGACACACTGACATAGCACACAACACTGTCAAAGTAAAACAGGAAATACGACACATACGCACAGACACTCAGAGCTTCACACAACAACATAACAGACTCGGTAACAGAGGGAACAAGGGTGACTAGATGTGAAACGTGGGATCAGGAAAAGCTAAAGACAAGATAAACAAACCCAGGAATAACAATAATCAAAGAATTTCTTTTCTTTCTTTTTTCTTTTTTTCTTTTGCCTGTCTCGTAACATGAAATAAGCAGAAAAAGTATCCCTTTTGTTCATGTACATGGACAAAATTTTCCTTTTTCCTTTTTATAAGTCAGCATGTTTTTTTCCTTTTTTTGTGTCTGTAACTTGTCGGGGGGGGGGGGGGTGTTAGGATTGTTGTAAAGGCAGTTTTCAGTTATCTTCACCTTTGGTTCCTCTGTACAACTGATGATAGAGCATTTAGTGTTTTTATCTCTTTGTTGTTACTGTTTAAGTTCAGTCTGTTGTGCATTTGTCAACTCAACGCAATCTGAATAAAACCTGAACAGTAAAAGTTAATTTAGTAGAGTAAAAACTAAACATTGTACAATACAAAGATAATGAATAGCTGTTTAAACACCAGCAAACTGGCTAAAAGACATTTCCCAGTGTTTCTATAACTTATTTTGTCAGAGAAAAGGGAAACAAGATGTCCCTCGAAACTTCTCACACCACAAATGCATGGTTCACTTCCTTTTTATACATAATTAGCATATCTTAAACACTTTAAACACACAACTTCTGTTTCCGTCCAGGCTCACTTACTGTTACTGGGTGTATTTACTGTATGTCATCATACAGTAAATACATGTTAAAGCTTCTGCTTTTTTCTTTTATGCATGCTATTAATTTTTGCAAAACCAATAAATTTTCTGTTGCTTTGCACAGCTGGCTGCATTCACCAATCCACACAGCAGGTGAATCCATTTGGCTAAGAGGTGAGTGGTTAAGAGGTGGCCATTTGGGGGCCAGCCTTAGTAGTATGCGGTCTATTTCCTTCAAACAAATCATTTTATGCAAGTTGGGTTTGGCTGCTGAAATCCCATCATTACTGATTATCTGTTGCAGATTTTTCTTTCTCTCCGTTATATTTTATTCTGCCTCTTGTCTGTGTCTATTAACGCTTCACTTTTTCAATGTGTGTACCAGATTACAGTGTGTACCGGAGGAATTCACTGTATTGATGATTTCCTCTCACAGTCTGTACCCTGTTTGATGCTAAAGAAAAAGAAATAATAATTGACTTTTCATCTATTTGTGACTTAAAAAATATCAAGCAAATCGTCTTTGAACTCTGTGATAGTTTGTGATTATTTAATGTGTATTTCTTTATGGAATTTAACTCCTTGACACTTCTGAAAATGGACCCATACTGTTGGTTCTGTCTCCTGCATCGGAGTATGTAATGAGACTGGGATTTTGTGCAATTCTTGCAAGGTCATAAATTACATATTGTTATAATTACACAAAATCTGTTCCAAACCCTAAACAGTCCCTGACTACTAGGACCTCCAAGCCTGTGGTCAGCTCTTGCATTGGGGGGGTGCAGAACAGAGAGTGACGCATTTGAAGGCAGAACTACATTGCTGAGAGAAGATAGTTTCTGGTTTGCAAGTGAAGACGGTAAAGAGGGAGCATTAAATATGAAAGTCGATCACACTTTGAGCTGCTTCATCTTCGTCAGTGAGTAAATCTTCCTATTTCTCAGATTTTCTCTGTGTTAGTTGTTTTCTTTTTTTATTTGGAGTTCATTGGTAAATTTTGCTCATTGTTGAACAGTTTCCATCTATCTCCTGTGGTTAAGCATGTTGTTCAGATTCAAAAATACACTTACACTGCAGTTTACTGAAAACACGTTAACTCCTTAATATAAACCTGTGTGGAATTTACACAAGCATCTTTTAGCACAACCACGGTTTGCAGCTTATTTTTGTTAGTTTCCTCCCACTTTGCTCCCTAGAAATAATCTTTATAATATATGAAGATGTTTTTCTTCCATACTATTTCAAAAAGTGCAGTTTAACTTGTACAACTACTTAAACTGCACTGTTTCTTCATAACAAACCAGAGAAAAGAGTCTTAAAAGAGACCTCGGCTCAGATATTTATAAGCAGTTAAATGATACCATAATTTTCAAAACTACCCAGAAAGTTGGTTCCTCCTCCTTTTTCTTCCGTTTAGAAAATGTTTACAAAGCAACAATCTTTTTTTGCATGCATATTTATCAACACCAAGGGGAATAACATCGTTCAAGTGTTAAACTTAGAACTTGAAGTGCTAGCCAACAGTTTAAAAAATGTCATTTGACAAAGAAACGCACTAAAAGGAAATTAAGATGTCATCCCAGACCAATAAATTAAATCCATTTTCTCTCTTGCTGGATCTTAATTAAATCTTCCTCAGCAGATGGTTTGGGTACATGTCAGGAAGAATCAGGAAGTTCATCTCTTTTGAATTTAACGAACATAAAACATATTGCTGTATTTTACAGGAATATAGTGAGTGTATAATATTTATCATTTTCACAGGCCTGCATGGAACCATTGGCCTCGCCAACGCAGAAAGTTCCATCCATACAGGTAAGTGAAAACATCACAAGCGAATGCAGATTTGTTATCCCTTGAAGGAGAATGCTCGTGTGTGTCTCTTAAGACTCATTGGATTACCAAATGACAAAGTGTGATTTGTCACTCCGGAGATCACGTTAATGCTCTAGAGTCCTCTGACGCTGTGCATTGTGCTTGGTGATCATGGAAAACCCATTCCATGAAGCTCTGTACACACTGTTCTTGAGCTAATCTGAAGGCCACATGAAGTTTGGCGGTCTGTAGCCAATGACTGAACAGAAAGTTGGCAAGCTCCGGGCACTATGCACCTCAGCATCTGCTGATCCCACTCTGTGATTTTACCTGGCCTTTCACTTTGTGCCTGAGTTGCTGTCGCTCCTGATAGCTTCCCGTTTGTTATACTAACACTAACAGCTGACTGTGGAAAATTTAGTAGTAAAGAAATTTCATGATTGGATTTGTGGCACAGGTGGCATCCTTTCACGATACCATGCTGGAATTCACTGAGCTCCTGAGAGTGACCCTTACTTTCACAAATGTTTATAGCAGCAGTCTGTTTGCCTGGGTGCTTAATTTTATATGTCTGTGGCAATGGAACACCTGAATTCAATGATTTGGATGGGTGAGTGAATACTTTTGGGAATATAGTGTATATTAATGCCTAATGAGGGAAAAGAATAAGCAGGTGGGAACACAAGTGGAATTATCAGGGAACAGGGGACTAAGGAAGAAAAAGTAAATATGGAGCACAAGAGATAGAAGACTACCAAACTAAACAAATACATTGAAAAAAACCCATAACACAGAGACAGGGATCCAATAAAAAGAAAACACTAAGGAGACTAGTGTCAAAAAAATACAAGAACAGAACCCAGAAGATATTTTACATAGAAGATACGATAAATAATAAAACTTAAAAGGAATTAAATCTAAAGATAACTAATGAAAAAAACAAACTAAGAAGCATAGGAGGATATTTAATATAAATGAGTGCTGTCAGCGTTAATCTCGTTAAAATGACGTTAACGCTATAACTGCATTAAGGCAGCAAATCTTCGTTAGGGAGTTAACGGGAATCGCCCTGTGAGAGGGCTGCACGCCATCAATGCGTTGGCGCGATTAGCTCGTTAACATGTTTATGCCGTGCAGCCCCCCGTGCGTATGCTAGAAAAGTGCTTGAAGCACAGAATAAAGTGCTGTATGAATATGGGTGAATTTGGCTTGCAGTAAAAAGCCTTTGTCTTTTTTGTCTTTCAGGGATGGACTGCAGTAATTCCCAGTGTGTTGACCCCTGTCATAACTACACTGTACTGAATGATGACTGGCGTTCAACGAATAACACAGATATTCAGGTCCTACACTGTGATAAAAACATTGACTGGCAAGGTTGGTATCGCCTGTTTCTGGGGGAATCTGGTGCTCATATTCCAGAGAGGTGTCTAGACCCCAACAGGTGTGGAACTCATGCTCCACTGTGGATAACACAACCTCATCCCACACAGTCGGGTGAAATTCTAACTCGCACTGTGTGCAGTTCTTGGGAAGGCAACTGCTGCAAATTTGAGTCACACATCATCCATGTCAAACTCTGCTATGGAAACTACTATGTCTACAAACTTGAAAAGCCAGTCACGTGCTATCTTGCATACTGTGCAGGTATTGTTCTGCTTTAAATAAGATTGCACTGTAAAAAAAATTTTCTACCTTGTCCTTAAATTCTGCTGTTTATAACAAAAATGATTTCAACACTAACGCAGTAATATCTTTTTATTTATTGTAAACAGAGGTGAACATAACAGATCCTGCAGTTCCTTTTACCACACCTGCTCCAACACCAAAGGTCTTGTCACCCTATCAGGTCCATATCAATGTTACAACAGCAGTGGATAACAGCACAGCAGTTGAGGGGGAGGTCCGCCTGGTTAATGGAGGTAATGACTCCTGCTCTGGCAGAGTGGAGATCTTCCATGGTGGACAGTGGGGGGCAGTGTGTGATGATGCCTGGAGCCTAGGGGAAGCGCAGGTGGTGTGTAGACAATTGGGCTGTGGCAGGCTCCTCTCCATACCAACAAATGCAGAATTTGAACAGGGCAAAAGACACATCTGGTTGGACAATGTCACATGCTCAGGCAGCGAAACACAGCTCTCTGAGTGCCATCACTCAGGGTTTGGATCCCACAACTGCAGCCACCATGAGGATGCTGGGGTCATCTGTGAAGGTAAATTTGTGCAGCTGGAGGTCTGTTTAGTCGAGAGGTTTGCAATCACTAACAATTATAGAAATATTATATTTTTGAATTTTACGGTATTATAACCACATGATTTTAACATAAAATATTTTGTCTTTTCATCATGAATTATTAGAAATAAAGTCTATATTTTTAATCTTTTGACTCTTTTGAGATGACGTCCCCAGCAGCTAATAATCACTCTAAAGACGCTCTCTATAATGACTTCAGCCATTTGAGAGGTGCATGAGTCTCTTTTCAGGACAAATTCATTCATATGCATGTGCTTAATCCTAGTAAGACGGAACAAAACAGAATTTGAAAAAGACCATTACTAATCACAAATTTGGTTGTACATTATAGTTTCTCTCTTGGTCTTCTCTCAATGAGCTTCATGATGTCGTCACCTGAAATGGGTTTCACTTCACAGGTGTTCCTTGGTGGAATTACTTCCCTTCTTAATGTATTTGAACCCATCAGTTGTGTTGCGCAGAAGTCAAGTTGGTACAGAGCTGAAGCCCTATTTGACAACTGTTAGAATTCATATTATGGCAAGAACCAGTCAGCCAAGTAAAGAGAAACGACAGTCCATCAGTACTGAAGGTTAGTCAGCCTGGAAAATTGCTAAAACTTTAAATGTGTCCACAAGTGCAGTCTCAAAAACCATCAAGCACTATGACAAAACTGACTCACGTGAGGACCGCCCCAGGAAAGGATGACAAAGAGTCAAGAGTCACCAGCCTCAGAAATCACAAGTTAACAGCATCTCAGTTTAGAGCCCAGATAAATGCCACACAGAGTTCCAGCAGGACAATGACCCCAAACACACTTCCAGACTGTGTAAGGACTATTTAAAGGAGGAGAGTGATGGAGTGCTGCGCCAGATGGCCCGGTCTCCAGTCACCTGACCTAAACCCAATCAAGATGGTTTGGGATGAGATGGACCGCAGAGTGAAGGCAAAAGGACCAACAAGTGCTCAGCATCTCTGGGAACTCCTTCAAGACTCAATGAAGCTCATGGAGAGAATGTCAAACGTGTGCAAAGCAGTAATCAATGCACAGGGTGGCTATTTTGAAGAATCTAAAATATTAAACATGTCTTGAGTTATTTGACACTTTTTATTTACTACATAATTCCCTATGTGTTCATTCATAGTTTTAATGCCTTCAGTGAGAATCTACAATGTAAATGGTTACGTGAAAAAACACTAAATAAGGTGTGTCCAAACTGTTGACTGGTAGTGTGGCTACTCCTGTTTAATGGTTTACTATCACGTTTCTCTCATTAGCTAACAAAACTGAAATTGTGTTTGCTCAGCAAGTATCATCTATTAGATGTTTCCAACAGGTAAGCTAAGATAAACATTACTGTACAAACATTAACATAAACATTACTGTTGTGAGCAAAAGACCTGCAACTGACAAATAAAGGCTATCTCATCTCATCTCATCTCATCTCAAATATTAACATACAATTTACTGTAGAAACATTAAGAAAACCATTACTGTACAGACATTAACATAAACAAGGTATCAATGCAACGCACTCTCTAAAACTGATCTATTCAGAGTAGATGTCACAGGTGCTGCCGTGCACTGTAGTAGTGCCGTCGTGGAAGGAAAGCTCCACTTTGTACAGTCTGCATTTAACTTTGTTTTCTATGAAACACTTTAACATTTTTTTTTTAAATGTCTTTTTCCAATTTCTTCTGCCCTCCTGGTCGTGCTACGTTCTTCTTCATTAGTATTGAGTACAGTGTTGGCAGACGAGAGGTGATACTGCCCCGTAGCTTCCTGTAATGTATTACAGTTACAAAAACACATTTAGGTGGTTTTAAAATATGACGCATCAACAATAAAATTTAATGTCAACAAATTTTTATAGTCAACATCATTGATTATGTCAACGAATCGTTGGAGCCCTGCCTGTTATGAGTGTAGCCTATTGGCCAAGTATTCATACTGATGTAGCTGAGACCTTGCTTTCTTTTCTCATAATACAGTATGTATTGAAAAATCAAGACTATGCAACTTAAAGTACACCCAGAAAATCAATATAAACTGAGAATACTGCTAACAGGACCATTGCATAAACTCCTAACACCTTATAGCAATATGCAAATAGTGTTTACTATAAATACACAAAGAGTATTTAAATTTAAGAGGGTCAGTTTCCTGATATTACAATGAAAATAAGAAATATACCACATTAAAGTCCTTTTTTGTTGCTTAACTGAAATTTCAATGAATTACTATCTTATTATAAGCCGGCAAACCAATATAACAGAAGATGAATGATGCAGGCCCGAATATGTAGCTGGGGATCGACTTAGCTGTCACTTCGTGGATTTGGCAGTAGGCAATTTATGGATTTGAGTAATAGTTTTTACCACGACTACTGAAATGTATGTAATTGTTCATTGGGAAGAAGACATTTCACATTTAAAGTATTAATGCTATTATTATTATGCATGTCATATAAACAAAGACTGGTTCACAGTTTAGATTATTTCTTTCTTTCTTTTTTTCCTCTCTCATCCAGGCTCTCACCCAGATTTCCCCCTGCTTTTGGTTGTTATAATTGTGGTCATGGTAGTACTAATGCTGTTCTCTGTTCTGATGTTGATCTACAAAAGGAGGACCAAGACCTCTGTTGGTGAGTAAACTTCTACCACTATCTGTACCTTTAACAGTTATTCAAATTATTTATCTTCAGACCTTTTATCCAACAGGATAGACACCAACTTCACTCACACTTAATTTAATCTAATGATGTAAAATATCAATATCTTTTTTCTAGATTTGGACAGAAGGAGAAACTCAGACCACAACCAGACTGAGGTGACTCGTCTGTATTTGCTTTACTATTACTCTGTAACAAAACAAAGCACAGTGTGAATTTGTAGGTCAGAAAAAGTCAGGCCTTTGCTTTTTATTTAGTAAATACAGATGTTCTCTCACCTAATGGAACAAATGGTTTTCCACAATTAACATTCAAATTCACTTTCCTAATTGGTGATTTATACCAAGAATGTATCAGATGTCTTTGTGTAGTTTGAACATTAACAATCTGTCAGAGGCATATGAATGAATGATAAGAGGCAGGTCAAGTTTGGAGGAACACCCCTCAGCATCTACATGACAAAGGATAACAAAAAAGAATTTTATCTCTCGAGGACAGAGGGTAAGCTCACTACATGAATCATCCATTACTCACAATCCCCTGTAATTACATTATGTCAAGAATGGATGGTTATGTCTCTAAATGCATGGAGTGATCTCTGTGGGAAAAGATGGCATCACATCAGAATTATCTAGCCACAGTGCAAATTATTTGATCCCCTGTTAAATTTGTAGGTTTGTTCACTTCCAAAGAAATGAACAGTCTCTAAAGTCATTTTATGGCAGTTTCAGTTTATTGAAGATCAACCAAAAATCTAGAAAAAAAAATTACCTAAAATCACATAAATTAAAAACACTTATCAGGATGAATTTTGCCCCACTCCCAGTTGATCCCAATAGCCTTCAGTTTATTAACAAACTCCTGTGAAGTTTTGGGCTGATACACTATCTTTCTAGTTATTATCCTTACCCCATGAGGATGGTTACACTGAGAATGATTGATGGTCATTTTATATTGCTTCCATTTCCAACAGTGCACCAATTGCACCAACAGTGGTGAACTTCTCACCAAGCTTCTTTCTGATGGTCTTGTAGCCATTCCAGCTGTGTTCAGGTCTGCCGTGTTATTCCTGACATCCTTTGACAGCTCTTTGGTCTCACCCATGGTGGTGGAGAGACTGGAATGAACAAAAGCATTAAAAATCCACAAAAGCTATTATTTAACACAGCCAGATGAACTTCTAATTGCATTCATATTTATGTCCATGACACACAAGCACATACCTCTGCGTGAATCCCCTGTTACTCTGAAGATTACCCACAGTCCTTTGCAATTCCTAGCCAATGTAGGGTGACATTTGAGACAGTAGGTGGTAGCATTGGCCCATTAACGTTAATCTTTTTTGTGCAACCGCAGACACACGATTCCTTAGTATCTCTTAAAAGGGGCCTTACAGCTGTTATAATTTTTTTATAGTTTTTAGTGCTTTTCTACTCTACCGGAGCACTCAAACCATCAGCTTTGGCACGGGATATGTGTCATGCAGACTGGAGCAGCCAGGGATTGAACCACCAATCCTCCAATTGTTAGACCTGCTCTGTCTCCTGAACTACAGCCACCTGTGTTATTTTCTATTTTTCTTTTCTTTTTTTTCATTTGAATATTAATTAAATATTTTTTTTGCTTTCTTTTTTCCCCAGATTGCCCTCTATGAAAATTTTTGTCCAGTCTCCAGATGTGACGATTCAATCTACCAGAGCCTCGATCCCACCAGCAGCGACCAAGACCAAACTTACTGCAGTCTCACGCACTCAAAGTAGACAGTTTCAGAAAAGCATTCAGATCATTTCATATGACACAGAAAATGCTTATTTTTATGTGCGTGCACAATCTTGGCTTTTACAGAGGAAGTTGATAATGTGATACCCGTTATCTCCAAATGAGGTTTTAGTTTTCATCGAGCCAGGTAATTCAAAGAAAGCCTGTCTGTGTTCATAGTGTACCCCTCTGGTCAGACAAAGCTAAACAAACACTTAACCTACTGGTATATTTGAAGGATTTTTCTCATTATCAGTTTAAAAGATGTTGGCTAAGTTTTTTAAAGTCAGTGTTCACCTTTGGACCTTTTAATATGCTCGATGTAGGGAGTTTTTCATGTTCACCTGTAGCTTTGGCAATTCTTGATAACTGAGCCTCAGACAATGAGATTCACTGAGCAATTTACACAGCAGCAGTAAATCAAAGTTTATATATTTAGTGAAAAAAACAAAATATGTTGTTTAAGGTTAAAATCAATTATTTTTGCAACCGCAAATATGATAGTAAAGGTATCATTTTTAGAGAAAAAAGCGTTTGACTTTTTAAAGAACATCAATAACATTCAGTAACTTCAAGCAAAATACCTCCTGGTGATGCAAAATGAGTGGGTCATGAGTTAAACTTCAACTAAAGCAACCACCAATGAGAGTAGAAATTAAAATATTGATGATTGACCTATGACAGTATAGATTAGGCAACCAGAAGCTGTAATTTCCACTAGGGGCTGAATGTTAGCGGCAAAGTGATGCACAATGTGAGTCACTTCCTGTGTGAATGCCCTTTTACTTGTTTTGTAATCACTGCCTACAACAAACTCAAAGTTTGAAGCCACCATGCTTCTGCTGCTGATGCTCTCATGGTAGGAGTCTTCTGTGGTCACTGTTTAAGTACCTTGATAACAAAGCAGTCAAGGTTTTATTGCCACATCCTTTCTGAGTACTTTTTCCTGATGATGTGCGTCAGTTTACCAACTTGTAATGTGACTTCCAGGAGAATAAAGCACCATTCAACAAAGCAAAAGTCATCTCAAACTGGTGTCATTAACACTTTGTTAAGCTTCAATCACCAGAACACTTTAAAGATACAGTGAAACAGAAATTTCCAGCTGACAAAATCTGAAGAACCTCGATTGCAGGATTCATTATTTTCTCTGTGAGAAACATCTTTATTACTCAGAAAAAAGAAAGGATTGAATTTTTCATGCATTTGTGAATCTTATATACATCATGCCGTGCAAGTGGTCAGTTTGACAGAAAACTTGCAATCACATCTGTTTTACTGCTTTATGGCAAAAGTTTTGTATGAGAAAAAAACAATTATATATCTTGTACGCCAATTCAACAGCCTGTCTGCATCAAACTCATTAGCCACATGCAGCGAGATGCCAGTGCATACACAAGAGTGTCTGCTTTAAACTTTGGCATAAACATAATTTCATAAACACAGCAACACAGATGAGATGCTTTTTAGGCAGAAAATGAAATGCGTGTGTGTGTGTGTGTGTGTGTGTGTGTGTGTGTGTGTGTGTGTGTTTGTGTGTGTGTGTCCTCATTATTGAGTGAAGTTCCTGTTTTGTGAGTTAAGAAGGAAGAGAAACAGCATTAAACCATCAGAGCCTCAAGATGAAAGCCTGTCACACTCTGGTCTGCTTCATCATACTTAGTGAGTGAATTCTAAATTTTAATTTCCGTGTTCTCTTTCTTTCTTTGTTGTTTGCATCTTTATTTTCTGTTTATTAAAAACAGAAAATGGTGTCTGTTTATTAAAAATCAATCACCAGGTTTGTTTGTTTATTGGTTTTTCATGTTGAATCATTGATTTCTGTTGAACCACAAACTGTTTCAGTCTTTCTTAATTTTCTTCTCTTACATGTTTGTTTTGTGGTGTTTATAGCTGGAAACATGTAACTTGAACATGCAGGTCACTGAAAATAGAAGTTTTAAAACAATAAAAAAAAATGTCTGTGAAGGTTCTCAGTCATCCAGGTTATCGTAGTCTAAGGAGCTTGGAAAGAAAAGCGTCTGGACTTCTTTAAGTTGCTTGAAGACGTTTCACCTCTCATCCGAGAAGCTTCTTCAGTTCTAAGGTCAAATGGTGGAGAGTCCCAGATTTGAACCCAGTGGGAGTTAATCCAGTTTTGATATCGCTTCCCAGACGCCTTAACGCCCACTCACATCCTGGGCCATCTGACCTCAGGAAATCAGCCAGGTTTCACAATGAGCTCACCCGAAACCCTGGCTGATTGTGACCCACACTCATTTTCACACCTCGGCTCATGTGATTAGAGGATCATCAGGGGGTCCTTTTGTCCCTCTTTGGGGGGAAACTCCCACTGGGGTTAAATCTGGGACTCCCCACCATTTGACCTTAGAACTGAAGAAGCTTCTCGGATGAGAGGTGAAACGTCTTCAAGCAACTTAAAGAAGTCCAGACGGTTTTCTTTCCAAACTCCTTAGAATAAAAAAAAAATCACGTAAACAATATTCTTTAAGCTGCATTTTGCTCCTTAGTTCTTGTTAGGTTCATCCTAATCTCATATGCAGAAATGGCTATTTGTTGTATTTTTTGTGAACGTTGCCCATACTAAAACTTGCAGGTGTCTTTTCATGTATAGACAGTCTCACTGTTTTGCCAAATACAAATGTATCCAAGCAATCTAGCAGGAAATGTATATTTAGACACAACTAAATTCTATGAGCATTTTCGAAACCCCACATGCACCTGGTTCCTCTTTTTTGAACTAATGAGGCATCAGTCAGGTTTTTTTAGGCTCACAAGAAAAACCACAGCATGCATGTTCAAAAAATGAAAATTTTAATGTTAAGCAACAATCCCAAAACATTTTCCACAATAGAAACAATTATTATTCAATACACTGTAAAAAAAATATGGAGATGAATACATCATTAGAAGCAAATGACACTCAAGTAACTCTCAGTCAGCAGATGTTTGTGTAGATGTCAGAATCAGGAAGTTTTTTTTTTAATTTTTTAAATATTTAAATAACAATATGAAGAATTTAACTGTACAATTAAAGCACATAATGATCTGTCTTTATAGGATGATGGTAACTATTGAATGCTAATCTTTTCAGCAGCACAGCAGGATGGTCTTGTCAATGCAGAAACACCCAGACACAGAAAAATGGAAGGAGAAGACGTCACACTTGAATGCAGGTTCCTTATCAGTGGAAGCAGGAGGCTCTTCTGTAAGGAAGAATGTGAAAAGGGAAACATTCTGATTAATACAACTGCTGACACATTTCAGAGCGACAGATACAGCATTCAATATTTCAAAAAAAAAAAATTTAGTTATGATATTATGTATGTGAGCATCACACAGCTGAAACAGTCTGACTCAGGAAGGTACAAGTGTACTTTGGACAGCACTTTGAACCCAGATTATTTTGAGATAATTGTCACTGAAGGTAAGTCTCTACAAAAATTATATTCATATTTCTGAAGATGTGAACATATTCACATCTCATTGGCAACAACATTTCTTTCAATTGATCTCCATTCAGTCATTTTTTGAATATAAGCTTAGCGTTGCCATAAAACACCTGTTAACCTACATTACTCGCATGCAGACATACAAACTGCAGGATTGTTTTTGTACTGATTGTTTCTTTGTTCACAGCTGTAAAAACTTCAACACCAGGCTCTACTCCAAAGGCTTTTTCATCATCAACCTTTCTCCTATCAACCTCAACAACAGCAACAACAGCAGCAACAACAACACAAAGTTTTAACTTCAGTTTAGAAAGCGCTACATCTACATCCTCCTCCACTGAAATCCTGAACCCTTCTGAGACACCTGCAGGTCCAGGTATGGGTTCGTCTGTGTATTTATCAAAAACCTCAACCACATTCAAGAGCAGTAGAAACATCGCTCGGTCATATTACTAAAGTGTAAACTTAACGTGTAAACTTTAATTCATTAACTAATGATGCATTGTCAGCTATTTGATTTTGAAATTTTAAGCACAATGTACAAAATGAGTAAAGTTTTCAAACAAATGCAGTGCATAAACAGTGCAAGAGTTAAATGAAGAACTCACGAACTGCACATGAACAGCTGAGTGAGACCACGTTTGACTTCCTTAAAGCACCATGACATGAGATCTAGATGACAGATGTTATAGACTTCCACTTCTGTGTCGTTACCTGTTACTGTGTGGTCATATCTCAGTGTTCTATATGTGATCCTATGACTATTATGCCATCAAAAAGTAGACAAAAATGCAGTGGGGAAAAGACTGCACAGAACTGGCCAATCACATTAGCTGTGGGCTACGTCGACCTGACATTACGTTACATTTCTCATGATGTGCATGCAAGCTTAACGTAAAAAGTTAGACTTGATAGTCACACACAGGACAGCCTCATTTGAGTAGTTGGCACTGCATGTGATGGAGGATTCAAGTGCAACAGTCGAAACTGAAACTTCATCTGAAAATAAATTAGGAGGACCAAAAGTAATTTCATACAAATGAAATGTAACTCAGACTATCTGTGTTTTGGTTGCATAATTCATCGCCAAATATTACGAGTGTGACAGTAAAAAGAAATGTGTTCTCTTGAGGTGCAGATAAGCCGCTTTATGTGATTCTGATTCTGGTCATTATGATCACCCTCTTATCAGCCGCTTTGCTGATTTTCTACAAGAAGATGAAGGCCATTAAACCTAAAGGTGAGTCTGTAGCACAGTGAGAAACCTCTGTTTTTTACCACTTCAGAGCAACTCTGCAGATTAACCTCAGGGTTAACCTTAATTAAGTTCTTATGCTGCACTGCAAAAATTCAAAAACTTACCAAGTATATTTGTCTAATTTCAAGTCAAAAATATCTCATCGCAGTTAAAATAAGACACAATCAGCTACACAGTAACATTTCAGTGAGATATATGAACTCGTTTTTAGACAGTGCATCTTGGATCTGGAGAATTTTCACTTGTTCCAATTGCAGATTTTTTTTCACTTATTTCTTACAATTTTATTTTATTTTTTATTGTATTAAGTGAAAAAAATCTGCCAATGGAACAAGTGAAAATTCAGGCGTAGTCAGTTTACAAATTGGATTCAGGTCACAAAGTACAATGTTGGTGTCGAGTTTTAGGATGGTTAAATGCTTATAGAAAAATAAAATTGTTGTTAAACTGTTTGCTGGCAACAGAAAAACAATCAAAGAATAAAGTTGAGTCTAAGAATCTTTATTTATTCCTAATTCTCATCAGACAAACTCAGAGACTTTCAACACAACTGAAAAACAGACTCTTATATTCTCTCTGCAGAGGTCTGATAGAGAGGCCCCTGGAATAATTACAGTATTTTCTGGAGAACTGATTGGTCAGTAGGTGGTGATGTCAAACCTGTTGATTTCTGATCTGGAAAAAACTGCTGTGACAACATTTGATTGTTTGACTGAAAGGTGTTCAGCACAGAGTCACATTGACCAGTTTTCATACATTGCTAAACCATCGACTTAGGAAAATTCAAATTCATTAAAAGAAAAACGAAAAATGATGTAGTGACAGAGGTTTTAACTTCAGTAGACCTATCCATGTCTGTGACTCTCAGATGCTTCTACACTAGAAGCTAGAAGTACTAGACTGATACTCACTGGGTTGACTTATTAAGATGTTAGGATATATGAAAGCTGACAGATGTCCCGGTAAAGCTGAAAATTTCAGAAGCACAACATCTGCACAGCTGGAAAAAAAGATGCAAGATGTAACAGATTACAATAGGCATGAATTAAGTCAAGTGTGACTTGGCTGTGGCACTGAATACATCTTTAAGATTAAGTTGAAAGATATTCAGTTTTCATTCTTTATATTGTTCCCAAGTTTAGTTCCTTTTTTGTAGTTGGTTGTAGTTCCTGGAAGGTGTTTAAGTTTGTGTTCTCACCTGCATTTTTCAGGACCTCCTGTAGAAACAGAATACGCCAATATCACACAGGTTAGTTTTAGAAATTATGAGACACGCAGTCTTCATTACCTGCTGATTTTTATCAGTTGGCCAGTATGTTCTCTTTTTTCCAGAATAACCGATTGTGTGAAGAGATAAGAGACGGTGGTTCACCTCCTGCGGAAGTGTCTTCAGCTGATGCCTTTCCCAAAACCTGCCAGCGAGCTGGAGTTGAAAACCTTGAACTTTACAGCCTCATCACCTATTCTCAAAGTAAAGTAAGTAGAACTGCGGTCTGACTGGTCAGAAACCAGAACAGACCTGTTTGAGTAGTGTCATTAGTAATCATCGATAGGATATTTTCTTTCTGCCAGCTAATAGTAAAAAATAAAAAATGTCCAAATTCATCGAACACGCTCTGGTTCAGGGTTATTAGGCGTGGCTAGTTTTTTTTTTTTAAGTCCAGGACAAATCCTTTGTTCCTAAACGTTATAATTTTCAGCTTCTGTGAGGTGATAATTTAATGCAGTAGCTGAGGTTGAAGGTTGTAGTGATTTGTTTAGTTTCAGTAAACCAAGTTTAGTAAAGCAAAAAAGTTTTTTTCCACTCCTGTTTTATCTGCTGGATGGGTTTATTTTTTAAGTACATTTCAAGTTTAACCTCACTTATTTTTCAGGCTGAAAATGACACAGATGAAGTTGATTACACTGAAGTGGATTTTTCCCACATTTCTGTAACTAACAGCACCCTCTGTGGTAAATCAGGTGATGTTGTCTACTCCACACCTCAGATACATGCTAGCCCCAGGAACCATGTTAAAGATGCTTCACCTCCTCTGTACTCTATAAAACCAAAACTGAAATAAAATACAAACTGAAAAAAGCGCAACACCTGAAGAGTCTTGCACTGTCACTGCAAAGAGAATAGAGGTTGCAGAGGGGCGTAACAAAGTGTTTGAGAAGGGTTTTTTCACAAATGATTCAAAGTTTAACTTGGAAGCCACGGTGAATGCAGTGTGAAACAAAAGACTTCACATGATGTGATGATGGAACAGAATATTTATGTTTTATTTACACTTTGTATGCAGTAAATTTTATCCGACTGGATGTTTAGTTTTTTGGAACGAAGCTTGTTCTCAGTAAAAGCTGTTTGTTTATGTTGTTTTGTACTAACAGTAGTTTTATTTGAAAAACGACCTATACTGTCTTCTTTCAGTTTGGTTCTGTATTCTTATTTCACTGTTCTTATTTCATAGGAAACATATTGTACAGTGGGCTGAATTCAAAAGCCAGTTTATCTGATTGATTATGTTCACTATGTAAAAAATTATCTAAATCTAAAATATGCAGTCATTGTCATCAAAATATTTTTGTTATAAACCTGCGGTGAGTTATAAATATTTTTAATAACAGAGTATCGATGTTGACCTTTGTGTCCCTCTGGTGGCTACTTCTTTAACCTTGCACAGTACACAGTACTTTAATGAATGTTACACTATGTTCCTGAACTTTTGCCTCCTACTAAAGGCCTCTAGTGCAAAAGAGGATTTCCTGTACTACAAAGTTTCACTTCTTAAAGTTTACCAGGGTATATCACCATGGTAACTGGTATTAAACCTAACCTGCCCTGGAGCAGGTATTCTTCTAGAGCTGATCAGATATGAAATAATTCCCTAACGACCAGTCAGTTCAACAGATGTTGGTTTCACCGTTGCTGAAAGATGAGTGTAAGTTTACCAGTACACATTTTAAAATATCCTCTTTCCCTAATGACTATGCTTATTTTAATCCCCCCACTGGTTACAAACAATTTTATGCATTTATTTACTTTTTGTTTTTGTGAACTTCAGGAATGTATTGAGAGGTGTCCTTCTTTAAAACAGGAAGCTGATGACTCAGCTAAAGGTTGAGTCACCTGTCATCTCATGTTCTTCTGCATTTCATTTTGAACTCTGTTTTATTTTAATCCTTGCTCTCAGACAGTTGAAGACCACCGACACCGCAACTGAAAAAAATAAAACTATTTTAAATATGAATATATCTAAATACTCAATTGTATTCCAATTTTCAAGGCTTTGCTTAATCTTTATTTTTGCTGGCTTTCTTTCTATTTCAATTCATTATTTTTGTCCTTTGCATCTATAAATTCTTTCTTACGTATTCTTTATTAAATATTCGTTGTAAATGAATATCTTCAGTGAGAAAAAAGGTTGAATTCATAATCTTTGTGACTTTCTCTTTTGATTATTTTTTTTATTCATATCCATCCATCATTATTTCTACAGCAGTGTGTCACGTTCTTGTGTTGAGCTTGCTAGCCATCTGGCTTGTTTAGACTCCAAGGATGTAAATCCAGCCTAACGCAGCTTTAGAAGTGATGAGACACAAAAGCTAAACCAACACAGAATCCTTCACTCTGCAGTTCAAGAAGTTAAAGCAAAGGGGAGAAGTGTAGAGCTGTATGATGTGTGTGGGGGAGGGAGTCCATCATTAAGAGAAGTGAGAAGTTCCTGGTTTGTAAGACGAGCAATATGAAGACAGTATGTGGCACTGTGGTCTGTTTCATCTTTCTCGGTGAGTAAATTTTTGTATTATTACTCCTTCTTGCATATCATTGCTTTATGTGGTTAAATATGTTTACTGGAACATGACGTTTGTTAAAAATATGAGGTAACTTCCCCAAATATAAACCACGCAGGAACCTTTTTTAAGGTTACCATTTTTTATTACCTAAGGTTATCTTTCTTTTCTCCAAAAATTCTCCAGATGTTTTTGTATTGCACTTCAATACTTAATAAAATTTCCACGTATATACTTTTTTTTAAAGAGTAGTGTTATAGTTGAGTTTTTTTATGGGGAACCGACAGTTTACAGTATCACTGTTTTGCAACACACTGGGAAAACTAAAAAAACTGGACTTAACATTTGGACTGTTGGAGCTGTTTTGCACCTTTGATGAACAATTGTAAAGTTTAACAGTGTTTCTTTGTCAGAGTGTTTGTGGTTAAACATGTTCAGAGGTGTAAGAGCCTCTGAAAGTACAACTTAACTTCCCCATTTTTATTTAAACACGACTTCAGTTTATTTTGTTTTTCAATAATTTCAATTTTTTTTAAAGAAATTATCCTGATTTTCTTGTATTGTTGTTGAATATACAGCCAAATATCTGCATACACTTGTTTTTTATTTATTTTATTTTAAGGATGTATTTATAGTTGACAAGTACACACTGTTGTTTCAACCTCACCGCTTTGCAACACAAAGGAAGGAAACAAGGGAAACTGGTCTTAACGTTTGTGTGTTATTCTAGTTTGTGCGTGTGTGTGTGTGTGCGTGCGTGTGTGTGTGTGACAGTAAGGGGTAGGACATAACAAATAAATACATGTAGCTTTGCTTAATCAATCAAGATGACAGAAAGATTATCTGTCAGACAACAACAGTGATTTTTAGAAGAAGGAAGAACTGAAGATGATGATGAAGAAGAAATCCACCTGAAATCCAGAGTCCAGTCTTTGTTACATGGGACTCTGCTGGACCAGTTATAGCAAGATGGTTTAATCAGAGTCTTACAGCAAGTTTTAAGGTGAACATGAGACGCTCCAAAACAACCACATCAGTAACTGGCAAATACAGAACTATGTATGATGTTAGAAGAGAGGTGGATGGGTTTACAGTGGTGTGTGAATAGGGTGAAAAGAGCTGGACTAAGAACGCAGCCCTGCGGTACTCCTGTGTTAATGGTGATAGCAGATGATGTAAGGTTGCCCACCATGACCTTCAGGGTGGGCATCGTTGCTCAAATAAGGAAGAAACCACTCAGCGTTGCTGCAAAGATGGCATAATCAGGGTTAACACAAATGATTGTTACTGTTGTGCAGGACATACAATCTTATTTCTTTTCAACCCAGGTGCCATCTACTGGGAAATGCTCCCTGATCTAAATTTTGTTCCTGATAAAGCAGCAACAAAAAGAAGAGCTGCAACATGTGTGTCACAGACACAGTATTATGTATTATAAGACATAGTATTATGTCTTCACTGCCTGCTACATTCGATCCTTTTCAGTTTGCCTACAGGCCAAACCGACCCACAGACGACGCAATAGCACTGCTCTGCACACTGCCCTATCCCACCTGAACCATAAGAACACATATGTGTGGAAGCTGTTTATTGACTAGAGCTCCACTTTCAACCCTATTATTCCATCCAGGTTCACGATGAAGCTTTGGAATCTGTGGTTCATTATGGGACTGGATCCTGGACTTCCTGAAAGACAGACCACAGGTGGTACAAATCCGTAGTGCTGCATCATCTACACCAGGGGTGTCGAACTCCAGGCCTCGAGGGCTGGTGTCCTGCAGGTTTTAGATCTCACCCTGGGTCAACACACCTGAATCAGATGATTAGTTCATTACCAGGCTTCTGGAGAACTTCAAGACATGTTGAGGAGGTCATTTAGCCATTCGAATCAGCTGTGTTGGATCTAAAACCTGCAGGACACCGGCCCTCAAGGCCTGGAGTTCGACACCTGTGATCTACACTGATGTTCAACACCGATGCTTGTTAACAGTCTGAATGGCCCACAGGAAGAAGGTGTTTGTGAGTGTGGTGGTGTGGGACCTGATTGACCTGACCCACTGCAAGCAGATGGTGCGTGGGCATCAAGGGGTCACCTGTGATGGCCCTGGTTTTCGTGAGCTGGAGCTTGCATGGCCTGCAGAGGTGGCAGATGAAAGTTGTTTCTCAGTTATGGCCCATATGTAGAGCACTCTCTCCAGAAAAGCGTTACAAGGCCAGCAGCAGTTTCTCGTCGGGGGTTGTTCTTCCTCAGGACACAAAGAAAGTGCAGCCATTGTTGGGCCTTCTTCACCTGAACGCTGGTGTTGTGGGTCCAGGTGAGATCAGTGGAAATGTGGGTTTCCAGAAAGGGGGAGACAGATTCCCCCCATTCAACATTTAGAATCAAAGGGTTGGGGATCTGTCTGTGCCTCCTGAAGTCCATTATGAGTTCTTTTGTTTTAAGGATGTTCAGCTTCAGGTTATTTTCTGAGCCTCAGCAGGAATTATTCTCTACCTCCACCCTGTATGCTGTCTCATCTCAATTAGAGAGGAGCCTGTTCATGGTGGTGTCATCGGCATACTTGAAGATGATGTTCATTGGTTGGATTGATGCACAATTATGTGTGTACATGGAGTAAATTAGGGGGCTGAGAGTACAGCCCTGCGGAGACTTGATGCTGAGTGACAGTTGGGCGAAGAGTTGGTGGCAGTCTGACTGACTGAGGTCTGTTTGTGAGGAAATCTTTGATTGAGGAGCATTTGGCAAGGGGAACACGAAGGTGGATCAGTTTGGTGGTAAATTATGTTTAACCATTCTTTGCTTGAAGATGATGCAACAGCAATGTTATTTTTTCCATACTTGTTAAATATGAAACATAAAAGGAACAACACTGCGTGAGTGTTGATATCCCGAAGTCTCTGAATGTTCAGCAACAACATATCTTCATTTTACGTTTAGGTCGGAAAAGCGGATGAAGATGGATTCTGAAGCAAGTAAAACTCAAGATGATATTCTAGCTTTTACACAAAACTTCAACTCTGAGTCTTCTTCAGCTGATGATTTGTGGAGATATTAGGGAAAAAACATGACATTTGCTGTTTGTAAAATTACTTTACTTTGCAAGTAAAGTAAGAATTTAGTGAATTCAACTAAACATTTATGATCGTTCACATGAAGTGAATAAAAGTGAATAAATTAAATTAAATTAAATGTACAAAAATGTATTATTCATAACATATTACAGGGTACATATTAACCATTGACTGTTCATCATTTCTACAGCACTGCACGATGGAAACACTGGTCAAGTCAAAAGAGGAAGTCCCACCTATAGAAGAAGGGAAGGAGAAAACATCAGAGTTGAATGCAAATTTTCTTACTCTGGAACCAAGAAGTTCTTCTGTAAGGGAAAATGTGAAAAAAGAAATATCCTAATTGAAACAACAAAGAACGCAGCTAAAAATGACAGATACAGCATTCAGTATGTAGAAAAAAGTGTTCTGTCATCTGATATTCTGTATGTGAGCATCGGTCAGCTGAAAAAGTCGGACACAGGACCATACATGTGTTTGAGTAAAACCTGGCTTGGTGATCTGAGCCATGAGTTTTACATTCTTGTCACAGAAGGTGAGTTCCAGCAAAAATATTTTTTTATGTCATTGCTTTACATAAACTTAAAATTTAGTTTTTATAAGTTCCACTGATGACCACAAACTAAACCTTACATGCAAACACTGAATCTGCTTTAAGCATAATTTTTAAGATTTAATCTCATTGTTTCATTGTTCATGTTGTTTGTATACTTCAACTTTAACATTTCTGTCATCAGGCTCAACAACAAAAACAGAAACAGCAACAACAACAACATCAACAACAAAAACAACAAAAGCAATACCAACAACAGAGACTTCAGTCTTCAGTTCAGAAAGTGCTGGAGTTTCATCAGTGTCCCCCGAAACCTCAAAACAGCCCCAGAGATCGCCTGCAAGTTCAGGTACATTATACATTTTATGTTTAATATGTAATATACTGATGTAGATATGATCTCGGTTATTCAGACCCTTTTCCATTAGTACCTGCACAGACTTGTTACGGTTCAGGTACCAGGCACTAAAATAGTACCTGCTCGGCCGGGTTTCCAAGAGATCCGAACTTGGCATCACTCGATGAGTTATGATAGCACCTTGTTCACAAAAATCAAAACCACCATTTTTGAAACCCGACATTGAGGGAAATGGCTACAAAAAATGATGCCGTGGTCCCCCGACTCTGGCGAAAAGCCACAGACCAAGCAGCAGGTGTGTTGACATCCAATGTTGCTTCATGTTGCATAATTACATCATGGGATGCTCGCGTCATGTTGCTATAACAATGACCACGCACATTAGGCAGTACTTGACTGTCATGGAAAACCAGTCAATCTGAGTCAAATTTTGGCGAGACATTGCGAGTCAATCCGAGTAGATAATGAAAAAAATCATTAGACTCTCTGAGTAAAACAAATGTGTTCTTTTAAGCTGCTGCAGGTATGCTTCCTTATGTGGGTCTGTTTCTGGCCATTATGATCATCCTCTTCTCGGCAGCTTTGCTGATTTTCTGCAAGAACAAGAGGGCCAGTAAAGACAAAGGTATACACACACACACACACACACACGCGCACGCGCACACGCGCGCACACAGACAGAAAACCTGGTTTTAAAAGGTACCGAAAAACATAAAATGCATTATTTATCTACCTCGGAGATGTCTGTGTGTGGAAGAAAGAAAAAGTTTTTAAAAGCAGAAATGAATGAAAATAACAGAGTTTCTGGTTTAATTCTTCAAATGTGGCTTATTTTTTGACCTGCATGTTTTTCAGGACCTTTGGAAAATGAAAATGGTGACATCACACAGGCGAGTTACAGGAATTCTGAGACACCTGAGCTTCATTACTGCTTGATTTGTATGAATAACCTGGGTTCTTCTTTCTCTACAGGTGAACCAGCTCTATGAAGAGATCAGAGAAATGGACACTTTGCCTCCCCTGGGTGTGTCCTCAGCTTACACGTACCCCAAATACTCCCAATCACATGGATTTGAAAACATAGACTTCCACAGCCTCAGCACCCCTCCTCAGAACACAGTAAGTAAAATTGTGGTCTGATTTTAAGCTTTGAGGTCAGAAATCTGGATCTTTATATTAAATTAGGTAACAGTTTGAGTAAAAAAGTAATGAGGACCTCAGGTTATGGCTGAGCAAGTACAGCGTCAGCAGATTAGAAATACGTTTTGATGACGGGGCTACATAGGGCCTTGGAAAATTCACAAAAAAAATCTTCAAGTCAATTCTCAAATTAACAGGTCACCAGTGAAAAGAAGCTAAAACAGGGCTCATGTGTTCTCAATTTTTGGTTTTAAGTAAGAAGTAAATGGTAAATGGCCTGCATTTGTACAGCGCTTTACTTAGTCCCTATGGACCCCTTTGCACTTTACACTACATTCAGTCATTCACCCACACACACACACACACTGGTGATGGCAAGCTACACTGTAGCCACAGCTGCCCCTGGGGCGCACCGACAGAGGCGAGGCTGCCGGACACTGGCGCCACCGGAGAAGTAAGAAGTCTGACTGTTGCATTTGGGATCAGCTGTAGTTTCTGTAAACTTTGTTCACCATTTAATTTCTTTAATTGGGTCATTCGCTGCACTGAGTTTAGGAATGTCAATGGGAAAGAGATGTGCAGCTGATGAAACCTTCACTGATGAAATTATGTTCACTATTTGTTCAAAATGTATTTCGAGAGATGATTAATCAAATTTACGAAGATTTTGGAGGAAGTAGTTAGTGTTGCTGTGGATTTGTTTTGCATCAGTAAAGTAGCTAGCTTGTTTTGTACACTCCATTTTTGTATATGCAACAATGTCGAGAATAACTGAGGATGTTAGAAAGATTTGGGACACAAAATGTGGATTTTTACTGTTTATGCATATATTAAGGGCAGAGCAGGCTGTACCCGCTGTGGAGACTCAGGTCTTTTTGGAGTGAAGGGCCCACTCCTGAAGACCTTCTATGACTCTGTGGTGGCCTCAGCCATCTTTTACGGTGTGGTCTGCTGGGGCGACAACATCTCTGTCGGGGACAGGAAGAGACTGAACAGGCTGATCCGAAGGGCCAGCTCTGTTCTAGGATGCCCTCTGGACCCAGAGGCATGAGTGACAGGAAAATGGTGGCTAAGCTGTCATCCCTGCTGGACAGCATCTCCCACCCCATGCAGGAGACTCTGGCAGCACTGAGCAGCTCCTTCAGTGGCAGGCTGCAGCACCCACGATGTGGGATGGAGAGATTTTGCAGGTCTTTCGTCCACTCTGCTGTCAGACTCCACAACAAAGACTTCCACTGATCAAACACACACAAACCCACACATGTGCAATAGCAATAACACTAAGTGCATTACTCTTTTTCTGGCATCGCTGTATTATACTGAATTGTATATAGCATTTGGATTCTATTTTATTCGATTGTATGTAGTATTTTATTTTATTTTATTTTATTCTATTCTATTGTGTACAGTATCTTATTGATATCTTATTCCAGTGTTGTTCTCTAATTTTTCTATGCAACTTTGCACTGTCCACTGCTGTAACAAAGAAAATTTCCCACGTGTGGGACTAATAAAGGTTATCTTATCTTATCTTAAATAAATCTATAAAAAATAATTTGTTTCAAATTGCTTTTAAGAAACTAAAGTTTGTTCTCACTTTTCTTTCAGGCTGAAGACAACTCAAGTACTCTTCATTACTCTGAAATTGATTTTTCCCACATTCCTGCCACCAACAGCGCTCCATCTCGTAATGCAACTGATGCTATTTACTCCACACCTGTGGTATATACCAGCCCTTCCAGCCACACCAAAGATTCTTCATCTCCTCTGTACTCAGCAGTTTAAAAACGGTATTAATGCTGCCGATGGCACCTTCCCTCTCACAAAGATCAACAGGTGTTCGTAATTCATAGAAAATGAGGTTCTTTTCTGCTTATTTAAGTGAACTGAATGTTCAAACTATTAGCCTCGGATTAATTTATTTAATTACTTAGTAATATCTACTTTAACTTAACAGATAATTGCATGCATACTTCTTGGAAACTGGAGTATTTTCCATTAACAAATACAGGAAAACCCAACTGACATGGAACATCCATTGCTGTGTGAGAGCATGCAGTGGTCTCAGCTCAGTCAGCAGGTTGTTCTTGGAGAAACATCCATAAATGGAGTTAGCAAAACAGCTTCTTTCACATATAGAAATTTACCTCAAGTGATGTCTTTCTTGCCCAAACCCAACAAAACTGAGACTGAAAAGTGAATAATGGCATGAAAAGCTGCAGAAAACTCAAAAACATTGTGTCAGAAAACCCTAAAGACAAGTTCACTAGAGACAGTTTCTGTATACTTTCTGTTGGCAATGTAAACAAGCAAAAAAAACCAAAAAAAAAAATGGGTGAATTGATTTAAAATATTCTTTTAATAAAGCTTTTGGGACTGTGCTCTTCTTGCCTCATTATCCAGTGTTTTCGATCATACTTGGCTCCCATAATCTCTATAATACATGGCGCAGTCTTATTGTTCAGGCCTGAAAGTGAAGCTGATTTGGAAGGTTCAACAAATCCAGCAAATCCAACCACATGTTAGACTTTAATGTGAAGATGCCTAAATCCACAGATGAAACAAAATGCAACCCACCATAAAAAAACAAATAAATGAGCAAAACACCAAATTGAATTATAGGCCCCCAGCTTTGCTCACAAACCTGCTTGTTTGTGTAATTTTGTACTGACACAGACACTGAAAGTACTGTGTTAATTGTTTTTATAATCTTAACAATATCACAGTTCTGTGGGTTATTGGATTTGCACAAGGATCTTTGTGTTCTTATTTTAGTTTGCTTCACTGTGCTCAACCTGATTTTTAAATCTTAATTAAAATAAACATGAACATCAACAGTTTTAACTGTATGGTCTTGATTGCAGAATATTTTTATATATAAAGGTACATGGACTGGTTCTTATATAGCAATTTTTACTCTATTTGAACACTCAAAGTGCTTTATACAACACGCCTCGTTCACCCATTCACAGACATTCATTCTTTTTTCTACATCTAAATTGTTTCCATCCAACATTTACACACATTTATACTTATGCATGTTTCTGCTATTAATTCATAAATACAAACTGTCCTCTAGTGCAAATGTAGTAGTACAGGTCCTGTTGTGCCTGGTTATTTTCCCCTCTGCAGCTGTATTGTAACACATGGTGAAGTTTTTATTGCTATTGTAAACGTATTTATGGTATAGCGTCTGGTTCTGTGTGAAATCAGATGGAAGAGGACTGTGCAGTGTTGTACTGCAAGACCTCCCTCTTCTATGTGGTGATAACCCAGCTATAAACCTTACCAGCATCTACAACGCTGGTATTTTTTCCCAGTGAGGAAGCACTACATCATAGTCGATGGATCAAAAAGGCACCACCTAGTGGCGATGTATGAGAACTCAGAAACGGTGGTGTCGTAAAACAAATTTTCACTTCCATCTTTATTCATGAATGGATGCAAACACACCTTTTCTGCATTCATAATTTTAACAAAAATGAATTGTCTGCACCACAAGTTTGACTGAATGAGACCAGCAAAGTTGGAAAATAGAATACGTGTTTGGTGCAGGTAATCTAATTTTTAAAATCAAAAAGAGGAGGGGGAAAAATCAAGCTTTCAAATTTGCGTAGAAAGAACAAGAGAAAAAAAAGGTTTGCCTTCAAATGTCAAACTACAAACTGCATCACAAAGCCACAGCACTGTCTAATAATAGTGCAGACAACAAGACAGCAAAATTTATTATAAACTGTGTTGTTTGCAATGACTTTTATACTGACTTTTTATATTGTTCACATAAGTTTGTGACTTTAATATCAGAGAATTTCATATATTTTTCCTTTTTCTTTGGAGTAATATTTTCACTTCATGCAAATTTTTAGATGACTGCTTATTCAAACTTCCTATTGGGAATTGTTTTAATGCAACGTTCCTTGTGAAATCCAATATAGTTACATCAACATAAGAAGAATGTGACAACTCGAAGGCAAAAAAAGCTGTTTTAATAAAAAGGCTACATTTAGTTTTGACTTTTATGAGATTGCATCATGATGTTTTCTATTTTGTTGTTATTTTAAGTAACGCTTCATCTGGTGAACAGAACAAAAGCTCACTGGCACTAAAATAAGTTTCTCTGAAACCCAACGATTAATTTGTGAAGCAGGATTTCATCTCATCCAGGTTAGCCCTGGGTTCACTTTTCAGAAAAGCAAATTATTAATGAGAGCTAAGGACTAATCAAAACTCACTATTGCATTGCTACTTTTTTGTACTACAGCGTAATCAGCTGATTCTGTGCTATTTCCACCTAATCACGTTTATCTTCACAACCACATCACGCCTTCCTTTGTTAACTTATTTTTCTTTAGAATTTCTTCTTAATAGTTTAATAATTATTCACCATTTACTTTACTACTTTTGTTTTTGTCATTGCACTATTTTTATCTACATTTGACACACAAACTACCCTGTGTAGTGTCTTTAAATGTCCATCATATTTCCATGAGATGACACATAAGCCAAGGGACGTAGTAACATTGTGCATTGGCCTCAATATACAGAAACAGAGATATTTTTGAATAGTACAAAATGCACACAAATGAAGGGTTTGTATTTTTCTGAAATATCACTGATGACATTTGTTTCCTATGGATATAATTATCATTATAGTTAAAACAGTAATAATAATAATAATAATGGATTGGATTTATATAGCGCTTTTCAAGGCACCCAAAGCGCTTTACAATTCCACTATTCATTCACTCTCACATTCTCTCACATTATCACAAGCTACGGTTGTAGCCACAGCTGTCCTGGGGCAGACTGACAGAAGCGAGGCTGCCATATCGCGCCATCGGCCCCTCTGGCCATCACCAGGAGGCGGTAGGGTAAAGTGTCTTGCCCAGGGACACAACGACCAGGACAGAGAGTCCGGGGATCGAACCGGCGACCTTCCAGTTACAGATGCGCTTCCCAACCCCCTGTACAGTACAGAGTACAGTACTCTGTACTGTACATATACAGTCAATTTCTAGTTTTCAGCACTCAGGTACATGTGTGATTTTGGATGAGGATAACAACGTGAGATCTTTTCAGGGTATAGAAAACATGAGATATAATATAAATAAATAAGTAGAAATGCAGAGCTGACGAATGGGTCTCATCATTAAGAGAAGTGAAAGGTTCCTGGTTTACAAGTGAAGAAGGAAGACAACAGCATTAAACCATCAGAACCTTAACATGAGAGCCTGTCACTTTTTGTTCTGCTTTATCGCTGTAATCTTGTAATTTTGTGCTTTCTGGGTGTTACTTGTCTTTGTGTCAAGAGTTTTGATTTTTTTTATATAATTTGATCAGCTTCATGAAATGTGCTTTTTTCTGTTTACTGAGCAATCTACATGTCTATGTGGCTTTTCACCTAATAACTTTGTGATGAACTTATTCAGCTACTAAATTACTTCCTGTTTTTAGAGAATAGATGTAGAGAAGATAAACCGCAGCTCTTTCCGAGAACATGCAGTTGTAGAAAAGGGCAAGAACCTGTTGATTCTGAGTGACGTTGTTATTTTTACACACACACACACACACACACACACACACACACACACACACACACACACACACACACACACACACAGACATAAGACCTATAAATAAACTACGCAGGCAGACGCAGAGTGCCGATCTCAGAAGTTGCTGCCCACGCGTGTAAAAACGACTGCAGTCTTTGTGTTTTCTAACTCAGGTGTCTTAGCTGAAGAATTACAGGGTGATCTAAAGAAATCCCCTGTCATTTAGTTTTCTTTTAATTAATCATTAAGTTTTGCATGGTTGATGAAACATTTTAATGGTAAACTGTTTTAATATATTTGTTATATAGTTTTAAATATATTGTTATTATATTCTGTTTCTTATGTATATTGTTATTTTCTGTGGTTCTCGTGCTCGTTTTTCTGCCTAGAAATGGTTAACTTGTTGTTGAATATCCAATGAAATATCCACCCCTGTACTTGGCTTTTCATTCCACTGAAATATACCTTAGAAACTAGTCTTAAAAACAAGGATTAAAATAGATTTAGAAAACATATTTAAATAAACTAAATGTTAATGTCATTTGCTCTGTTTGTCAAACCGGTTTCTGCTTGGAGCTGATGCAGCAACAATGTTACTTTTTTTAAAATGTGAATGATAATGAGAGAAATAGCACTGCATAGATGTTGACACACTGAAGTCTCTAAATATTAAGCAACACATCCTCATTTCACATGCGAAGCTCTGCTGTAAAACACACATTACCTCCCATTGCTCTCATGCAGACACACAAAAATGACAAAGATGATATTTTCTTTGTTCACAGCTTCAATCATTTCAACATCAAACAACACTTCGCAACTTTTTCAACATCAGTCTCCACAACAACAATAACACAGAATTTGAACTTCCATGACTCAACCATGACAGAGAGTCATTCATCGGGCTCAGGTAGGTAGGTGTGATGTGAGCGTGGATCCATCCACGTGTTTATCAAAGCAACTTGTCCCTGTCCTCCTTCAAAGTAAAGTAAGAAATTGGGAGTTCAGCTGAACTAATTTGAACAAGTTACGACTTTTCACATATTGTACACAAAAATATTTCAACAACATATTTATTACAGGGTACATATTAACTATTGATTGTTCATCATTTCTACAGCACTGCACGGCGGAAACTTTGGTCAAGTCAATAGAGTAATTCCCACTTATAGAATAATGGAAGGAGAAAACAGAGTTAAATGCAAATTTTCTTACTCTGGAACCAACAAGTTCTTCTGTAAGGGAAAATGTGAAAAAACAAATATCCTAATTGCAACAACAGAGAACACAGCTAAAAATGGCAGATACAGCATTCAGTATGTAAAAAAAATGTATTCTGTCATCTGATATTCTGTATGTGAGGATCACACAACTGAAAAAGTCTGACACGGGACCATACATGGGTCATTTGAGACAGACTGCAGGCTATAATATCTGTACACAATAACCTCACTAATATTTGGTAGGATTGAGGTCAGGGTCATTTGAGAAGTGTAATGTTAGCTTGCTTTTTTCCAAAACTTGTTTTGAATTGTGTTGGGGATCACGGTCCTGAAGCTTCACCCCAGTCTAATTTAAGTTTAAACTGCAGAGCTGTTGATTTGGGTGAAGCTGAAATATTTGGATGTAGTCATTTGTCTTCATTATTCGATCCACTTTGTGCGATGTACAGTACCACAGCAAAACAGCCCCAGACCATGATGCTACTTGGCAAAGTGCTGACACATCCGAATAACTTTTACTTACATACAGTTATTTGAACTGATAATCTTGGAATCTGCAGTTGTTTAGAAATGGTTCCAAGAGATCTTCCCAGTTCGTCTAAATATACATTTCTCCTTCTTGGATGGTAAAAAATTAAAGTCAGTGTAAGTATATATTTGAGTCTGTATGTATACTTTTGATGTTGTGTAGAAAATCCAGAATAAATTCAAACTTGTTTACCCGGTTCTATTTTCTTTCTTTCCTGTATGAAGGCAGTAATTTCTTTTCTCAGATTTAACTGGATATTCTGTTCATGTCCAATGATTCCAAATAACTGCCCAAATTGCCCAAACTGCCCATCTAAGTACCCAGATATGTTTCAGTATGGCTGCCGAGTAAAAGGGCTTTCCCCTGGAGAAACCTCTGCAATTTGAATGTAAATACTGATCCATAAGAACTCTGTGGACTAAAAGTTCCTGCCACAAAGTTGTGCTATTGAGTAAATGAGGAAAATTCTCAAGCAGACGTGTCACAAAAGAAGGAAGTGTCCTTATTCTTACCTGCTGCACGCAGTTAAGTCAGATTTTTTGTAGCAGAGGTTTCTAAGGGTAAGCCAACACATATTGCTTAAAGTTCTGGTAAAAATAAAAGTAGTGTAATTTACACAGCTCCACAGTGTCGGCCTAATCTCTGGTTGGTATGGGCAGAAGTCAAGAGGCTGCTGCTGGTAGTGTTGCAGTTGTGGGAAGGTTGGCCTACTTGCTTAAGTCATGGTTTTAATGTCACAGCCTGTCTTAGTATTCGTCTTGACCACATGCATGTCTGTCTCCTGCGGTGCACCGTCATCTCAAACTAGCAATAAGTTTTGCAATATGGAGATTTATATCTTGAACAAACAAAGACTTTCATTAAAACTATATCAGGAGTAATTTTCTCTGTGCAGAACCCTTTGGTTCTAAGAAATGTTTGACTGAATTGAAATCCATTAATGCTGAACAGTATAAATATCAGAATTTTATATCCTACAGCACAGTTAAGGAACTGTGTGTTGAGACTCACAGAAATCCAGCTGAGTACGGCTTTAGAATAACTTTGATTGTAGAGTAAAAACAGTTGCTAGGCAGTGTTTGCAGTTTGACGGGTTTGTGTTCATTGTTTGACCCGATGAAACTACAATACTGCCATCCAGTAAATTCATACATGTAATTTAATTAAACCCAAACAGTAGAAACTAAATAAAGCTAAGTAACCCAAAAGGATAAATAAATGGATTCTGTAGGACCATGTTTTTTTAAATGAAGAAGGGAAGATTGTGTATCTGTGTGTGATGTGTTTGAAGGAGAAGTGTCATCATTTTAAAAAACCCAAAAAACACAAGTTCCTGTTTGTGAGTGAAAAAGGAAGAGAAGCAGCATGAACCCACCAAAGCCTCGATATGAAAGTCTGTCAAGCTTTACTCTGTTTCATCTTCCTCAGTGAGTAAATTAACCTCACATTTCTCTCATTTCTCTGTTCTCGTCATCGCTGGCCTTTATCTTTGTTTTTTAGGAGATCGTCTGTAAGTTTTGTTCCTCATAAACAGTTTTGTCTGCATACTGTTTCATCACTCACGCGTTTTTTTTTCAATGTGGTGTTTAAAGTTGAAAACATCCTCCTGAGATCCAGAAGAAAAAATGTTTTGATATTTCGATTTTAAAAAATGTAAGCATTGCAAATTTCTTTTCAGAATCATTATTTATCTATTTATTTATTTTCTGTCCCTTGAAGTGGAGATCAGGTCTTATTTGATCACACGATGATATGATCCTATGAATCCTATGAAGGGAAACATCTTTCCAAGGCAGCCTTGTTGAATTCTGTTTAATTTTTCTTCTTGTTATTTCTCTGGACTGCCCAATCTTGAAGAACCTGTCTCAACTCATTGAATTGGCTATAAATACGAACCGGTAGACTCAAATCCTAGTCTCTCTAAGGCCACAGATATGTTGAAGAATGTTATTGTTCCAGAAATTTTTCACCTTTAATGCTAACTTCAGAAATAACCATCTCCCTCTTATTTGTGTACTGATTTTGTTTTCTAAAACCTGGTTGCCTGTTTTCTTTTTGGCGTAATGAGAGGACCACCTGTTCTGTAGTTGCAGGCAGCTTTGTTCTGTTTTCATATTTCATCCTGAAAATAAGTTCAAGCCAGTTGCAGCATTGTTAAAAATGAAATGATAAAGACAAGAGGCACACAGTTTAATGCACTTTTAGCATATATATTATGAATAATGTAAATTGGTCATTAAAATTAAAGTGGACTTAAACAGTATTTTTAAATCACTAAATGCTACAAGTATTTTACAGAACTTCAAAGTTTTTTGAATGACTCACCATTTAGACCTTATGAAGCCTTAAAAAATTCATGTTTTTTAAGTCAATGTGTCAACAATTTTTTCAAGATAAAAAGGAACAGCACAACCTCATGGTGACAAACTGAAAACCTTACAACATGTGTTAAACAACAATTTCAAAAACCTCATCTGACAGACAAATACACAAAAAGCAAATAAAGAAGTCATCACAAACAAAACTAAGCCTGTAACTAAGCTTTCGAGCTTAGCCTGACGCTGATGTCTTTTTGCAGCTGTAAGGAAGAATTGGAAGACTTCTGTTCACAAATTCAAAAATAAAAGTAGAGATTTTAGGTAAAATTGAATTGAAACTAATTTGAGCTATTTTGTTTTAAATAATTACATCTTTTCAATTTAGTTTAAAATATTTATTCAGACTGCAGGTAACTGTTCATATTTTCTACAGACCTGCAGAATGGAAACACTGGACTTGCCAACGCTGAAACTCTCGTCTATGAAGGAGTGGAAGGAGGAAACATCACAGTCGAATGCAAATTTTATATCCTTGGAAGAAAGACATTGTTCTGCAAAGATGAATGTGAAAAAGGAAACGTTCTCATTGAAACACCTGATTACACAGCCCAGAGTGGCAGATACAGAATCAAATATGAAAAAAATTATTTCTCAAAGGATATCGTGCACGTGAGCATCACACAGCTGAAAAAGTCTGACTCAGGATGGTACAGATGCACGCTGGACACAACTTTACAACCATGTGATTTCAAGATCTTTGTCAAAGAAGGTGAGTCTCTACTAAAAAATCTTCTTCATGTTTCTGAATCAACATTTACTTCTCAGCTTGTTTTCTATTTAAATAAACTCCATATGTTATTACTTGCATGCAGACAAACAAACAAGGAAAAAATCAGACAAAAGACTTGATGGTTCACAGCTTCAATCATTTCAGCATCAAACACAACTTTCTTCAACATCAGTATTTCTCTTTTCAGGCTCTACAAAAACAGGAAAGAATTTGAACTTCCATGTCACAACCACAATGCAGTGAAACTAGTCTTAAAAACGAGGATTAAAATAGATTTACAAAATATATTTAAACAAACTAAATTTAAACATTGTTTTCTCAGCATTTTTAAAATATCTGTGATAATAAGAGATGCATGGATGTTGACACACTGAAGTCTCTGAATGTTAAGTATCACATCCTCATTTCACATGCAAAACACACATTAACCCCCATTACTCTCATGCAAAAAGTCTTCAAGCAGGAATCTTATAGATTTGATTGCTTCTGTGTTTGCAGCTTTAATCACGTCACCATCAAACAACACTTCACGACCTTTTCCAATATCACTATTTCTCTTTTCAGTCTCCATGACAACAACAAGAACAACAACAATACCTGACTCAGGTACGTCATGTGTGCATGTCTGTGTGAATGGAGTGTGCATCCATCCATATGTCTGTCAAAGAACCTCATCCATGTTCATGAATGAAACATCAACAGCTGTGTAAGCACCGGTCTGATTTATTACTGAAAATGCAGAAATGGTAAACGGCCTGTATTTGTATAGCGCTTTACTAGTCCCACACACTGGTGATGGCAGCTACAATGTAGCCACAGCCACCCTGGGGCGCACTGACAGAGGCGCGGCTGCTGCTCTGACCACTACCAGTAGGGTGAAGTGTCTTGCCCAAGGACACAACGACCGAGACTGTCCAAGCCGGGGCTCGAACCGCCAACCTTCCGATTACAAGACGAACTCCCAACTCTTGAGCCACGATAGCCCCACAAAAATACACAACTTTGTTAGAAGTAACAGAAAATGAAAGTATTGGCACTAAAACAGAATTATCAAAGTAAAAATACAATTTATTTCATAAACAGGGACATTATATTTTTTGGATTTTAACTTTAACGTCTGTTAACTATAAAATGGACTTGCTTCTAATTTTCTAGGATTGTGGGATTAAATTACATTTCGTAACATTAAGCTGAAACTATAGAAGAAGAAAAGTTATGACATAGATGTAATGAAGTGAACAGCACAACAGTTAAATGAAATGTCAACAGCTTTGAGGGACTTTCTCAGAGCATCACTACATGTGGTCTTGATAAAAGATAAAAATAAATTCTATCTATAATTATACACGTTTCACTACAACAGTCACAGACAAAGGAAAAGCTCAAGTGAGTGAGTGTGGGTCTGAGTCCTGTCAGGGCTATATGCATCTACAGCTAGAAAATGTAATCTTCTTGTATTGTGGCAATTTCTATCATGTTGTTGGTGTTGAAACAGTGACTACACTTATTTTATTTTTGGCTGTATTTTCAAGCATGAACCCAAAAGCAGAAGAGATTTTGAAGCATCATCCTGCTGATAGATAGCACCAGTTTCAAGCACAACTGCGTCTTATACACATGAAGTTTAGATACAGTTACTTATTTGGTTTCTTTGTTTTTTATGGTTTTGTTTTGTTTTTGATTTTGTTTTTTGCAAAAGCTGCCTTCAGAGGAATCATATTCTCTCACAAATCTTTAGAAGGTTTTCTTTGCAGATAAAACTAAACCATATAAGTGTCATTTTATTTCACTTCAACTCATATTGATACTGTATTTGCAAAAACATAAAATAAAATGTGGTCTTTTTTTTTTTAAATCTAGACTCTACTATAAAAAAATACTTTAGCTGTTTACATGGATTTACTCCTACTGAAATGCAGCACTTGATTATGCTCTGCCTCTCCTCATACATCTAGAGGATTCAGAACATTTATTCTGATTAGTGCTCAGTTCTAAACCATGAAAGCGTCAAGAAAGAGCTGTTTTTGTACACCGAAAATTCACCAAACTTGAACGATAGTATTTCAACATGAAAAATCGTTTGTGTCTACAAACATGTGTCTAACACGAAAAGTTCACGAGCTCCTGTAGGACTATGTTGTGGTTTATATTTTATAGATTATTTCCTGTAATGTATTTCTGTTTCCTAGCGGTAACCTTTATCGAACAGAATTCAAGACATGGAGCAGCATTTTAGTTGCTTGACGGATGATCCATACACAGAACAATAATGTTTTTACTGAATTGTGCTCTTCCTTAAAAAGAGTAAAAGGAAAATAAATCATACTTCTTTAACAGAAGCTCTTAACCAGTAAACATGAGGCCTCTCACTTCTACCAGTCTGCAACAGCTTATGATCAGTGTGTACAATTTACTATTTACAAAGACTGTTTATAATTACATCACTGCTAACACCAACGCAGCATCAAATGCACACACACACAAATGCTACACATGTGATCAGGGATGATAGTATTTCACTTTATATTTCACCAGGATTTACCAGGAACTGTGCGTCTCCGCCTCTCTTGTCTTTCATCCAGGTTTCTCCTTGCATTTGGTTGTAAGTATAACTGTGGTGGTGGTTCTGCTGCCTGTTGCTCTGCTGCTTATCTACAGAAAATGGGCTGGTGGCTCTTTCGGTGAGTTACCTTCCAACATTATCTGCACATTTGATATTCATTAATTCAAAATATTTCTTTTGCCACTGATTGGTTGCTGACGTGCCCAGGTTACGTCACAGTTTATATCCAACAGGCAAAAGCACTCACAATGCACTTTGCTGAAAATGTTTTAGGTTCTGAAAAAACATGTAAGAATTCAGTGAATAAAGTTAATAGTAACTTTCTGTCTTTTCTACAGGTCTGAACAGCAGGAGACACTCAGAACAAGGCCAGACTGAGGTGACTTATCAGTTACTTGTTTACTCTCTTTGTCATCTTAAAAAAAAAACTGTACTATTGAGCTGGAAAGAAACAAAAGATCAGGATTTCCAATTTATGTTTATGTGCTGATCTAATGGGAAACTTATAAGTAATATTGCACTTCAGCATGTGCCTAACATGCATTAACATTATACTACACTAAAAAACTGTTTGTTTGTAATTTGAACATTAATAATCCAAAAGAATCATCACCTGATTTTTTAAATCCCGCTCAGTTTATCTCAGTCTTCTGTGCCGTGCAGCTTAGTGTTTTAGTCACAATGTTGCTGTTTCCATCAACCCAAGTACGAAATCTGACAGCAACTACACACTACAAGAAAGTAACATATTTAGTAGTTTCAGAAGCAGATGTGTTTTTTTCTGGATATGTATGAAACTAAACTCAAAATAAAAACAGAGAAGTTAAGACTTCACTGTTTTTCACTGTTTACATGTTTGGTTGTATAAATATTTGTCCTCCACAGGGGCAGCAGTGATCAGCTTTCATTCAAATAGTGACATTTTCCATCGTATACTTTTACATTTGAAATAGATTTTTTTTTAGGTCTGGTTGGTAAAACAAAAGCAGCGTTTCAATGACTCTGCTGTGTTACAATAAATTCATTTTATGAAGCTGAGCAAACTGAAAAACTGCTAATAAATAAATAAATAAATAAATAAATAACTCCACTTACACCACTTCTCTTTATACTAAGCAAGTATAAAACACACAGCTTCTGTTTCCATCCTGACACTAAAGACCTGTAGTATGTCATCAACTTTAGGTCTGTTGTGTCACTGCTATTGTTGTGTTTCTGTCTTTTCTTCTCAGTTCAGTTAATTTATTGTTGTTTTTTTCCCCAGATTAGTCTCAGTGAACGCTATCATCCAGTCTCCTCATGTGAAGACTCGATCTACCAAAGCCTCAATATGGCGAGCAGAGATCACGACCAAATCTACTCTACACTCAGACACAATAACCAGTTTTCAGACATGAGCTCCTGTCAGACTGAATGACTACATGAAACATGGCAATAGTACTTCTATTGTTTACGTTACCAGGCTCAGTGACGTGGATTTTGTCGTCAGACTTTGAGCTCAAGGTTTTGTGCAGACGTCCACGTGCCTGCCAACTTTTAATGATGGCAGATATGAGTCATTTGCAGAGGACAGGAAACTCCTCTACAGTGCACCAACTATGAGTTCAAGGAAATGTAACGGAGTAGTGTCAGAGACTATTGTAAAATTATAATATTATTTTATGCCATGTCATACCCCTAGTTAAAGATTGTGAATTATTATGTAGTTTTAGTTTGCATTATTCTCCTGAATTAGAAGAAGCTGATAACTATTACATTCGTTAAACTGATTTGCATTACATTAGACTGCTGATTTATTGTGATGAGAACAAAGCAGAACGAGCAGCAGTGGCAGCAGCTGAACTCTGACCTGAACAAAAATCTTGACTTGGCTGGGAGAGACAGAGGAAGAGCTGGCGCAGCAGCGTATAGACTGGAGCTTGGCACGGACATCCAGACGATTGAGCTGCGTATCAAAACCAACTGGACGACACTGGTAACTGCAGCAATAAAATAAAGGCTAAAAGCTCCTTGGACAGAGGTTCTAGGCTGAGTAAGTGTGAAGGGTATAAGGTAGCACCAAATAAAGCTGGGGGAGAACTGGGGAGTGTCATCTGTGCCGGCTACTGTTGGAATAATAGTTTTTCTTACATCTGAACTGCGCAAACACAGAGGTCATCTCACATATGGTTTGCCCATCAGGGGACAAAGGACCTCAGGAGTGAGAAGAGATGAACCCGGCCACACTGGATTATAGGGTGTTGGTGAGCTCATTATTCTAATGAGCTCATCAGGGGGAGTGTAAAATTATAATATTATTTTATGCCATGTCATACCCCTAGTTAAAGATTGTGAATTATTATGTAGTTTTAGTTTGCATTATTCTCCTGAATTAGAAGAAGCTGATAACTATTGCATTCGTTAAACTGATTTGCATTACATTAGACTGCTGATTTATTGTGGATGAATGATATTGTTTTATGATGTTATAAGAAATACTGTTTGCAGAAAGTCATCGCCTTATTTGTCTGATTAGAAGAGAACAGAGCATACTGGAGTTTTCTGCCCCAACTCAGCAGGAGCAGATAAACAGGGAGCCAAGGTCGTAGCTTAGGCGCCGTGTGAGAGAAAAGCATGTGAATGTTTAGGCTTTTATGATAAGGTGGGGGCACCAGAGGCTATAAGAGTTTGATTAATGCTCCATCATTTGGAGATCTGAGGCTGTCTGCATCAGTGTCCATCTCCCACGCGTGTGACTATTAAAATCATCGTTTGACTTAACCCGGCCGGACCAGTGTTGTTATTGTGGTTTTTCTCTTGTCTCCATCCCCAATTTTGAACTCGTAACACTATCTTGGTTTATTTTCATACACTTGATTTATTCCTAGTTTTTTAAGGATGTACCAGCAGCCTTAGCACGCATTCAAAATGTTTTGTATTTAAAATCTGTGTAACTTTCCTCCAGATAGTAAAACATAAACATAATGGACAAATCTGAACCTCAGGGGAGTGACTTTATACTCTCTAATATCAAAAAGGACAAAGATATTGAAAATGAAATAACATAAAATAAAACCTGTAATATCATGAAAATTTTGGATGTAATTCATTTGCCTTTTTTTCCCACCTGTCCTGATTGGTTCTTTTGCCATCAGAATTGTTGTCTAAAGGCAAAGAAAGAAGTCCAACGGATTTACTTTACCAAATGGACCATCCCAGCCTTGCCGTATTGGTCTATTTGTTTCACCTTTGCTTTAATTGATTATTTTATTTTATTTTCACTTGCTAAACACGGGACAGACTTGACTGGGGGAAAGAAAGGGGAGAAAGAAAGAGGGAAAGAAAAACAGCGGGGAAGAGGGACGGTGATAAAGGGCAAAAAACAAAAACCAACAAAACAAACAGACAGAAAATACAAATATCAATCACCTGGATCACCTGCTGAGAAAGAAAAAAGAGAAAACAAGCAAAAAAAAGAACAATATAATAAACAACATCATTGTGATGATCTATGTGAATATAACAGTAAATACTAAATATTAAATATTATTGTGCAGCACGTAAGATCAACAGAACACAGTGTGCTTTGAGGTAGGAGCCAAAAAGGGTGTAGTTTGTGTGTGTGAGCACCCGTGTGTACACCTGTGAGCATGAGCGCGCTTGTATTTAAAAGGTTCCTTCATGTAATGATCTGCTGGAGGGTGTGGGGAGTCATCCAGTCACTCAGCTGTGCCAGAGTGACCGAGCCACAGGTCGAGAGGCTGAGGGCACCCCACCCCCGAAGGAGCCCGAGCGAGCCCCAGGCTCCAGGCCCTGACAAGAAGCCACCAAGGAGTGAGCCGGTGCGTACCTGGATGCCCATCCCCGAACACAAAGAACCACCAATGCACCGATGTCTGAGGGCGTCTGCCAATGGCAGGGGGAGTGGTGGGGGGAGGTGTCCCCAGAGAGGTGGCGTCTGATACCCGACCTGACATATAGACACAAACATACAGGCACACACAGATACAGACATCTATTCCCACCCTCATGCTCTCATATGCAGTTACTCAGCACTCACCCAACATGGAGACAGACATAAATAGACACTGTACACACAATCGCACTCCCCACGCGTACTCTAAGCCCCAGGTCTACTTACCCTTGCTCCTGGAGGGGGAAACTGCACCCAGACCCAGGTGGTGTTACCCTTTTCCCTGGGGTGGAGAGAAGCAGACCGCCCGACTCTGCAGCAGCAGGGAGGCCCCACATTCCAGACCCCAATCGGACGGCCAACTCCTCCTCCCAGCCCCCCCGCCCAACAGGCAACAGAAAACGGGGGTGTGAAGACGCCATACCTCCCTCCACCCGCTCATATGTAGTGTTGATGCATGTGTGTTCTAAGGTGATTTAAAACCCAGGGGGCATGGAGCTACCTGCCAGAGAGCAGCAGGTAAGCGCATAGCCCCTCCTGATAGTAATTTGCTTGCACTATTCATTGGTTCCGGGATTCTTGAGCCTCGCATGTCCCACAGGGACACAAGTGGACAGGTGGACAGGTCACTAGACTGTCTCACGTGAAAGTCTTCTGACTATAATAAAAGTCTTACGAGTCCCACAAAGAGAGGAACATCTGATCACCCTAACTGTGAAGCAAAGCCAAGCATTCACTTGATAGACAGTCTTTCTTTTCTTTTCTTTTCTTTTCTTTTCTTTTCTTTTCTTTTCTGTGTATGACGTCAGTTAGAGGGGATATTTTAGATGTTGCAATCTTTGACACACAGCTCAGGAAGCTCCACCCACCTGCCGTTACAAACTCATGCTTACAAGCCAATCAGGAGAAAGCTGACTTAAATGAAGGCTGGTCTTAACGGAGGGGTGAGCTGAAAGAGGATGGAGGAGGAACTGAGGGAAGCAGTAGTACAGTGTCAGACAATTATTTAAAAGAAATTGTCATTGAAGTCCATACAGTCTGTTTTGGTAGAGACAAAAAAGAACTCTGAAAACCAAAAGAGTAAAGTTTTGGAGGATAATTTAAATGGAAACAAACACTTATCATGTCTCTGTGGAAAAACTGCAGACAGGAGGAGTGTTTATTTTAAGGAAGGGGCACATTAATAAGAGAAGTGACAAGTTCCTAGCTTGTAAATAGAGAAGGGAGAGAATCAGCTTGAACTCTTCGGAGCATCAGTATGAAAGTTTGTCACATTTTGTTCTGCGTCATCTTCCTCCGTAAGTAAATTTTCTTCTTCTTCATATTTAATTTTCTCTCCTCTCGGTGTTTATTTGGTTGCTTTCTTATAAGAAAGTTGACCTCTAGGTTTTGTTCCCTGTTGAACCGTTTTAACCACAAACTGTTTCTGTCTTTCTCTGTTCCTGTGGTTACACATAGTGTAAGATCACTCAAATTTTGTTTCGTCCCACTGCCTTGCCCAGAAATGTTTTATCTCAGTTTGTTTCCAGTCAAATGTTTTTTCTATAATGTCTAAAAAAATTAACTTAAGGTTGCCTTTTCTCACGCAGACAGTTAAAATGCAGACTGTAGTCTTATACTAATATATCTGTATGGAAGTAAATAGTGCTGCTTCCTTCTTTCTGAATTATTCAGAGCTTGTAATGCAACAATCATTTTTCCATGACGTTTTTATTAAGCTAGTTAAGAACAACAGGGCAACACTTACGCAGCATCGTCAAATTGCCATAAACTCATAAACAAATGAAAGGTTGGTTTTCAAGAGATTAATTCTGAGTCTTTTTCAGCAGATGGTCCGTGTAAGTCTGTACAAAGTCTAATGACAAGTAAAAATGTAATTTAACTGATGTACTTTTAAATGTTGCACTATAATAAAGTGTATAAGTATCTGTTTCCAGTTTTATTTATTTAAAATACTTTATCATTGGACTGCAGTGTTTTACATGATGGTAAGAATTGATTCTTCCTGTTTTCTACAGACCTGCAGGATGGAAACACTGGACTTGCCAACGCTGAAACTCTCATCTATGAAAGACTGGAAGGAGGAAACATCACAGTTGAATGTAAATTTTATATCCCTGGAAGAAAGACATTGTTCTGCAAAGACAAATGTGAAACTGGAAACATTCTCATTGAAACAACTGATTACACAGCTCAGAGCGACAGATACAGCATTAAATATGAAAAAAAATATTTCTCAAAGGATATTGTGCATGCCAGCATCACACAGCTGAACAAGTCTGATTCAGGACGGTACAGCTGCACACTGGACACGAGTTTTCAACCATGTGATGTCCAGCTTGTCATCACAGGAGGTGAGTAAAAAAAATCTTCTTCATGTCCCTGAAGATGTGAAAGTCTCAATGATCACAGTTCCATATCTTTCAAATAACCTACATGTATCATATTTACACTACACGTTTAGTTTCATGAGTTGTGCTGTAAATACACATTAACACCTATTACTCACAAGCAGACAGAAAACCTGCTTCAAGCAGGATTGTTATTATTCTGATTGTTTCTTTGTTCACAGCTTCAGACACTCCAGCACCTCATGAGCCTTTATCAACATCAACATTTCTCTTATCAGCTTCCACAACAACAACAACACACTTCAGTTCAGGAAGCTTCACACCTTCATCAACCTCTCCTGAAACACCATCATCAGGCTCAGGTACATCATATATGCACGTGTGAATGTGTGAGTGTGAATCAGTCTCGTGTTTATCAAACAACCTCCATCCATGTCCATTAATGACACATCAGCAGGAGTGGAAGAGGCACTTTGATTTATTCCTGAAGTATAATTAAAAACAGTTGCGGTGAAGAAATACACAACTCTGTTAAAAGTAAAAGAAAAAAAAGTATTCACATTAAAATAGAATTAAAGTACAAAAAGTAAAGTACAAGAGTCATTTTATTTTAAGCTAAACTTCAAAGTTATCAAATAAAAGTAGTGCAGTATGGCACAACATCTGAATGAAGAACTCAAGAAGTTTAAACCACCGGGCATTAAAAGCTGAGTGAGAACATGCCTGACTTCATTAGAGTTTCACTACATGAGTTCTTAGTGGCAGACAAAGATGTTGTTGGTCCATCACTCAGCAGTTTCTCAGATTTCTTTCCATGAATTTATACAAGTATCAGTGTAACAGTTTGTGTGTCTTTAGTTGCATCAGTTAACCTTTATTGATTAAGAGAGTAACACTAAAACTCTGTTCTGCTGAGGTGCAGATAAGATGCTTTACATGATTCTGACTCTGGTTCTTGTGATCATCGTCTTATCAGCAACTTTGCTGATTTTCTACAAGAACAGGAAGGCCATTAAACCCAAAGGTGAGCCTACAATAAACACACAGCAGTGTTTCATCTTTACAGCGCACATCACACATTAATTTCCTGGAGATTAACCCGACATTACAGTTAATCTAAACTTATGCTGCAGACCTACACTCAGAAAAATTATGGTTCTTAAATGGTTCTTCAGATGTCTTCATGGTTCTTTAAAGAACCATCATACGTCAAAGAACCTTTTTATTTTGTGGATGGTTCTTCAGCTATTACAAATGGTTCTTTAAAGAACAAAAGGTTCTTCATCCTTAGCAATCTAAGTTTGATGGTGTAAATGGCATAAATATTTATTCACTATAATGAGGCTGTGAATTATACTGTGTGTTTTCTTTGTGTGCATGTGTGTGCGAAGGGGGAGGGCGGGATACCTGGCAATTACCCTTTAAGAGAAGATGGTAGGAAACTGAATATTCAAATAAAAGTTAGAAATATTTGCAAACAGTAGACACAATACACACATTCAAATACTGTACTTTAGTTTTACATTTTAATAAAGCATTACTATTTTCTACTCCAAGGCATTACTTTTGAGATTATTATATATTTTTGAAAATATAGCATAATGATAATACTAGTTATTGTAAACTTTACAAACCACCCAGCAGTATGTAAAGTCAAATTATAAAATACAAGTGAATAACAATTGCAGAACAGAATGTCAGTGTAATGAACACACTTCGTTTTGACAAAGCGCACAGCTTAGGTAAATGATCTGAGTAGTTGTTCATCACTGAGCAATTTGTTAATATGTGTTTCGAGCCAAATAAATGACAGGGAGAGAGAGAGTGACGTCAGAACACGTCATACTATAACCTCCCGGGAGCGGACGGAGGGGTCAGTCGTTGGGATGCGCATGCGCAGACAGAGTGTGCGAGCGGCGGGCCTTGACCTTTCGGGAAAAAAAAACTCACGGACGGTGACAGCGAAACGGATAACAGTCTTCAGTACCTGCTGGACTTTGAAGCTGTGGATTCTGGGACTGTTAGAAAAGGTAAAACATTTTCATTAAAACCTTATTACTGTTTTGTTTTTGTTACTCGTCATTGTAGCTTGCTGTTAATGTTGTGCTAACAGTAGCGATTAGCTAGATACGTTAGCCGTTGACGTCAAACCACTGTTATAATTAAGTGAAGCTGCTCCCAGCTAATTTGAACTTTTGGCTTCTAAAATATGTGGTTCAATTGCGTGCTGTGTACATAACCTAATGTCAGCTAGACCGAAATTAAAATTTAATATATTATTAAAGTCACTAAAATGGCGCCTGAAGCCTGTTATGACGTGAGCTCTGTGTCTGCTCTAGAAACTCTCAAATTCTATACATCTGAGCCGTACATTAAATACTCACATGAACCTGTACTTTGAATTCTGTATGAGCTGTATAAAATGCAGCTATGCATAAGAGTTTTGAATGAATAATTAGATTAGATAACTCTTTATTGTCTAATCGAATTATATAGAAATGAATAGAAATGTGACATGAGAAGGTGTGTCTTTGACTGTTCCTGCATAACTTAGTTTCGGACTAGTTGACAAGTTATGCTCCGGTCATTTGATGTTTCCAAGATAGATGTTCTTTTGTAAAATAGTTAATTTTTCTTTGTATATTTCATTTATCCACCATCATACATACAAGCTAAGAAGAGGTCGTTATACTAACAAGAGGTATCAACGCTGGGCCAAAGTTCAGCACATGTTAAAGTTTGTAATCCAGCCAGGGTGTAAATATCACTCAGCAGCCAGAGCTGAAGCAGGTAGCATCAACACATAAATCTACTCTACTCGGCTTAAATCACAAGAGCACCTCTGACCAAAAAGCTGTAGATTTTTCTTGTTTGCACAAATTAATCCAGATTCACATTAATTGTGTTCACAGCTCCAACAAAATGAGGAGGGGGAGAAACACAATTAGGTTGAATTACAATTGGATGGAAGGCGAGGACAAGGAGAAGGAAGCTTAGGATGAGGAGGAAGAGAAGCAGCAGGAGCATCTTTAGGGATCCCTATGATGTCATTGAGGTTTGTTTCATTAATATGGTCCTCTCACAAAGAACGATGACTTGTTTTAGTTCACCTACTTCCTGTTTTTAATAGTGATGTGCAAAATGTTGTGAAAAACCACGGAGCAGGCACGTATAGTGCATCTGCAGGTAAATGAACATCAAATCTCTAAGACAGACTGAAATCTGTATATTTATCACCCTTATGATAAAACCCATGTCAGCCATTGGTTTATGGACTTTGTATTTTGAAGCCTCAGCATCTGCTTTATTGCTGTTGCTATGTTGGGACCATATTAGGATGAGGGATCAGAATCTGGAGTCATGCACACTATTGTTTCATTTAGTGTGTATCCATAAGATTCGTACAGCAGATCCAAGTTGTTCCTTGAAAACAGGAAAGTCGTCTGCATAGAGGAGAACTTTAATAGCAGGCTTGTACAAAGTGAGGCTTTGTGCACTCGTTTTACTTCTGTCACCCTGTTTTGATGCAGATTTCACTTGAAATCAGGCAAGAACTGGACTTATTTTTTATAATGTGTTCTTGTGAATTGATTGTGTATCGAATATGTTTGATTTGACTTTCTGCAAGACAACAGTCGTCCACTGGCCAAAAAAGTTTTCCAAATACCTCCACTTGATCTAGCCTGGATTTAGAAAAGAATAGCAAAAAAAATCTGCACCTCCTGCTTCAGATGCAGTTTGTGTTTCTGTGTTCAGAGGCAGCGGCGAGAGGGGAGACCTCGGATCATCCAGCTCGAGAGCCTGACCAGGAGGAGTCGAACATTAACTCAGCTCTTCCAGGGCACCCTGCAGACTCGGCTGTTGGCATCGACAAGGGATGACGTGAACGCCAAACTGGAGTCCATCACAGGTCAACTACAGGTATGCGAGTCAGACCTTCTGAGGAGGGTTTCACTTTTCTCTCTTCTTTATAATTGACTCTTTTCTCTCTCTTTCAGCTCCTTGTCTCAGAGTGGGAGGGATTTGAAGCACAAAGGGAGGAGCTTGTCGTTTGGTTGACTGATATGGATGTCCGCCTGAGTGAGGTTGACCAGCTGACAGGAAACACCAGTGAAAAACTGAAACAACTGCAGGTGTGGGCTTGTTTTGATATGACACATATTTGATATGATACATACGTCAGAGACATTGTCCTAAACTGGACTAACAAAGGACCATGAGTACAACATGAAACGTACATTACATAGCGTAAGGCTGAAGTTCATTGATCATTTTAATCATAAACTTGTTGAAATATTTTTATTGAACATGCAAACATCTGCTGATGAAAATGTGTTGATTTATTGGTCTGTTATGAAGCTATTGCTATTTCTAATGTGTTTTATCACTTTCTGATGTTTTATTAATTAAACAATACATGTATTATTTGTTGTGTTATCTGTAGCTATAGTATTTGTATATATTTATTTATAGTATAGCAAATATATTTAATTATTACTGTTTAAAACACTAATATGTGACATGTATTAGTAGTGATGTTGTGCTGAGGGTTAAAATGCCTTTTTGTCTTTTGGTATACTACAAAATGACAAACCATTAATATATGTCTATGCTGTGCTCGTATTTATTTTACCCTACTCAAATTCAATTTATGATGCATTTTATTTTGAAAGATTTAAAATGGTTTTTTAAAGAACCATTTGAAGGACTTTTTTAAAAATGGTTCTTTAAAGAACCATTTTTAAAAAGGTTCTTTGAAAAACCATTAAAGGTGCCCCAAAGAACCATTTCTTGATGGTTCTTTGGGGCACCTTTAATGGTTCTTCAATGAACCACTGAAAGAAATGGTTCTTCAAAGAACCATTGTTTGAAAGGTTCTTTGTGGCACCAAAAAAGGTTCTTCTATGGCATCAGTCTAAAGAACCACTTTTGGTTCCAGTTGGCACCTTTATTTTTCTGAGTCTAGTCATCAGGTATGAACTTAACACCCACTGATCTCTGCTGCTGACAGAATAAAAAACTGACTCATGTACATTTTGTTTAAATCCTATTGTGTCTTAACGAAAAAGCTGAGATATCTTACAAAGTCAGTAGTTTTCCAGCCTGGCTTTAAACAGGTCAGACTATCAATTATGTTAAATGATGTTTGTTTTATGAACTGCATTTTCAGGACCTCCTGTGGAAACAGAGTATGCCAACATTACACGGGTGAGTTTTAGGAACTGTGAGACACCTGAGTTTCATTATCGCTTTATTTGTATCCACCATCTGGTTTATTCTCCTTCTCCAGGCCAAGCAAGAAATAAGAGAGGGGGCCCCACAGAGGAAGGTGGAAGTGTCTTCAATTTACACCACTGCAAAAGGCCCCCAACCAGATGGAGCTGAAAACATCGACCTCTACAACCTCACCACCTGTTCTCAGAACAAAGTAGATACAACTCGTTTCTTATTTTAAACTCTGATGTCCAAATCCAGGACAAACCAGTCTGAGTAATGAAGTAGTTCATCAGTAGTCATGGATGGATATTATACTATTATTATGCCCTGTGGATATACTGTTGCATTTCTTTCTGCCAGCTAATAGCAATGACTAGAAATGGCCAAATTCAATGCACAGGATTTGGGTCCAGTTTATTAGGTACAAACACTTTCGTTTTATTCACGAGACATTTGTTTACTTTTTGTTTAGATATAACTTAAAGAGCAATTCAGAAAACATGGCTGAGGGTTATGTTTTTAAAGATTTCACACTCAAAATGTGGGTACAACTTATGTGTACAAGAAAGAATGATGTCTCAGGCTGTAGCTCCATAAACCTTTATTTAATTACAAACACGTTTTTAAGGGTCTGAAGGTTGATCTCACTTTTCTTTCAGGCTGAAGACGACATGAATAAAGTTAATTATGCTGAAGTGGATTTTTCCAACATTCCTGCCACCAACAACACATCCTGTAGTAAAACGGATGAAGTTGTCTATTCCACACCTCTGGTACATACCAGCCCTTCCAACCTCACCACAGATGCTTCACCTCCTCTGTACTCTGCAGTTAAGAAACAGTATTAATGCTGTTGATGGCACTTTACCTCTCACAAAGATCAACAAGTGATTATAATTCAGACAAAACTGAATGTTCTTTTCTGTTTATTGCAAATATTAATGTGCTTTCAATCAGTTAATCTCAGGTTAAAAATGTTTCTTTATGGTAGTTGATAGTTTAGTTTAACTTAACAGAAAACTAATCCTGTTATTCCCATTAATATTTCCATAGAAACTCTGTAGGACAGATTTAATGAAACAGTTGCATAAAGCTCTGCAAACTGACCTGTGAGTAGTACATTGCATTTAGCTGTTGGATTTCCAGATAGTAATCCTATAACCAAGCCTGTGTCTGTAATCATGCAGCACTATTAGAGATCCCTAATTGTATTTTTTACTGTGGCTAACAGTCTGGATAGAGGTTTACCTCAAGACCATTCTGTCTCAACTCATGCTCCATAACTTTGGCTAACGGTGTGCATGGTTAATCATTTTAAAAGCATTTATTTTAATCAAATAGTAGTTTGTTTGTTTTTTACCAGACCTGAAAAAACTGATACTAAAAAGAAACAAATTAAGGAAGCTGCAAAACAAAACAAAAGCAAAGAAATTGTTATTATATTATGTTATTATTCCAGTTTACTCTCACCAAAGCCATCCTGGTCCTAAACAACTTTTACCTGTGTATAAAATCACAGCAGAAATAAACTGTGACCTGCTACAAGCAGGTGGTTGACAAGCTGTCATGGTGGCTACATCCATCTTTCATATACATTCTCTAACCTCCAAGGACCTGACATCCACATATGTGGAAAATACATTTTGGGTTGTCGACACCAAAATACCCAATTTTGCTCTACAAGGGCCAGAGATCCACTTACGAGGACATTATACTGCCGCTGTTCTATCGAAATTTAAAACAAATGTCCTCTTATGTGGATCTCATTATTCTCAGAAACAAAAATCAGGTACAAAAAAAATAATCAGGTAATTCTTTGATTTTCCATTCATCAGGTCCCAATCAGTCTAAATAAGGCTCACATATCATTCACTCATACTAAGAGTAACTAAATACGTATTACTATATAATCTTAATAATATTACATTATTATTTTTCTGAGATATTGCATTTGCACATACGTTTTCTTATTTAAAATTGGTTTTATATTTATGTTTTAATATGTGGGGATAGGTTAATTGGATAATCCAAATTGCCACTAGGTGTGAATGTGCGAGGGAAAGTGAGTGCGAATGGTTGTCTGCCCCTGTGTGACTGGCGACCTGTCCAGGGTGTACCCCTCCTCTCGCCCTATGACAGCAGGGACTACAATACAACGCAAGTGTGTGTGTGTGTGTGTGTGTGTGTGTGTGTGTGTGTGTGTGTGTGTGTGTGTGTGTGTGTGTTTATCACATTTGTATGGCATGCAAGCAATGTTCCCCCTAAGCTGCGCACGGTCTCTGCGCACATAAATTCTGCGTTGTGCACAAAAAAAATCTAACCTGAATTTAAATTAAAATTAAAACTTTAACAATTCTGTTTTGCAGTGTTAGTCAGTGAGTGACTGGCTGCTCCCATATGGGATTAGAACGATGCCACCTTATCCCATAGTCCAGCCAATGATGCCTATATATGCAGCCAATCAAGGTCGTTGACAGGCTATGACAGCGTCCTTATGCGCCGACACCGGTGTTTTAGCGAGCAAAGCGGTGTGGCTGATGTGGAGTGAAGCCACGTTAATGACAACGTGTACAACCATTGGAGATGTGAGCAGGACAGACGGAAAAATTGACGGAAAAAGTGTGGACTTTATACCAGTTTTTAAATTCTGTTGATCGGCCACGTAAAACCAGAGTTATGATAAAAAAATATGCAATGTTTGGTTTTCTTCCTGAATACTGTCGTTGTTTATATTTACTGCAGGAAGAAACGGTAAAAACGGTATTTAAAAAAAAAAAAAAGGCTTGAAAGCACTCTCCACCTGTGAGCAAAAACAAACCCCACCCCCCTGTCCCTTTCCTATTCGTCCAAAAAAGTACCATGTCGACCAATCGAAAAATGATATGGCAACATGGCATCTAGTTGTTAAGAAACGGGGGGAAGTTTTAGGAGTGACGGCGGTGCTTTGAGATGTGAGAGATTTGCCACGTTTAGCGCAAATCTTGTGTAGTTAGTGTGTAGTGTAGTCAATAGTTTTATTGTGTGTGTCAGAACAATGAGGCGACTGCTGAATGTTACAGGAGTGACAGGAGTGACACATCTCCTGTTGTCAGGCCTGCAGGTATCAGGCTGTTGTTCTTCTTTATCTCATAGTGGACAGAAATTATTTTTGGAGTGGCACAAATAATTTGTGTGGCATCAGATTTGATGCAGAACAGCTGATTGTTCTGTAAATAGTTTGAAATGTTTATTTAAAAATGCCTTGGCTGCATTTAAAAAAAAAATAGCTGCAAAAAAACTTTGTTTGCCAAACTCAGTAACTTTTTTGAAGAAATAACTGTTAGGTTTGTAGCATAAACCTATTCGCTGGAACGTTAAGACAATATAATTACACTGCAAGCAAGACACAAGTAGGCAAACATCTTCATGGTACTCGTGCACGGGAGAGAACCGGACAACCGCTTGACTCCAGTTGGTCTCGTCCGTCCTCCCATACACTGTCCTTTTATTGAGGTTACATGAATATGCATAGGTTCATTAACATATAACGTCTACATACACAAAGAGTACCGTGTGTGTGTGTGTGTGTGTGTGTGTGTGTGTGTGTGTGTGTGGTGTGTGTGTGTGTGTGTGTGTGTGTGTGTGTGTGTGTGTGTGTGTGTACTGCTGATCAAAGGGTCAAACATCCTTGGTCAGGAAGAGGGTAGACTAGACCCCCCCCGGTAAGGAAGTCCAGCAGGTCATCTAAACAGAAAAGCACTCAGACTAGAACAGACATAGCTACGTTAATCCCACCATAAATCAGCAAGGGAAGATACGATCTCTCCTCTCTTCATGCTACACAGAGTTGTTACAGACCTCTTAGGATGAGACATTCTTTCAATCTACAAATGATTATATACTTCTAAGCATATGTGAGTAAATGTTTCTAAGCATAAATGACAATCAACAATACAAACTCTAACATTCCCCCATTTTTTGGCCTTTATGCTAGAAAAGTTCCCAATTATGAATACCTCATGTCTGACAGTTTTAATGCAAACATTGTTATATTCAGCATATGTCAAATCACCCTAAAGTACTGTAAAGATACACAGTTTAACAAATGTATTAGCAGTTATCCCATTCATTGAGCTCATCTCATGGCAAACTGCATCTTACGAGCAAACAAAGAAATTGTTAATTTAAAAGTGAAAATAAAAAGTAACATTTTCAAAACATCTCAGCTTGGTGGTGCTTCCTCCAGGTGTGCAAATCACATGTCTCTCTGCAGAGTGGTTTGAGTTCTGCAGGGCGTCATGAATGTCTCTTCTAGTTGTTTCCATCGTTGTCCATAGGACCAGAGTCCAAATGTATGTAGAATAAACATTCAAACATACCAGTTGGTTTTGTGGTTCGTCAACATGGGTCTCAGCTATTTCCAAGCTGCAGACCTCTCAGCACTCTAGTTTTATGGCCTCCATTACCTCACTTCAGGCCTTCGTCCTGTGAGGGGATATTTATGACTCCTTCATTGTCCTTCATTGTCCATACTCTGCAGAAAACACCTCTGTGGAAAGGGTGCAGGGTTGTCTTACTGCTATTATGATCCCAGCAGCCTTCAGAGTGTCATCGTATGCACAGTACAGTGGCACAGCGTTAGGTGATGTTCATAGGAAACTGCTGTCATCACCACCATAGCTTCTGGTTCCTGTGCTTTTCACAGAATCATGACGTCATCCTCGAACTCCTTCTACGCTGTCGATGGAGCTTGGCACGCTCCTCATCCCTGAGTGTTTATGTTCCAACGCTGCTGAAGGTTTAAGGCAGAGCACGTCGTACACCTTAGTCGTCTTCCTCAGCGTCAATATTGAATCTTTCATTGTATTTAAAATCTTGCTGTGGGAAGTCTCCTCTTGATTTCCTGGAAGCTTAGTAGCACAGCTCTCTGTGTGATGTCTGCTGTGCTGAAGATGATCTCTGATCCTCCTGAAGGCTCTCTCCTGGTCTCAGCTCCCATCCTGTGGACGATCCTCTCCTCTATTTTGCAGGCAGTTTCATGGTCCTTGCTGTGACTCCAAGGTCTGATCTCATGATGGGCCTCAACCAGCTTGATCTTTGACCTCAACCACTGCCTGGGCTCAGCTATGCCTGGAATGTTTCTGCTTCTCACTGCTGCACCTATATTTCAGAAAGACTTCTATTTGGAGAGCATGTCAACAACCATCAAACCACATTCTTTAGTTCAGTGAACTTCACTTATAGGCCATCAAAGCCTCATCTGAACATGGATGCACCACTTGCATAGGTTTAATATTTGTAAATAAACGGCTAATCACACAAATCACTGCAACAATAATAAAAAACATTGTTTAATGTTAATCCTTGCACTCCACCTCTTGACGCATGGACACACCATGCGCCAACACACCAAACCTGGATTCCTGTCTTAAAGAAAAAGATTAGCTAGATCATATCCCAGGCAACATCAGGGCATCTCCTCCCTGGAGCAGCACCACCCTGGACCTACAATCCTGCAATAAAAATGTTAGTGTGTCTTGCATATTAAGTATGCTTAACACCGGGCTCTCCCAGGAGCCTGCATACACACCATCATGGCCTGGAAAGCAAAATCTGGAAGTAAAATCAAACTCCATACCTGTAAACAATTGTATCATAAGAGTAATAAGCATTCAACATCAGCAAGACAAGTGTCATGTGCAGGTTTTCTCAAATCAGTAAACTACAATTATTTTCATAAGTCGCCTCAGACATGGATCATCCATGTACTCAGGCAACATTAATGTAATCGGTGACTGCTCTTAAGCAAAGTCACTCCACTTATATATTACTATGGGCTCAAAAGTGGCCAGCTAATGAGCCCATATCAAACTACCCCAGAAACACTGTATCTCTTATTTGTTTTACCCATGTCACTTGTCCGTTTCAGCTGAATCTTCCACAGCATTCTCAGAGAAACAAGCATAAGCAATACACATTGACTGTGGTCAGACGGAGGTCAGACACAGGTCAACAGATTCTAGAGGTGCCATAAAACACCATAAAGTTAACACTCGCTGTGGAAACAGTAACACTGGTCTCATCACAGTATGTCTCAAACTATATTAATTTCTCCATCAACATATAGCCTGTAACTACAGTTTTCTTCACACATAAACCCAGAAATCTCGTAGTAGAGAAACATTAGCCAGTATTCCTATAAATCACATGATCAAACACATGAAGAACCGTAATGCTGTAAAAACGAAAATGCAAATGTTAGCGCTTGCGCAGGCGTATGCATACTTTGTCACAGTTATCTCTGTGAGCACACAAGCTAGTGAATGACACACACATAGTAAATGCACAGACACAGAAAATGGCATTTAAAAGGTTAAATCATCATGCAACCTCGAGTGT